GGGCGGCCGCTGGCTTCAACTTGGGGTCAGCCTTTTTTCTAGATAAGGTACTGTTGCCACCAGGTGGGCCTGTAACCCTTCACAATTGTCTAGGCTGGTCAGGTATAGTCCGTGACTCTCAGCCCTTCGCCCCCCGACCTCTTGGCCAAGTGCCCTAATGGAGTGGGACGGCCCCCAAACTATAACTGGCCCGCTCGGAGGGCCCTGGGCCTGCTGCATTGGCACCCTACTGGCCTCTGTAGATCAGGCTCTAGTGTTCAGGCACCCTACTAAGCCTCTTGGGGAGCTATCGTACTCCGCAATACGTTGTAGGGCGGACGTAGGGGTTGTTAGCTCCAGTCGCTGGGAACTGCTCTCCACCCGCTGAGAGGCAATCAACCCCCTCAGCTACTCCAGACGAGTCCTCTAGGAAGCTGCTCTCCACCTGCTAAGGGGCAAACAGTTCTCCCAGCTACTCCAATCGAATCACTGGAGTTGCTCTCCACCCGTTGAGAGGTTGCACGGACCCCTCAACTACTCCAAATTCAATGTAGAGAACCGCTATCCACCCGCTGAGATTGTCTATGGACCTCTCAGCTACTTCTGTAGAGTGCTGACACAGGCAAAAACTTCCAAGTAGGCTCCTTGTAGTGGGGAACCACCTTCCTCCCGAATCCAACATGATGCAGAGTCACAGGACGAGGCACAGTGCGCGTACAGGTGCTAGCGGGTCGCTACTCAGCGCCCCCCCTCTCGGAGGTCGCTACTCGGGACCCCCCCGGCTTGCAGTTCACGGCATGGGCGGATTCCCACAACTTGCCCCCGTCACGTCATTCGAGGGTTCAGTAGCGCCTGCATCGACCCCCGCGACCCCGGGTGCCTCCTCCACTCATTCACTCCGCTCACTGCGCCCCTCCATGGGCCTGGCGCCCGCCGGCCTGCATCCCCCATTGACGATTCACCGCGCGGGTCCACAGATCACAACCCCCGCCGCCGGGCCCGGATGCCCTGCGCAAGCGGCGTCCTCCGATGCCCCGATCCGGTGGTCCAATGCCGCAGAATGCGCCTCCCGCCATCGGACTCGGCACGCGGATTCACAAGCCAACGCCTCCCGCCATCAAGCTAGGCATGAGAAGCAGCAAAATGCGCCCCCCTCCTTGTGGAGGCTCCACAAGGCCAGACGCTCGGTCTGGTTTGGAATCCCCTGCCAATTCAGGCGGCACCGCGAGGCGTCCACCTGGCCGGCTGTCTCTCCTTGGATCTCTCTCGAATGGGGGCCCTCCCGCCGTCGGGCCGGGTCCCCTCGGCTCTCTTGCGCCGTGTGGCGCTCTTCCGCCCTCTGCGTCTGCCGGCTCCGAAACCACTGGCGTGGTTTTCGGCTCAAAACTCGGGCAATGTGCCCACCGCAGTGCCCAATCCCGCCTGAATGGGCCTCCTCCGCCAAATGATGGCGGGCGGTCCGGGGCGCTCGCTTCCTCGGAGTGCGCCGTGTGGGCCCAGGCTTGCAATCGGCCGGGCACGGGGCGGCAGTGCACGCAGTGGGTGTGCGACGCCGGTGCGGCTTGCAGGTGCAGCCGCGTGGAGATGAGTGGTCAGCAAGAGTTACAACCGTCGGGCATCGGGGCCACCCTTTGGCATACCCCGCATCATGTGACAATGCAGCCAACATCACCGTATCGATAGTATCTCATCCCCTAGTACGGTTGCGGAGGCGTCCTTAGGTACTGTAACTTCTAGTAACTATATCTCCACTACCGCTAACCCGAATGGCCTGATTTGAGAACCTATGGGTACCTAGTAAGCTCAACTAAAGGATGAGATTGTCCATGAATGTTTATTATACGTCCCAGATACCCGTAACCAAGGAAACACACTACCCCCTGTGCTTTACACCACAAGCATTTATAAGGCAGAAAGCATGCCATTGCGGATTGCCTATCAGGCTAAGTAAAGTTTACTACCATGCTTAGGAGACCTCTTGAATTGACTTGTTAATGGTCGCCAGTGCAATGTGTTGTATTATCACTTCTATGATCATTTCACATTTTGCAGCCAATTACGAGGGCGCTTCACACTCTTGAGTACATGTAAAGAATGTTATGCCCCAACCTCAGGTTACTGGCACTCATTCCCAATCCTCCTCTTTAGGAGCTCGTACCTCACACACACAATATATCAACATATTCTTATTCCCAATATTCTGTTGTGTACATGGATGGGACACAGCGACATTTCTGAGCACCATGACAAAATTAGTGCCTAGGACCACTGAGGAATGGGCAGGTTGGGCAAAACACCAATGCAACGCCATGCCGAGGCAAGAGACATCCTAACATGTTTCTTGGGCCCCAAACACCTGGCCAACACAGCCCAGACCATTTGTTCTATAGCCGCCAAACCAGACTCTACCCGAAGCTGGAAAGAGACATCAGCATATGGGATCGAATTTGTACAAAGTGACAAGAAGAAACGGCTAGCATGACAACCAGCACATAATTTTCTCCACAGCAGTATTTCCGCCGTGGGTGACTCATGAGTAAACGAAAACATGCATTCTTAGCTTGGGGTAGTCCACCCTAGAAAGAGCCATCAGGTGTGAGCCCAAACTTTCGGTTTCGCATGATTTCTTTTAGCCTTTTTCAGGCCAGAGGCCTCTTAGCCGGGAGTGAGTGGCTTCGAGGACAAACAGAGATACGCCCAAACTGGGCAGTATCCTTATTCAGGATGCACAGCTCCACCAGAAATTGAGAGCCGCGATCAATATTGGTGAGGCAGCTTTCACTAAATACTCTTGATGCATAGAATATTGCTCAGTCGTCACCAGGCTCCCTTGAGGCATACATTCCTCTCGGTTCTCATGAGCAGCTTGCTAACTACTAAAGGTGCAAGCACTTAACCGTTTTTTTCTGTTCTTGTTTCTTCTTAGTCGGTGGTGGCATACTCGGGCCATCCCACATAGTCAGAACACGTGTCAGGCGAAAGTCCCTCGCCAGCTGAGTCATATCTCATCCACCCAGTGAAACGGTTGTCACTATGCAGCTGCGCGAACATAGGCACTCCCATGCTTATAACTGCGAGAACTCCGAACAAACCTAAACTGCACACCACCTTGTGTCTGCTAGCCCTTTACTTTCTGCCTAGTGTTTTTCTTTTCCTTTTTGTTCCTTCTTTTTAATATTCAGACTACGCCCCCAACCTTCAAATATAGGGCATCGTAAAGTTCTCATAAACCACCATGATCGGTTTCCTTCTGGGTTTCCCCGGATGGGCCATCACCTGGATGATGAAACAAAATTGATTTTGGCTGTTTTCCTTTCTTCAAAAGATAACAAATTGGCACCACACCATTATGTAATGATACTGAGTCATCCTGGCTTCAACACAAGGACTGACACTAAAGCGGGGGATGGGGGTGGGGTGGGGGGTGTTCTGAGCTGAACGTCAAGTTGATGCTAAGCATGACAAAATCGACACAGCGACGCTGTGACAGCGGCTTCCCTAAGAGTGGCCCGGATCAGGTATTTTGATGGGGATGGGCCTTGCAAACCCACCTCAGGTGGGCCACCTGTATTAAAGACACCTTGAAAATACTGGTGTCTTCAACTGCTGCGTGAACCATTGCAATGCAGTTGTGGAGTGTCATTTTGGCAGTTCGTCTTGGAATTGGTGGCAACTTCTGTGGGTCTCATTGCAATTTACAACCGACCGTATTATCTAAGGGACTGAACTGTGACTGAGTCGTGCGCTATTTCTGGGACGTCGCTTGTCTACATGGGCCCACCCATTTCGTCATGCGCCAGTTGCTCTAGCTACTGTCATGTGATTCCCACATATACTTCTTGGCTTCTCAGGACATGGTTGGGACAGAATGAAAAATCCACCGGCTGCCTCCAACAACTTCGTAAGCAAAGAGATACTGTAGCCAGAACAGCGATGGAGATACACAATTTTTGCCTTTCCTTAGCAAGACCTGGTTTTGGCTGTGTTGTTGTTATTGCTGATGTTGATCGCGCACCACATCATAGAACGATGGACAAGGTTCGCAGCGTGCCATTGAGTGAGAGAGTCGGTTCCACCACAAACGTGGAGACTTGATGATTTGGGGGTGCGCCCACTCCATGAGGGGACAGGCTTCACATTGTTTCTCGGCTTCTGGCACATGCTGACAGAAACCAGAATGCAAGATTTATGGGTTGGAGACAATGGGTAGGAGATTGATCAAAATCTGTGTGACTCCCAGCTAAGGGACTGTTGAGGCCGGCATGCTTCTTGCAACGGCGAGTTATTGTGCATATTGCCCTCAGCGCACACAGTCCAACCTGCATGTCCTAGTAGTTCCATATTCAGTGCACATCATATGGTCATTAAAAATTCAGTTGCTACATGCACGATGCAAAGCAGCGAGGGAACAATGCGCATTTGTCATGCACTTGCCATGCCGCCTTCGCTCTTGCCATTCAAATTTCAATCTATCCGTTGCAATGCCTAAACAGAGCCAACATGGCTTGCGACCACCCCGCCCGTTCATGACCCACCAAGCCACCCAAAGATAGGCACAGAACATCAACCTTCATGCCCCACAATCACAGAACGACAATCTTGGCACCCCAAGAAATAGCTTGGATAACCACAGAACGTCCACCCTTGTGCCCCACATGCAACCAATAATCAAGGAATGGAAAGAATTTCACATGAAGAAAAAGGCCCAAGCCAGACCAGAAAACAAAAGAAAATGAAGTAATTAGGGTGATTCACATCTTCAGCATTGCTAATTTGCACGCATCAACCCATTTATCTTATGCCTGCCAATTGGGGACGAAAGACATGCCGCATTCAGTGCTCCACATCTCACGACATCAACATTCTCTTCATCCATGTGTTCCACCATCCAGACTCCTGCAGATGCCAGTACTCGAGGTCCTGTACTTCATGCGGAGTACTGCTGGACGCTGGTGAGCGTGCCATGCAGTTGGATGTGCATGGTCTTGAAGTGTGGAGTCAGACTTGTCCCAAATTTCTCATCAATTTTCTCCAGGCAACATAGTGTCCTCAGTGATGGCGCATGCAGCACCTTCAAGGCCTATCAGGTGCGCCACACATTCCTTCTCTCGAATGAGCTCCTCCTCGGATGCTTTCATCTTGCTGCTGAGCCATTCATCTACCTCGAAGCCAGGGACGATGTCGTAGTCTCCATTCCCAGTGGACGTGCACGGCATGGAATAGAATAGGCCATCTGCAATGCCGTAGGGGTTTCCGTCGGTGCTAATGGCCATCGAGAAGCAATCCCCTTCTGGGGTGGGCTGAATCAATGATCTCACGTGATCCGCAATGGAGCCAGCAGTTGAAGCCCCAGAAGAGCGACCCCACTTCTGAATTACGCTGGCACCGCGGGTTGCAACTTTTGGAGTGAAATCCTCCTTGAACCAGGCCTCGTCATCTATCACTTTCGAGGCCGGTGTGTCGCCAATGCGGGCATTGACCCAGTCTGGAACCTGCAGCAGTGACAAAGACATACAGAATAATGAGACACATCTGCTATCTGTGTGCCAGGTCTAAAGCCAACGTCACAGATCTGTGCCATCGTATGCAAAGTACGTGACACCAGTTTGGATCTCACCTGCGTTGTGGAGTGGTTTCCCCAGACAGCCACACGAGAAACTTTGTCAAATGGAACGCCAGCCTTCACTGCAAGCTGAAACCTTGCCCTGTTCTGGTCAAGCCGAGTGAGTGCAGAGAAATTCTTGGGTGGGAGGTCGGGTGCATTCTCCATCGCAATCAATGCGTTGGTGTTGCATGGGTTGCCAACCACCACAACTTTGACATCTCTGCTTGCCACCTCATTCAAAGCGCGCCCCTTCACGACACATGCAGATGCAAACAGGTGCATAAGTTGCGCTGTAAAAACAGATACCCAGCTATCCTGCTTGGGTCTTGCACAGCTATCCCATCAAGACTTTCACAATGCAATGACCACAGAGGTTTGGCTCAAAACGACACCTGTCCCACAGCTTAAACATGCAGTGCTAAAAATAAAGTTCAATGAGGGAAATGGTATGATAGGTACATGCCTAGAAGAGAGAAGGTACTGTGCAAGTGGAATTTGGCCTTTGATTGTCACCTGTTCAGCAAACACTCTGCCATTCACGTCGAGCAGGTCAGCACGCTCCATGCCCTTCGAACGGGGTTTCGCACCAATAAGAAGTGCCCAGTCAGCATCTTCAAACACCTCAATGGGGTCAATGCCCATCTTGATCTGCCACCACCGCACAGATACATGTACTCAAGTTTGGTTACAAACCTATGGCATCCAATCCAATGGGCCAAACTGTATAACTCCATTTTGAAATGGCTCTGACCAAAGCTGTAGGAGCACATCTTTTCAACTTACATTAGGGACCTGCACAGCAAAATAGCACATTTTGCCGTAAAACCGACAAGAATGTACAAGACACAAGTGGACAGGGCAGACTGCAACATGCATTGGTTTGACCACTCCAAACTCCAGCCAGTGAGAGTTGCTGATTGTCAAAAACACAGCATAATGGCTGGTACTTATGGTGACAGCCGCGTTTACCTCCCGCAGCAAAGGGTACAGCGAGTCTTCGAGCTCCATGGAGACGCCTTCAATGGCATTGATTGATCGCTCGCTGCCCAGCAGCTGCAGTATGATTGGTGCATTTGGTCCAAACACTTGACCAGATGCCAGCTGATGAGGAAGCAAACAAGCGGTCAGGGTGGAAACTAACAACTCGCAGGGGACAAGACCACAGCATCTTGTCTCACAGAGGTGGGTACAATTGCCCATTTAAATCACAATTTGGTGCTTTATTTTGCTATTCCTGAAATGCAGACTTCCAGGACACAAATTGAACCTGCTGTGCACAAGGTCAAATTCTGCTGCATTCCTCTTGCGATGCCAGAAGAACCCGCATTGTCAATCCTTGCCATTGCACTTGGCTTGTGTTGATTGATATACAGTCACATTCCTCCCCAAGTTACCCGGCCCAGATTCAGTTCTTAAGTTCTGGCTCGCAGTCATCAGCATGGGTGCAACACCATGTGCACAAACATTGAAATCAGCAACTTTGCCTGCTTAAAATTTGAAAGCGATGGCTGCAGGCCTTAAATTGCCTTCAACAAGACACAGCAGTGCACTTGCACCTTATAGGCGTTCACAGGCATTTGTTTATCCAAGAACAATTGTGAGCGATGGCAATTCTCTTCTTCTATTGCGGCTCATAGGTGGCAAGGGATGTGGGCCCAACGTTGGTGAGCACAAGCAGACCAGGTGGCCCACAAAAGGCTTCTCAGCAGCACTTGCCATCAAACTGGTACAGCCATTTGCACCATCTCCCCTTTTTGAGCACTATTGAGAGCAATGGAAAGGCTTTGTTACTGGTATGCAACTTTGAAGCACTGTCTTAGATAAGCCCATATCCACAAGAGCTGAAATCCCACCATGAAGAGAAGGTGATTAGAGATTTGCCCTGCAGCACCAGACACCGCAACTTTGATGGGCTTTGTCTGCGATTCGCCATTGCTTGCAGAAGCCTGTGGACATGTCCATTTGCATTTCAGCCACCACATGAAGCTTGAATTTGGCACAAGCTGACATCACGATGCACAAAATACACACAAAAGACAGCACAAAGACTGCTAAATATGCACAAAACATGATCTCCATACAGATTAGCCAGTATTGTGCATCCTTTTATACGCAGCAGTTGCAGAATAATGGAAGTCGCAATGGATGAAAGTCAAGTAACTTGTGGCCACCCAGCAGGGTTTTTGGCATTTTATCAGGCACGTTCATCGGCATGATTGCTGGCACTTTTGCTTTGCTCATCTTGATTACATTGGTCCTGATTACCTGCTCACACGTTTTGTGATGTTTGAGGCTGCCGGTACGTTAGATACGGTGGTCTTGGCGTGTTGCTGTCTCTGGGGCGCGGAGGCCCAACTAGTGTAGGGGCGGGGGCGGCAAATAGCGACGTTGGCGTGTCCTGTACGCCCTGTTACATAGACATTGCAGTCCACTGATCGTCCAGAGGACAGAACGTTGAGGGCCACTGACGCCGGCCATCGGCGACAGGCGTTCGACGGTGATCGGTAGCCTCCATTGCAGATGGGTGCTTCCCAATTTGCCAACCCATCGCTCCCAACTTGAAGACGGCGTGCGGAAAGACGGGGGTGGTGCGCACAGAGAAACGGCGGTGATCACGGACGCGAGCTGGCAAGGGTTTTCTTACGGAAGTGCGCTCGCGTAATGGATCATTGACAGACATCCCAAGCAGCAGCACCCACTGCTCCCGGAGACCGCGCGCGACAGCCAGCGGTCGGACCACCAACTGCAGTGCGTGGGTGGCATGGTCGTGGGCCAGCGGCCAGGCGCAACGGGGGCAGGCACTCTTGCTGCCCAAAGGATGGTTTGGGCGCTAGGCGACGCCACGTTGCGGCGACCCAGCGCTAAGTCCCGAGGCCTACTTCGCGTGTCGGGTGCCGAATACAACTGCAGTGCGCGGCTCCAGCAGGCTCGACCCGCCAGACGACTCCCGCCTTAACAACCGCAGCACTGTCTTTCAATGCCGTGAAGCATCCTTTCAATGCTGTGAGAGTGACGAACAAGAACGCCGTTCGAAAGGAAGGGAATCCCCCAGCGCCTCCTGAGCGTTTCAGCGCTTCCAGCACTCAAGCTTTGCGTTCCGACACCAAATTAGTGTCCTCCCCTTTCACAAGGTCGGCACCCCGTGCGCGGGCGCACGCACGCGGTCCTCTGGTTAGCGCGGCGTCGGCATGACCGTGTGGGCGATTGTTGCGGGGCTGCCGGACGAGGCTGCAAGGCCGCGCGGCTGCTTGACTGTTGGCTGGCAGAGGTTTCACAGTGTGTCGTCGTCTTTTCAATTGTCTCGGCATTCGCACTACATCCGTGCCGAGTCAGCGACACTCAGGAACCACCCACATCGCCGGCGGTCGCGAGCCACCGCAGCCCAGGGCCGAGGGCTGGCCAAAAACCGCTTGATGGGGGACACTCACCTCAGACAGATCGTACGTCAGGTTGCGCAGGTTGGCCTTGCTGTCGGCCGTGGCCGTGTTGCCGCTTGCGGCGAAGATCCTCGTCGGCCGCCGTTGCCGCAACCGCGGCAAAACGCACGCCGGAGGTCGCACCAACCGAGCATGCCCGCCTGGCCGACAAAAGCAGACAATCCGAAGCTTTCAGCGGGCGCTCATCTCTCGTCGCTCATCGACAACGCCCAACGGCTGCAATCCATTGGGAGCGTGCCCCAAGGTTTGGGAGTGGTGTCTGGCACCAAAGCAATCCCCTTGATTCACGCAAGTAGATTTCCGAGCAAAGCGCACCGGGAGCTTTCCTACCCGGATCGTGTATTCTATTTTCCCTGAAACTGTTCCCAGCGCCTGGTGGAGACCAGCGCCTGGGCTCAACCGAGCCCATTCCGTGCGAAGGCTTGTGGACAACGAGAACCGTGTAGACATGCAGCCAAAGACGTCTTTCCAAAAAGGGCGAGCATTGACTAGGTAGCGTACGAGAAGAGGCCATCATCATCAGCTTTGGCCGCCAAAGGCGATCATGCTGCCCCAAAGCACATGCTAAACGGGCTAGCTTCGTGCGATACTCGCTGATGTTAACGGGAGGGGGGGAGCTGCTGACGCGCGTTAAAAGGGGGATCTGGGAAGATTGGCAAACCGCAGGAGAAAAATTCCCTCACTCGACTGATGATGGAGGGTTTTAAAGGCCAGAACAACTGTCCTTGGTTTCTATGGCTGCTCCAAAACCAAATGGACAATCTTGTCTTCGGGTTCAGGAAAAAGTCCACTCGCCACGAAAAGCTCCACAGGCACCAAGAGTGTTACAGTAGACAGCCCTCCAGGGCTGCCCTCCCGCGAGTCGACTGTTGGCAGTACACTAGGCCATGCTCATCGCCCATTGCCTCACCCGCCACCGCGATCTGCTTCGAACAACTGAACGGTGTCGCTGGAGCCATCGCGGTTCAGGCGTCCTTTTCCTGTCTCTGTCGGCTGCGATGTGTTGGAACCTCGGGGGCTGCCCCGGGGTGTTCAAAGGCGGCAAAAGACGGGGACAGCGGTTCCGACGGGCGATGGGTGGGCGGATATGCACCAGGCCGACGTCTGGCGGAGATTGGTGGTTGGGAACCGTGAGGTGACAAAGAGTGCAATGATGCGCGGATTGAGCAGCTGCATGTGGTAGGTTGGCCACGCGAGACTGCTTGAACGCCAACAACGTCGACGACAAAAGCACGGGATTGACACGCTGTTAAAAGTCCGACCACCAGTGACGGAAATGGATGGATGGACCATCAATTCGCATTTTTTAGCGTTAACCTGAGCGACGTTGTTCGCGAAGCTGCAGAGCGCGTCACGGTTTTCACTTCAAGACGTCAATTAGAATTCAGTCGGTGAAAATCTGCACGACAAATCCTTGTTTCATCGCATGGAATGGCCCACGCAAAAAAGAAAACAATGCTTGCACAAAATGCATACATTTGTATTCTTTTATCTACTTTTCTTCCTTGTCCATCTTCAACCTGTTTCAGCAGTCGATACAGCTGATGCAGCTGTCTGCAAGTTGCAAATTGTCCCCTTGCACACAACCTACTATCCCATGCATTTCTCTAAATGACTTGGCCCCTCTCTTTCACAAGCGACGTGGTGGTGTACATATGTCATCCACCGCATCAGGTTATCTTCCATAGTGACGTACCATCTCGGCACGGATGAGGGGAACATCACTATGCTAGGTAACTTCGGCAATGTTGAATCTGCTACTCATGGTGTCACTGCGAGTAGCCAACCATTGCTGTGGACTTATCAGCTTTGTCGAGTCTATGTAGTGCATTGGCTGTGAGTGCCCCGACTGACTCCCTCCCCGACTCCAAGATCATGAGCCAGCTGCTGGCACTGAGGGACCAAATGGCCTTGAATGCAACAGTGGGAGCTAGGAGCTAAGCAGGAAGCTCGGTGCAAGCTCGTTGCAGCTCTGGTGTAATAAAGGGTATACAGTGCTGGTGACCCATCAGCCTCATCATGCGGTCACATTGTGTGCACTCCAATTGCACTTTTCAGCAACATGTCAGAGTTGCATTTTGTGTTTGCATGTTTAAGGACAGCAGCGAACCATGCGTTCCTCCACTGTGAATGGACATTGCCACTTCCACCATCATCACTATTGAATTCCCTATGGTCGCTGCCCACATGCCACCCATGACAGTTTGCACACTTTGCAAGAGGTCTTAAACATTCTTGTTCTGGTCATGGCCACAGATTCCTGACCGACCATCAAGCCTAAGAAATTTGCAAGGGCATGGCATGGTGCCAAGAAGGCAGTGTGATAAGCTACTCCAACAAGAAGCGAGCCATAGCCAACTGTCCATGTACTTATTCCATAAATGGAATTGTGCAGCAAGATTCCCCATGTGATAGATGCGCACAGTCCATCAACACACAATCAGCGAGGCAGTGACGTCTCCACAACGTTTTGCTTGCATTTTGTTGTCCCATCATTACACAATCCAGATTCTCAAAATTTGGATGATGAAGAAAACTGGAAGATTTCCAGTGCTGGTTATACAGACGTCCAGGGCAAATGTGCGAATATTGGTCGACTGGCATACAGCTCCAGGGAACAGCCTTGCTACAGCCAGCGCTGGTCGACCCACTGCGGCGTACTCTTTCAACCCTCACATTCAGGCCAAGCATTAGGCCAATCGCTGCACGATCATGTGGTACGAAGTTCGCATTTGCAGCTGTGGGCAGCAATTGTATTGGGGAGACAACCTTCAACCAATTTGGCCGAGGGGCATGTCTTGCAACTGGATACCGCGCTGTGCAGGCAATTAGGATTGTGCAGGTAACAGTCTGCATATCTAGGGTTGTTGGTTTTCTCAAGAACTGCAATTCAAAAAAAGTTAGCCAGCAGCCTGCAAAGGATCAAAGTTCGCTGACTGCAGCAGTAAAGGCTGCACGCAGGCCAGCACATTCAAGTAGCGGAGGATATGCTGCTGCACATACATGCTACAGTCCAGGTTCCCCATCTGTGTCCCTTTGGTTGGGTTGCACATGAAGCTCAGTTCTGCGCGCGGATTGCCAACCGGTTTCGAGCCTTGAGTATGGTATCAGCGAGCAGTTGTCACGCCCGTGAGAAAGCATTGAGAAAGCGCGGGAGACCGCGACCCCATCAGAAAAGTGGGCTGATCGACGGATGGGAAACGGGCTCCTTGTTGTGTCGTATCATGCAGGCTGAACAGAACACGGCGACTGCGCACACCCCAAAGAAACTCCCGCAACTTCGCCCGTTGCACAGGCGTTACAGGCGTTTCAAGAATGAGCTTGAAGCGACACGGCTGGCAGACTGCCCGCCGATTTCAGAGTTGGCAGTGGTCTTGGAAAGGGCAGCCAATGAACCCACCTGGCGCTGCTTCGGAGTGCGCCCTGTCCAGCTATCCTGACACAACTGCAATATTCTTGGCGCGCGAGTTGCGTTGTGCAAGATTTGCGTGGATATGCCCCTTTCGCCAGATGTTCTACCACACGCGCAAGAGAACGCACTGAATGCGCAGGAGGGCGCACGTGGAAATGCTCACGACCTCACAACCTATCTGGCCACCACAGTATGCGCTGTCGGCTCTGCCCGAGGTGGTGTCTCTGGCTGTTCAGCAGTCTTTTGGATCGAAGGGCGGGGGGGCGAGAGATTGAGAGGCAACAACACAGGTGGCCCCGTAACTTCCACAAAAGTGGGACGCAACGCCTGCGTTTCCGCATGGGCGCTATCCTACTTTGTTTCTTGTGCGCATTCTCACAACTGGCGCATACGCTCACCGACTGGCGCGTACATCCACCGATGATGACTGAAAGTTGCAGCACCCCGCAACCAGGCACCAACCAACTGACCAATCAACCCTTCCCCACCCACGCACGGTCGCCAGCGCACGGCTCACAGACAGCAGCTCGAACGTCGCGCACTTCCTGTCGCGCACTCACACCCTCCCGCAGCAGAGCCCCGTGCCCCGCCTTCCGAAGCGGGGGTGCCCGAGCAGGGGCTGAGGGCGCCGCGCAAAGGGCACAAAAGCGCAAAAGCCGGTGCAAGATTTCCACACGTGCCCGAAAGTGCAACCTGGCCTGGTTGCCCGTCATCTCGGTGGATCGGGCGCCCTGCGCCACGCCCGCCGCGAATTCGGCCCGCATCGTCGTTTTCTCGGCAGATCTGGAAACCATCAGATACGCCGACTGGAATCAAAATTCGGGATCTGCAATCTGACGCTTTACCACGGCCCTCTATAAATGCGCGTGCCCCGAGTGCCCCAAACCAACGTCGCCCATTGTCGCTTTTCCCTCGCTTCCTCCGCCTCCCCGCCCGGTGCCAGCAGCCATGGCCTCCGCTATGTCCAGCTTCATGGGCACCCGCCCCGTGGTGACCGCTCAGCGCCCCGCGCGCGTGAGCTCCCGCATGGTCACCAGGGCCGGCTCGGACACCTATCCCGTGAGTGCGAATCGAGGGTCTCCAAACATGGCGGGCTGGGCGCCATCCCGCACATGCGCTGCTTGGGGGGGGGGTTCTGTGCTCTGCTCTCAGAACGGCGGGGAACATTGGCGAGCGCGCTCACGGGCGTTTGTGGTTGCGACTGGCAGGAGATCGGCAAGAACCCCTATGAGGGGGACTTCTCCGACCTCCCCTGGCCCGGCTGGGCTGAGGGCAAGTCCGCCGACGAGATCGCCAAGGTAACGCATGGCTGTCGGCGTTCTGCGACGAGCGCCGCTTTTCGCACCCACGGCAGCTATCCTGAGCGCTGGATCGACAACGTGATGTGCTGAGGGTTTTGTCGGCAATTGTGGTCTGCAGTGGCAGGAGCGCGAGCTGATCCACGCCAGGTGGGCCATGATGGGCTGCGCCGGTGCCTGGGGCGCCGAGGTCGGCACCGGCGTGCCGTGGTTCAAGGCCGGTCTGCTGTGCACCCCCGAGGACTGCACCAAGATGAACTCCATCTTCCCCGGACAGGTCCTGGGCCTCGCCCCCGAGGGCTCCGGCTTCCCGAACTTCTACGCTGTCCTGGCCGTCGAGGTCGTCGCCATCGGCCTTGCTGAGGCCTACAGGACCGGCCTGATCGAGCCCGCCTACCCCGAGCTGGAGGTTGGCGACCTCCACCCCGGTGGCGAGCACTTCGACCCGCTCGGCCTCGGTGCTGACCCCAGCAAGCTGGAAGAGTACAAGGTACACACACACACATCCCGCGCGACATCTCGCGCGCCATTTTGATCCCCTTGCTTTTGTCGAGGGGTGCTCTACAGGTATTGCCCTTCGGTGGCGGCTCTCGCCGTAAGGAGAATTGGCGCATTCCCAAAACCATCCGCACGTTTTTTTCTGTGGCTGGTTGCTGCTGTGAAGCACAAGCTATGCGGAGAGTGTCGGGCTGAACTGGCTCGTGTGTCGTGTCGCCAACAGCTGAAGGAGCTGAAGAACGGCCGCCTGGCCATGGCTGGCTGGCTCGGGTACCTCGCCCAGGCGTTCGTCACCAACCCCGGCAGCGACCTCCCCTCGTACTCCGAGGGCGCCCCAGGCCCCTACGCCAACTGGCAGGCGCACGTCGCCGACCCCTTCGGCGACAACCTGTGGAAGTACATTGGCAACTAAGCCGGGCCTGAGCAGAAAAGAGGCAATGGGCATTTTGAGGTCTGTACTGGAGTTCGCCGTTTTGAAACGGGTTTTGGGGTGCGACTGCCACCGGTTGTACGCTCTAAGTGCGTTTTGAAGCTCGGGCTCTTCGAGAAGACAATGACCGAACGGGGAAGAGCAACGCCTTGTGTACTAGAGGAAGATATGGTTGTGCTTCTGTAATTGATGCGGATTGATATTCAATTTGATCCCTTTGCCGTCTGCATGCACTGAAATGTACTACTAGGACGCCGTTCCGAAGCTTGCAACTGAGTGATCTCCAGCTCACCGCAGCTCACTGAATTTCTGTTAGATCAACATTGAATCGTGCGGGGAGCGTATTCTGCGAGCAGGATGCTGAACGATGTGCAACAAGCATAAGCTGACGACGACAAATATAACAGCGTACATAGCAACAAGATACGTCGCAACAGCTACCCAACCAACGTCCCAACGTTGTAACGAAAGTGCACGCAAGCAGCGTACTATTGTACACTATTATGCTCACTACCTTTTGCAATGTGTAATCAAAACTTTATCGTTTTCACATCCACCGCGACTAGTATTCAACACATCCGTGAAACACCGTACGCCACAATACCTCACGAACCGTATTCAAATTACTGTCCACACGTTACCGACGTATGCCACAGTACCCCGCGAACCATAACCAAATTACTGTAAGAACAATGTCAAGTCACCAGCTGAATACCATCGACGTCAACCAAAATGTATGGGATTAAAGCCCATGCTACAATCTGCCGCCGACCGCCGTCCCTAGTCTCCAACACAGTCCGTGACCCAACAACGTAATCGCCAACACTCGCTTGAACACTGACCAAATAGTAAACACAATTTGCGCAGTGTGAATATAGAGTGAGATTCAATTCTTGCAGTTAAGTATTGACAGTCAAGTCCAAATGCCTCTAAGCCTGGCTGACGCCTGCACCATGTTCAATCGCTGCTTCGGTCAGCAGTGGTGCGCCAGGAAATGGCCAGGGCAAGTATCATGGAAATCCCCTGCAACTGTGGGGACAGTTTCGCTCGCAATCGGAATTGGCATCATCCAAATACGTGGGTGCACAGTCCAGGGCAGCCGTTTAATGCTGCTACCAACAGTACAAGCTCGCAGCAACTCTGATCCTAGACGAGAACTAACATGGCAGTCGTTTTCAAAAGCTCATTATTACGTCCAAATTATTCCCTTAATACCAATTCCAATCCCAGGGCCGTTAGACCCACGCTTGGACCCAAAACTGCAGTGCATTAGTGGCAATGCACCATCTGGGAGCTTCCACTGTATCAAATGTCCATCACTTGGGATGCACACACACAACAAACTTCTCTATACATTTTCATGGATTGGTAAAACACCATTCTTGAACATCACACTCCTGCCACTAATGTCACACGATCACCTTGCATTAGCAGTGACCACAGCCATGGGCAAACACTCCAGGAAAATAAAAGAGCAAAGGAGAAAACACATCTTACAAAGGCACGCCATATTGTGGCATTCCCTGCATGCATGCATCCGGCAAACAGAGGCAGCCCTCTTACAAGTTGCCAAGTCTGCCACGAGCATGCCCAGCTACTCCAATCGAATCTTGCCGCAACAGTGCAGTCCAGATTTCAACCAACTGCAGCACAAAGCGTACCGCCTTGCTGCAGTGACTTACAGTGCCAGTACTTCTGACACGTCCTGCCAAATCTCAACTACTGCATTGCGGTCTGGAGGACCATCATGCATAGTAGTCTAAGTCTGCTTTCTTCTCAGCCTGAACCACTGTGACGCCCTCCACACAAAGTTATCATGCATAGCTTCTAGCACGTCTCACATGAGTGCCAACATGGAAGCTTCCACACGTATGGACTGCAGCATGGCAGCATTGAAGTCACCTGTGGACGCTGCAAGCTCCCCAGAGTTAACATCAGAGGACATATGCATTTTTCTGGAGTGTATCTGGATTGTTCTGATGGGTGTGGTAACTCGATCTTCCTGTCCAACTGCCCAGGGGTGCAGGATCCAAGACGGGCATCAGATCGATTGGTGGCAGCAATCACTTTGATCTCTCCATCACTGCAGAAACTATTAACTGATTCAGGAGTTCCAGTATTGTCCTCTGAATTTCTTTGTCCCCACTCAATTCGGAGTCAAACCTTTTTGTCCCGACCGCATCTATCTCATCAATGAAACTAAGACAAGGCGCCTATTCGTTGGGCAGCGCAAAGGCTACCATACCATTTTGACACCATCCCCGATGAACCTCTGCACAATATAAGACATCGTTGGGCCCGGACGTGCCCCTCGCACACTGGTTGGTACGCTACATTGATCGATGCCGTGACATCAGGTCGATGCATCCATGTAAGGAAGAAACAAACAAACAAACAAACCTCTGCACAAGATGTGGCCATGCTAGCTTCAAGAACGTTGCATTTGTTTGTGCAGCACGTGCCCTGGCCATCAGGATCATGCCCGTTCCCGGCAGACCATAAAGCAAGACGCCTGTTGGAGTTCCGGTGCCCAGCATCTTGAATCGGTCCTTGTGGGTGATGGGCAGTTCAATGGTCTCCCCAAGCTCTTGAATCTGTTTGCTTGAAGTAAATCAACTGTATACAGTTGATTGATGTTGGGACAAAAGAGTGCCCAGGGGGCGCATGCCCGCAATGGGCCCTTTGTTGCTATGGACCGGGGCGAATGTGCGCAAGCAAGCCCCAAGTGCAACGCTGATGATTTCATATAGCGTATTGATGATGCCCCTTCTGCGGGGTTGCTGGGATGTCGGGTCGGCGCGTCCAGCCAGATGCGGTTTGCCAGTCCCAGTGCAATGTACTTGGAGAAGCACGTGGTGCAGCAGCAGGTGCAGTTGGCGGAGGAGGTCATGGCGACGGGCCAACCGACGACAACGGGCGTGAGCCTGAGGCTATGGAATGCGTGCCACAAGGAAGTGTATGCGGCGCTCAACCACCCTTTCGTGCAAGCGCTGGGCGCCGGCACTCTGCCGCGGTGAGGCATCACCCTCGATTGAAGGCCCTCGATCTTGGTCGCGGCCTCCCCTTCGCGCACAGGCGCGATGCATGTGTCCGTTCGCGCGACGTCATGTTAATTTCGGCAGCGCTGCGTGATCCGTTCACGTATAGTGGCTGTGGAGATTTCCCGATCGGCAGATTGACCAGCATGATCTGGGAATCAGTGCAGGGTTGTCCAATGCTGCTTGGACAATGCTATACTTGAGACGAGCTGATATCGTATGGAGCACCATACAAGAATATGGACCTTCTGCACATTATTATCGGCCAGGAAGGATCTCAGTCCCTAGCTAAACAAAGATCCTGTGGTGAGGTGCATTTGTTTGTTCACAACACAAGCAGCAGCAAACTTGAATTGCCAATGCTGCAGCCCGGCGACGGCTGCTGTGATAGAGACCTGGATCGTTTAGTGCGTTCCGTAGATGGTTGGACCACTGTCTTCTGTCTCTGGTGGGCCCCAGAAACTCGTCTGCAGCATGTTTGCATTACCTGCTGTCTCCAACCCTGCATGGTCCAAAGTTCCTTCCCCAAGTTCCTATGTGCCGCTTTGAACAGCTTTCAGGTGTTTGGTTGCGGCATCCATCCTGGAACTTTTATGTACTGAGTTGGGTAGCAGCCCTGTATCCAGTATTGACATCGCGGCACGTGATGGCACAACGACTTGTGATGAACTGTTACAAAATGTGTCATGCTGTGGTTCCTATCGTTGAATGGGAACCGCTTTTCTCCCTCTTTTGCTGTCCTTCACTTGGAAATACAGAAGAGCGTGCCCCTGTGTGAATGCGCAAGCTCCTGCAGGGTGTGTCCCAATAGTATGGTGATGACGTTTAGTGGACGCAGGTTTTGTGCTTCTGGATGCCGAATGCATCAGTTACTTCTTATTGGGAAACACCACTGTGAACAAAGTCACAGAAAGTCATGCAAGGGCCATCCGCTAAGCAATCATCTGGTCTTCTGCCCGTGCAGAGTTGCTTAGAGACCAGTGCATTGGGCATAGGCAACTGGCTTTGGCATAGGATACACTTCTGATGCGATGCCCTAATACATAAGACTAAATCGTTGTACCCATTCACTTTGTCCTCGGCTTTCAAGAAGAAAGTGTCTTTGTGTACTTGCCCAGTGTCAGTGCGGCTGACCACTTGGGTGCAGAAAGGGCAAAATTGTTCCGCTGCATTATCGTGACTGTTATGGACACAGTGTGGATGCACAGTCATTCCAGACAAGACTAGTCTCACAACATGAGCTGCTTATGGACCTACCTCTGCCAACATGTAGTGAATTCCTGAGTCGTCTGTGTGTGTCTGTGGAGGGCCACTTTTCAGCGCTTCATTTCCCAAGATGCACACTTTTTGGAAGCATTTGCTTGTGCCTATGCCCAGGCTATGGCAAAGGTGGTTGGTTCAAATGGACCAGAATTTGAGGTTATATCAGAGCTGTTGGAGGGAGTCAGAGCAGAGCTGAAGATGCACAAAACCTTTGCTGAAAAGTGGGGTGTGGACCTGGCTGTGGCATCCAGTCCTTCACCTGCAACTGTGGAATACTGCAACTTTTTGATGGCAGTGGCAAAGGGGCCAGAGGTACAGGATAGAATGCAGTGCAACTCTGTTGCTTCTCTTGTGTAGATGTACACCATGCCATCCACCAGTTTGCACTGGCAACAACCTTTGCTGCTTGCTGTCAAACTCAGTGTTGACCAAACAACCTGTAGGGAGGTGTCCTTGCAGACTGTAAGTTTGGATTATGCTCCAGCAAACGACGAATCCAGCACGTGGAGACAGGTGGTGGCAACTGTTGAAAAACACATACTACTGTAGTATGTCCAGCAGTAATGCCCATGCCGCAGAACATTTTATGACTGAACAGCAGGACTGGCAACAACTGACTGATAAGGCAGTGCAGATAGGTACCAACCAGGTTGTGTTGTGGCCCTTTCAAGCCCTTCAGTGTGCATTACATACATTCAGTACCTTGTGCACAGCCACACAATTGATGACTGACATAATGAACGACGATGTGGTAGTGCAGGCGCATCTGCCAGGACATGCGCCATAAGAATACCTGCTTGCTGGTGTTTCCAATGAGATTCGTGTTTTGTGCTATTTGGTCATTGCATGATACTTGTCCGAATTGAGCCACGGCAATGCAACGTCGGGATCCTTATGCGCTTGAATCTATGTCCCTTCTGTTATGAATGTGGCCCAGAAAGGACTTTGTCATGTATTCTCTGTGTCTTGCAATCAAAGGGCTATCTTGTTTTCACAGTGTTGATATCTTGCCTTTCAGAATGTTGCAGTTGTCTTGGCTGCAATGCTGCCATGCTCGCAACTGTATGGTTTCCTGGGGTGCCAGCTGATGAAGATTTGGCCAGAGGCCGATCATGACTATACTGAGTGGATCAAGACCTATGCAGCAGAGGAATATCTGGTGTGTGAGATCTTTGCAAGACGGTGCTTGGATGCAGCTGCTTCCTACAGAATGAATACCTGCTTCAAAAGACTGAACAGCCACATGCCACACAGTGGGGAAATGGGCTTAACAACCAAATGCTGCTGCTACGGCCTGGCATGCTCATAAGCAACTGTCGTTTTTCAGTGATGAAGTCCATGCATTGCGAGTCGATGTGTCTTGCTGAAATGGTCACACATTGGAAATGTGCACGTTGGGTTGCAGCAGTCTCCCTGGATGCATCCTGCTTCTCATTTAACGTCATTCCCCAATGCAATTTACAACCTGAAGGCGACAGTTTGGATTTGAACGAAAGAATGAGTGAAGGGTTAGCATGACGAATGAGATGGAAAGAAGTGGATCCATGAACATTTGCAAGCAGGTGGCAGTTTTACCTGTCACATGCCTCCCATAACTGCAATGTAGTGCCGAAATCACACCAGCCATGGTCACATACTGATCACATTTGGCTTTGCTGCATTGCAAAACTGAAGTGCAGGGGCCTGAATTCTGAGTCAGGTCAGCAAGTTATGTGTGTTTTGGTCTTCAAGCTGCAGATGTGAACATGCTTGTTCATGGTAACGTTGCCAAACATCATCACTATGATAAGTGATGGTGAGCGATTACACCATGAGTTTCCTTCTTCTTGGCTGCTTGTTTGGACATGTAAAAGCATGCACATAGCAAACAAACAACTCATTGTTGATGCGATTGTCCTTGGGTCAGTGCATGATGAGCAGTGGCTAGAAGTAGCCCATCTTGTTGGGGATGTCGCAATCTCTCTTTGTGCAAATCGCCAGATGCTCAAGCTTCCACTCACTGTCTGGTGCAGCTTTGGTCTGGTGCAGAAATTGATGGTACATATCGTTGTCACATTTGTTCTCCCATTAAATTCCTGTCAACCCCCTTGGTGCATTGTCAAATTTTTAGGAACTGCCAGCAAAGAAAGGGAAACTGCTGGACGAGATAGCTGATCTGGAGGATTATGGTAAGCTAATGCTCTGCTGACCTTGTACAGATCTTTCTTAGGGAGTGCAGCACAGCTGCAGGTCAGCAATGGTTTTCGCTGCATCTTGCAGTGTGTCTGATGGCAGTGATGTGAAATGAAGGGAGATTGCCGGTGAAGGCCAGCTGTGAATTCGCTTGTTCTTTCTGTTTCTCCAATGTGCATAGTATGCACAGCAGCTTGCAGTCGTTCACATCATGGTGTGTGGTTTCCCATCTTGGCAGCTCTGCCGCAGAAAGGACATGATTTCATGCTACTAGCTGGCAACAAAGCAATTTCAGGCAGAAGGGTCTATTGTAGTTATTCAACCCTTGCACATTTTGAATTTTCAGTGTTATGAATTTCTCTGCATTTTTTCGACATACCACTTCTTACGCTCCACACGGTGCCCAGTGTAGATAGGTTGGAGCAGAACAACCTGCTGGCCAAGTTTCAGGTGGAGCTGACCAGTTCACAGGCTCCTGCTGTCCTACATGTCCTGGCACCAGTTCACAGGCTCCTAACGCCCTACATGTCCTGGCACCATTACATTTTTATTGTTGCATAAAACGGTGAATCTTTCATCACAATGTGGAAGGGTCTATTTTAAAGTGGTGGTAGGAAATGTGCAGCCTTCTATTAGCAGACTTCTATTAGCAGCTTCTATGGGCAGCCTTCTATTATTGAAGGCCTGTTGACATGGTGCATAGACATCAGGGTACACTGGTCGACATTGTAGAGATGTTATGTCTAATTGTTCTGCTGTTATAAGATGCGTGATGCTCAGGAGCCCTTGCCGCTCACTTGCATAAAAGGCATGACAGAGTGATTTCATCAACCTAAAATTTACCACCTCTTCCAGCAGCATGGCTTGCAGGGTGATGATGTTGGTCTGATACAGAAATGTAGGAACGCATGTGCTGAAGGGCCATGCTTGTCAATAGGCAAACTTCTGAAGTTTTACAAGCAAGCCATGGAACTTGAGGTTCAGTTTTTCAACGACCATCAGCCATTTGTTCAATCACCTGCAAGTAAGTGTGACTCTTTCTGCCGCATCAAAGCTTGCTACTGGAACCAGGTACAAGTGAAACATAGAATACAGCTTGCTATGAGTGCACAATGCAGTCTCCTTTTCACACTTGTCACTGCAATGTTGTCAAGCACTCAAGGTGTAGCTGTTGAGCTGATACATTTGTTTTACTGGTGGAGCGTCCTGCCTCTCTTGTGAAATGTTGATAGCCTGACTGTTGGCACTGCTTTTGCTCATTTCAATTGCCATTCCTGTGCCAGTGCTTAGTTGTTTGTTATCTTTTTCAGCAATAAGACATCTGTGCATGGTTGCATCGGCTCCTATTCAGTAGTTCTGCCATCTTTATGACCCAGGCATTGTTATGAGTGTAGAATCTTGTGTATGTCAGCGCAGTCGACTTGGACAACAAGGGAAATTGCCTCATTTCCTGGAAGAGGTGTGCTAACTTTTGGATATGTGCCGACCTGTGTCCCCTGTGAATACAGATAACTGAGTGAAACCCCTTTTTCCCCAGGGAACATTGGCGTTTTGGTTGTCGATTTCGACAACACCCTTACAGCAGGAGACACAGTCATGAATTTGATACGTGCGGTGGTAGCTGCTGCTGCGAAGGTAAGATGTATACAGAAATGCAGAAATACAATGCTGTACAATACTGAATGTTTGCCCTTTTGAACTCTTAATGGTGCTTTGAAGGGGCATGGTTTGGGCATTTGCCTCAGCCAGCAATGGCCAAGCTCCTTTTTGCTGGCCACTTCTGGATGGGTTGAACCATGGTGGCTTCTTAGAATTGTAAGGAGCTTCTGTGGTGCTGTTGCCTTCAATGCCACAATATGTGAAGATTTTATGCCAGTCAATCTGTGTGCCTTGGTGGGAGTCAATGCACCACTTCAGTTGGGTGTTGTTATCCAGAATGCACGTGTAGCTGGAGGCTCCTGCAGTGACGATGCATAGAATCTGCTCACCCAACACAGCAGCCATTCAAGCTCTATTGACAGCAGCAGCATTCAAACGAACTCCAGCTGTGTGTGTAGAGGCTAGGCGGCACTCCTGAGGAAGCAAAGCAAGTATTGCAGGACAGGATGGAACTGATCGAAGGAGCTTCAGGTGCTTATCAGGTTGCATTTGAGGCTCTGCTTGAAGAGCTCATCTCTCCACAGGTGTGTGTGTGTGTGAGTGAAACTCCTTATTACACTAAAGCAGAGTGAAAAATGCCGCCGACCCTAACCAAAGCCAGAAGATTGAAGGCCTATGCCATCCTCAAATCGAGTGAGGTCGATGCAGGCCCAAGGAAATCCGGAGAAGAGATGTCAGAATATACTGATCAACAAGAAAAGAGCAGAATGAGCAAGTCGGATGCAATCCGGGGTCGGTTGCATCATGCCAGCCAATATAGACGGTCAGAGTTCAGGAGAGTTCCCTGCCATTGTTCCCCACTATTCCCATTGTTCCCATTGTTCCCACTGTTCCCATTGTTCCTATTGTTCCCATTGTTCGCATTGTTCCCATTGTTCCCCATTCAGAGTGTCTCAGAAGATCCTTCCCATCATGTTCAAAGCCCCTCCAAAGCAAACTGGTCCCATCGGTGGATATCCCCAGCTAAGTGCCCAACTGCCACAATCCTTGTATGACGATGCAGGCTGATAATAACTCCCAGAAAAATCTCGTAACTCTCACGATGAACTGTCCCTCTCGAGAGAGGAGAGAGTACTTGTCACGACCTGGCGTATGGCCCTAAGGAAGTGGGCCAAGAAGTGTCTGCCTCTCGTGGCCAAGAAATGCCAAGTTCATCCGATCGACCTGTCATAAGCTGCTACAGAACCGTTAGCAACGTAACGCGCATAGCGCCGCCTCTAGTACGCGAAGCGCGGACAGTGGAACAGGATGTGTGCTCTATCACAAATGTGATAGTCGCACCATGGGCACGACTGAGTATGGGTTAGGCCGATCTTATGTAGGTAACGGGGGCATGGATAGTGTCCCGATAGGAACCGGGCTGCCAAGACTGACTCGTGTCTGGTCAGGTCACGAGTCTAGAGGATCGAAGGTGTGAAGTAGGGCGGGGAGAGGTCAAGATCGTGGCCAGGGTGGGCGATGTCCCATTGAGTGTTGATGTTGGAGGTATAATGGTGCCTGATATAGGTTTTTAGGCATTCAGCAGAGTAGGGAACATCGATCATTGAGGGAAGCAGCGAATTGTTATCATCCACTTGGTCCTGTCCCAATGCATAAGGGGTGCAAAGGGACATCGCTGCTCGGCGAGCCGCTCGATTCACAGCATCATTTTCCGAGAGGTCCATACGACCAGGGGACCACCAAAGGCGGATCTCTGGTATCCTGGAGTGTAGGATCGAGAGTGCCTCTCGGGTGGTGATGCTGAGTTCGGAGGGGTCTTGGATTTGTTGTAGACTTGTAAGAGCGGCTTGCGAGTCAGAAACGATAGTAATGCGGGAGGGGGGTTGGGTGTAGTGACGTGTTGGCAACCCTCGCGGATGGCAATGAGCTCGGCCTGGGTACTGGAGTGCAGTCCAGTAAAGCACACGGAGTGGGTGTTGGTAAGGGGGCCGTTACCAGAGAAGAAGAGGGCAACAGCTCCGCATTTGTAATGGATGGCGTGATCACGTATGACGGAACCATCGGTGAAGATCCACAAATCGGTGGCATCCGATGTCTGTCTCGCGTGTCGAATACAGTCAGTTGCGTGATCACGTGGGAGAATGGTTGGTTGGGGAATCCACTTCCCGGTGGGAAATGGGGAATCGTCGATGCAGGGTCAACCGTCCACCAGCGTTTGGTTTCCACCTTCTGGAGACTGGTCAATGTGAGCTGGGACCGACGAGAGAGGAATCGCAACTCCGAGCGAAGAATATCAAGGGGAGCAGGTTTACGATTCAATCCCATAGAGGAAGGGGTGGCTGACAGCAAATCTCTGGAGTGCGAGAGCTGTCTAAGGTAGAACTCAACTATTATCTGGTGTATGTACGTTTCTGCCGGTCGAAGGCCCGCAGTCACGAGTGCCGTATCTGTGGATACAGTGCGGAGAAGACCTATACTAGTTTTTGTGCAGTGTCGTAACACGTGCGTGAGTGGGGAAGGGAGGATGTGGAATGGACCATTGTGCACCATGTGGATGCAGCGTAAAAGAGGACTGGTAATATAGTGGCATCGATCATCTGGCGTGCGATAATGGGGTGGAATCCCCATGTGGTTTTGAGGCCCCATCGCAGCATCCTCAGGCGTTTGAGCGCCTTTTCAGTGACTTTGAGGATGTGTGTCTTCCATGAGAGAGTGGGGTCTAACCACACGCCAAGATAGCGAAGGGCAAGGGTGCACTCCAATTCCCGTCCATGGAGAGTGTAGGGGAGTGTCCCTAATTCTGCCGATGATCAACAACTTGCATTTCTCCGGGCTGAAGGTCATGTGTCACCGTTTGGCCCACATCGTAATGCGTCGTTCCATTTCGCGCGTGATGTTCCCGTCAGATTGTCCCTTGGCGAGCATCCAATGTGACACGACATCATCAGCATAGGCCTGTGTATGCGTCCCAGAGACAACGTGAAGGTTGTCTAACAGATCCTGGATATAAACCAGAAAAAGGATGGGGGAGAGAGGGGATCCTTGGGGGACGCCTCTTTGTAGGGTCCGAGTGATCGAAGTAGATCCAACTCAGAGACAGACCGTTCGGCTGGAGAGGAAAGAGTAGATCCAACCAATAAGATAGGGTGGTATCTTCATGGTGCCAAATTCGTGAACAAGGCCCATGTGCCACACTCGATCATAAGCACCCTTGATGTCGAGGGAAAACACGGCCATGCGGCAACGATTCTGCAGTGCTCGAGATGCCGCATTGATCAGATTCCACAGTGCAAGTTCAGTATCATGAGCTTGACGAAAGCCATGCTGATGTGGGGACAGCCGACCGTTTGACTCCAAAATGTAGCTCAAGCGACTTGCTACTATCCTTTCCAACGTTTTGGAGATGCAAATCAACAGACTGATGGGTATGTAACCACTGAGCATCGAAGTGTCTCCATTGGGTTTGGGAACGGGGATGACATTAGCAAGTCGGTGTGTGTGTGTGTGTATGAGGTTGAGATAGCTGATGCATGCTGGCAATAATGTCATTGTTGCTGCTGCTGCTGCTTTGTTGTGATGTGAGAAGGGTGCTACAAATGTCTATTGCTCGTTTTGGCAGCATAGCAGTTGTTCTCTTCTTCACAGCTTATTTCAAAATATGTGTTTTGCTTGCTTGAAGCTTGTAAACCACAACAGCTTGTTCAAAATGTCAAAAGTTTGTGCGGGCACAAGCTCAAAAATGCACATGACATACCACATGCTATGTTGAGTGAATTCAGCAGGATAAAGTGCAAATTCTGGTGCAGGTGACTCCAATCATAATCTTTCACAATTTGTTTCTGGCTGCGTATGTGTGTGGTGCTGAAAGATTACCATCTGTGTCCTTGTCACTGCAAGCTTGTGCATCCCTGTACATTGGTGCACCAACAGCTCAACATGCCTTGTTGGCCAAGATGTTTCCGTAGACAATGCCATTGCATCACATCTGGTGCTGGTGGCATTCTTTGAGATAGGTGTCATCTGTGTTGGCCAGGTCAGTGCGGTGAAGGGCAAGCTGGAGTTTGACTTGGAGATAGTGTCTTATGTGTGCATCAAGCTGTCGGAGTTTGACCGGTTGTGGTGCCAGAATTCCATTGATACTGGGGTCTTGAAAGGTGTGATGCAAGATTTGTTTCTTGTTGTGGTGAACTTTTCATTAATGTTCTGGTTGTTGAGCCAGTGTTCCAGCTATGTAATGCTATGTAGTCATATACCTAGCTATGCAGCCAGATATCCAAGTACTCGAATGCCATAGAAAAGGGTTGCACCTGTGAAGTAGTGTTAGGAGTTGTGTGAGACATCACAGCTTGATACACAAGCTTCTGGCAGCAGTGTACACATCAGTGCTCTCTGTCGTGGATGAGCAGAATAGAAATGGTGTGTGGTGTTCTACTGTTCTCTGTAGTATGATTTGTGATTCATGAGCGCCAAAAGAGCTTCATGTTTGTCAAATGTCCAAGATCATGTGCAAAATTACAGGCCTAGATATGCTTGCTTCACATTCCTTGTTCTTTGGTTATTATTGTTGTCGGTTGCCTTGCTTTTCTTTCTGTGCGTGTCTGCACTGCTGTTGGTGCTCCAAGGTTGTTTGGATGTTTGGTGGGTGGGAGTGGGAAATGGTTGTCAGCATCCTTGTGGGCACTTGTGCACAATTGGAAAATGATGGGTGGAATGGATGTTTGGGTGTACCGAAGTGATGTTAGCTCAACTTGCATTTTCTTTCTGGTAGGGACCATACCTGCAAGATGTGCAAGATTTTTTACCTGCAAGATTACAAGAGAGAACGAGCACCTGTGTTCGCATTTCAAGGGGAATGCACAAGTCCATTGGCATGTGTCAATAAAGTCCTGCCTGACTGTGTGGTTGCTACTCTGTGCCAAACATGTGTGCTGGCATGTGGTGCTTGAGGTGCCCTCCATAGCCTTTACTTCTGATGCAAAGACAGTGTCCACAAGGGTATATTGCCTGAGCCTGTAGAGATAGCTCCATTGTCAGGAATAGTAGAACAGCTAAGGAAAGACAGGAGACCCCAATGTGTTGGCAACACTTGCTATGTTGTCACCTCCCATGGCCGCTCGGTGGCCTGGCATTCACTGCAGAAGTAATTTCCATGTTTGCCATAGGATGCACTGGCAGTTACATCCGCAACAATTTGCTTGGCTCTTGTTATCAGATGCAGGCAGGGAGGATGTGCAGAGGACTGCTGGCCGTAAGGTCATGCTGAGGGATGGGTGCCTGGAAGTGCTGGAAAAAGCAAGACAAAAGGGATGGGGTGTACGCGTGCTGTCCCAGAGTTGGTCAGCGCACATGATCAAATCTGTAGTGGGTGACCACGCAGAGATAGTCGAAAGGTGGGGGGGCTGCACTGTGACAAACAACTGAGCATGGGGCAAATTGCCAAGATGTTGAAGGTCTTGATTGGCGATTGATGGATCCTGGCTGTTGCCCCTGTGAGAACAAGGAGTGCAACCAATGTTTGCAGATGCAGACTAGAGGAATTGCTTGATGCCACCACTGACAACAGAAATGGACATTTGCTTCACAATACTTCTGTGAGTACAACATGGCTAATGTGTTGCATATGCTGTATGGTTTTGTACCTTATGTAAATGGAAGATATTTCGGTTGCTTTGGGTTGCTTTTGGTTGCTTCTGCCTTTTTCTCCTCTCTTGCCAGGTAGATAGATACTGAAATACAACTCAGTGAACACTGTGCAATGGCATGTACAGGGAAGCAGAAACAACTGGGGATGCAGCAACTATTCGAATTACTGCCAACGAATTGATTTATGAAAATGATATTACTACAGGGGATGTCACTAGGTGAGCATGTTCCGGCAACTCAGATCGGTTCACAAACTTGCTACTTCTCATTTTTCCCCCTGTGGCAGCGGTCGTTGCAAGGCTGATCGCAGTCGTGTGCCACACCACAAATATATCACAATCAGCAATTTGTGGAGAGACGATGAATGGGAACATACCTGGGAAAGTGCCTTTGCCATCAATGAGACATTCTGCGAACCAAGAGATTCTTTTAGACGTTACGCAAATGTGGTCAGGAGTCTTTTGAGCACAGCCCCAGGCCAGGCTGCCGGAGGGGTGGGTTGGCGTATGAAACTGAGTGATGACACAGAGTACATAAGTGTGGTGGTATTCACGCAGTGTGTAGTTCAGGCTGTGCTGTTTGTAAGGAAGGGCGTTCATGTTGCTTCATGCATGGCTGTGCCTGGCACAGTGCATGGTACAGTGTGCCACAATGCGCAGGGTACTGAAATGCACTGTTGTCGGAGTTTAAGTTCTTCTACTCTCTTGTTGTATTCTGAACCGGTTGGCACCTGTTCAGTGTGAACAGGATGTTGCTGTTAGTGTTGTATTTGCGTGGACTGGGTCTGTCTGTGCAGTAGGGCAATGTGAGTGTACTCTCAAGGCTGTCCACAATGAGAACATGTATCTGAGCTGTAGCCCTTGTGTGTGACGTTTCAGGTCGGTGGAGTGTGCCGATGACAAGGGTCGGGCATTTGATGACATCCTTTTGGATGAGATGTCAAGGGAAGGCAGGGACCCCCATGGGTGGTCTGTGTACATTGGGGATGCACCTGCAGATATCCTGCCACTATTAGCGGTAGGTCCATGGAAGTTGACCTTGCAGTGGATCTGTCCCAAGGTGGTGCATAAGGCTGCCAGGGGGATACCCATTGTCACTTGGCAGACACCATTTTGGTCTGGATGTGAGTCTGTCAATATGTTGACCAGAAGAATTCAGGACACAGAACATGTTTGTTTGTTTCCTCCTTACATGGATGCATCGACATGATGTCACGGCATCGATAAATGTAGCGTATCATCCAGTGTGCGAGGGGCATGTCTGGGCCCAACTATGTAACCAAAAACACGCCTCTAATGGCGGCCACAGCTGCCGAACTACCGAACTCCTGGAAACTCCCCCACGAAAACAAGAGAAAATGTCTGCAAGCCAGAAATCAGAGTGATGGACTAATCCTCGGTCACCTCCTTTGCTCGAATGCGGACACAGAACATGACTCGTGTTAAGTGCAAGTCCCTGTTTCCTTCAACCGTTGCCCTGTGCTCGTATTGTGTCCAGGTTCGATTCCTAGTTATGGTTAGATACGATCAATAATTGAGTTGCAGCTGGAGATTGCAAGTTTGTGCTGCTGCAGGCTGATTTTGGCATTGTGTTCAACAAAAGCAAGGCAATGGGTGACATACTGCAAGCCCTGTGCATACAACTCAAGCCACTATCTGCAGCTCCATTGGAGCCCACACCCCAGGGTGCGCACAACAATGACCGACCGCAGCTTACTTGCACCTGTGCTGAAGTTGACTTTTTCGGTACATTTCTGGTAATATATGCTGGAATGTGTGACATCGGCCGATCCATCTCCCATCAAATGCAAGCCCAGGGTATATTCAGCAGTTGTGTATCTTATATGCCGGGGTGCACTGTATGCTGACCTTGTTCTGTCTCAAGCAATCTTGGATTGATTTATGTTCCTGCCGTCCAGGTGTCATTCCAGTGCTGTATGAGACAGCCTCATGGCACGACATTCATGCTTTCTTGCACGGTTCTGATGATGTGGCCAGCATCCAGGCAGCTGAGCAACCAGTGTCTGTGCCAAGGGTCTTGATTGTTGCTGGATCCGATTCTGGAGGGGGAGCTGGTGTGCAGGCTGACATTAAGGTAGTATCTGGAGGTAGCTGCTGATCTGCATTTGTGGCTGCACTTGCAGATGCGAAATTGTGTGCAGGAGATACGAATGGGAAACTTTTGTTGGGTTAGCTGTCCACTGGTTCGTTCATCAGACAACCCGACTGTGTACCTGACGGTTGCTTTGCTGCACTCATCACCCTTCTTCTGCGTTGCTTTCTGCAGACTTGCCTGATGAGTGGCGTGTTTGGATGCACGGCAATTACGTCTTTGACGTTTCAGAACACAAAGGGCGTTCAGGGGGCCTACAACATCCCACCAGAAGCAATAGATGCCCAAATAGATGCAGTTCTGTCAGGTTAGTTGACACTGTGGGTAGAGCAGCGATGGGCAGGTTGCCAGTGAAGTGCAGCTGGCATCCACACTCCTAAGATTGTTTTGCACAAGGTGGATGCTGGGCAGCATCAACCATAAAATTGCAAAATGATTGCAGGCCAGCCGTGGCCTGGCAGTTTCTGGAGCACTGTTTCCCATAGGGTTATTTGCAGTTGGGCAGTTGTGTGCACTTATGAAATGACAGTTGGGGTGTCCATTTTGCGAAGTGTTGTGAGGTCCTTGTAGACAACTAGCGAAGTGTCTGATGTTTTCGCAAACTCAGTAGAGACACATCGTTTGACCAGGTTGCCTTGTTTTACAGTGTTGTAATGAACACATTCGGACTGCGGGATGGTTCTGCATGAATTCTATTGCTGTCTGTTGCAGACATAGGCACACATGCTGTCAAGACGGGCATGCTGCCCAGTGCACAAGCTGTCAAGGTGGTTTCCCAGAAGATTCTGGAGTACCAGATTCAGAATCTGGTGGTTGACCCTGTCTTGGTTTCAACCAGTGGCCATTCTTTGGCTGAGAGCGATGTTGCAGCTGCTATTCGAGAAGATCTCATGCCACTTGCAAAGGTGGTGACGCCAAACATACCCGAAGCCGAAGCTCTCTTAGGTAAGTGACTGTCAGTTGACAGCCTTGAAAAGTGTTACCCACCCACAACAGCATTCACATTGTACGCTGCTGTGAATCCTATTGGCTTAAAGTGACGGAACACATCCCTTGCACCTGAAGTGATCTCCAGTGTGAGTTCTTGTGCACATTGTTCAACGTTGCAAACACTGTCATGTTAAAAAGTGTATTTCAATCCATTGCAAACATGTGAGAATCTTCCTTTGGCTCCGAATTGATGCAGACATATCATCGCAAATGGGCCAAACATTTTACTCAAGTACAGCCAATGCCATTTGATGCACAAGTGAAGCTGTGGTCCCAGCAGCCAGACAATAATAATCACCATGACAAGCCTGCCCCTCGTCGCTGCCAACCTATGTAGACAATGGCCCATCCTCTGAAAGATGGATTGAATTCCTAAGGAAGAGCTTGCACCTTATCCTAACCTGGGGGAAGGATGCGGAAGGGCCCAGAAGGACACCTTCAAGTGAAAGCGTCCAGAACCTGGATGCCAGTCAGCGCCCTGGTCCTATCCTCGATCAGTGCAAGGATTCAGCCACCTCTCCCACGACCTGAAGCATTCCTGATCGAGCCAGCTGCAGTGCTGAGGTGGAGCACTTGTCACCAACAGTCTGCCTTGCCAGATGAATTGGCCCAGGGTTCGTAGACAGGTGGCAGATGATCGCAAACAATTGCGGTGCACAGTGTGTGACGCACCTTGCTATGTACCTGCAGGAGGGAGAACCATCAGTAATGTGGAAGACATGGAAGCTGCAGCCCGTGATCTTCATGCATTTGGATCAGAATATGTCCTTGTGAAGGGAGGGCATCTGGTGTCAAGGCATGAGGAAGCCAGGAGTGGTGCATTGGAGGTCGTCGATGTGCTTTTTGATGGCAAAAACATCTCACACTTAAAGCAGTCAACCATCACCACCAATAACACCCATGGAACAGGCAAGTATTCTGCAATGTACCTTCGGTGTTGTGTTCCTGCATACCGTACTGCAGAAGCATACATTGCAAGAGCGCATAGTAAAATTTCTTGGCTTGTTGTGGGTATTTTGTTTGTGTGCATTGATTTTGCTTTGCTGTGCGATTTACTTGCCAGTGCAGTATCTCGTGTGACAAAACTATTCTCTGAGAATGGGGTGCATCAGGCTCACCAAGAGTGGACCTGCACTTGATCGCCTGGCTGTATTATCTTCAGTGATGATTTGCATCATTTTGGCATTCAGGATGCACTCTTGCATCAGCCATCGCTGCTGAGCTGGCAAAAGGTTCAAGCCCGCTAGCAGCAGTACACAGGGCTAAAGCGTACGTCATTGATATCTTGAGGAAGAGCAAGGGCATGAAGACAGGTATGAAACGATGCTTGCATACTGTGGTCCATGTCCTATGGACATCTCACAGTTTTTCCTGCAATTGCATGACAGCAGTGAGCACTTGCTAGGTTTTGCAATCCTCGCCATTGCGTTGCCGACTGCAGACAACCTGTTCACATGAGCAACAGCATCTGCATTTTGTGTTATGCTGCACACAAAGATTTGTCCAGCACCACCCGGCGATGGTAATCAATGCTGCATTGGATGCTGGTTTCTCTCTTTTGCACAGTGCTTGCCATTCACAGTTCTATGCTTGGTATATCACGTTTCCTGTGGCGTTTGTGTTTGCATAGCGTCCAGTACCTTGTTGCTCACAGTGGGCATACTCACTTGCAGGGGATTTATTGGGTACTTTTCATTGATAATTGAACAGCCATGCAAACTAACTGGGAACGGAGTTGGACAAGGCGTAACCATAATGCTAAGCCCAGCACATTGATGTGCACAGTCTATCCGTCACGCTGCTTGTTTGTGTTGTGGCTTCTATTGCAGCCCGTTTCTGTCCCTTTCCAATATTGCTTGCTTGCTCAGTTTTGGGCACCGATCGAAAAGATTGATCTTTCAGCACCTTGGCTCATGTTATAAATATTGGAAACAGTATTCCATTCAGGGCTGACCTGGCTCAACAGGTTCACCTGCAATTTGCAAGTAAGACACAGCTCCTGTGGATGTACCCTGGCATGCGTAACCCCCTGCAGTGGTTCTCTCAAAGGTACCGGTGTGCAGCAGCCCATGAATCATGGTGCAACATTTGTTGATTGGGGTTTGCACGTGGGAAGCCCGTCTGGTGGTGGACCAGGAGACTTGAGGCTGTATGCTGTCACAAGCAGCTCAGTAAACAGAAAGTGGGACAGGTGGGATGACTGTGGCATCATGTGCACACAAGAGCCATTGGTGACATGGGGCATGCCCTTGGCTGCAGCAGAATGTGCAGACCAGGAATGACAAAAATTGGCTTCAGACAATTGTCACATCGTTTCATGGCGGCCCATGTGCACTGGGACATGTGTATACTGGCAAAAGCCAGCCCTCCATATCACCTGAAAATCTGTTGTGACTATGAGCTGTGCACTATGTGAGGTTGGAAAAGTTCATATACAGTCTCCGCAGTTGGCAAGGAGTGGATTATCTGTCATTTGTAAGTGAAGGTGGCCCGTTGGGACTGGGTGTATGTAGCAGACAAGCACCTATCTATACTGGGTATCTGCTGCCACTGGGGGGTTAATGTGAATTTCTGGGCTGTTGTGGATTGCTTCTTGCACTTGAGGACCACCGCCTTGGCTCACACTATGATTGGGTTGTGTACTTGCAGGTCCATCGTCGATGCAGTGTCCCTGGCCATCTCTGGCGGAGCGTCCATCATTCAGATCCGTGAGAAAGAGGCAACCACCATGGAGTTCATATCCATTGCCCAGAGTGTCCTGGCTGTCGCACGCCCACAGGGTGTTAAAGTCATTATCAATGACAGAGTGGATGTTGCTTTGGCTGTTGATGCTGATGGAGTCCATGTGGGGCAGGAAGACATGCCTGCAGCAGACGTGCGACTGATTCTTGGAGGGAAGAAGATTGTTGGTGTGTCCGCTAGGAGTGTGGAGCAGGCAGTGAAGGCGCAGAAAGATGGAGCTGATTATATAGGCGCTGGCGCAGGTGGGAGAAGCAATCCACACTGCTCAAAACTGTCCAGGAATGAAATTTTGCTGGAATGGTGCCTCTCTACATTCTGTTTCTTGTGCGGCAAAGAGCATTGCGACACCAACCAACTGACCATGGTGTGGGCATGTTCCCAAATTTTGCGTCCGTTTCCAAATATTTCAGAGGACGAAAGCCAGTGTGTGGAACATGTTCTGCTTTACCATGGCACCCTGTGTTGATACCTTCAATTGGCATGTGATCCTGCTGCTCCCTGGAACCACCCCACAGCAGTTCTGTTGGTCCGAATGTGTGGGATGCCTGGGATTGTCTGAGACCTCGACTTTGGCTGCCGCAGTGTTCCCCACCAGCACGAAGGAGAGTGATGCGATTGGATTGGAATGCCTCCATGACATCTGCACCGCTGTGTCTGTTCCGGTGGTGGCAATTGGGGGAGTGTCAGCAGAAAACGCTCTTTCCACCATCGATGCAGGATGCAAGGGGGTGGCCGTCGTTTCCTCACTCTTTGACAGTGATGATCCAGAAACGGTGGGGCAGGAACTTCTTGCTGTGGTGGAGCAGGGGCTGAAGATGAGGAAGTCGCCGTAGGTTGGACCTGTGGTAAAGCTACGTGCCGTGGGATGTCTTTTCTTTGCACGATGCAGTCATGGTTACCAATTCGTTTATCACCAGCTGGGGCACCCTGCACCAGTCCGGGGATGCACGGATTTTAACAGCACCGGAAGCTTGAATGCGAGCTCTCGAAGGCGTGTATGGTGCGACTTTGTGACGGGACGTCGAACTTACTGTTGCCAGCTTGAGATGAGACGATCACACTTTGCAGAGGATGTTCGGTTGCGGATCCGATTCTCAGAACAGACAAGCAATCATTCTAAGCATGTCCAACGCTATTTCCTTCACTGGTTGCTATACGTGCCTGCATGAATGCCATCGCCTTGTGCTCTGATTGCTGTACCCCTATGCCCCAGCCTCTCCTCTCTCCCTGGCTACTGGTGCATGTGCAAGATACCTGACAGGGGCGACTCGTTATCGATTCCAATGCGCCCAATGCACAGGCGCCAACTCCGCGAGCATGTCGATTCCCACCGTCAATGTCTAGGACTGCCTGTGCCATTTGCTCGATTCTACAACAACTAAGGGTTGATGCCGTAGAATTGCCGAATCCCATGCACCGTTGCTAGCCGCCAGCGTATATGTATGCACAAGTCTTGTTGGTTATCATCTTGCTACTCAAACTAAACAGGCGCCCCTTGGTGGGACGTCAGCACACGTGTGGGATCAGCCACGGTGTGAATGCTGAATTCTTGGGGAACAAGGACCATAATGATGACGAGCAAACCGGTGAATGGATCTTAGCTGTGCAAAAACATCTTGCCTGGCTTGCGTTGCGGTTAGCCTGATTCTGGTGTAGCCATAAATACTCACAGACCATGGTCTATGACAGGCGAAGATCAACCTTGCACAATGCGTGACATGCTCGAATTGAACATTGGTCGCTTCACCAGGCCATTTGGACAGCGAATGCGCCAATGGTTGGCAAGCAGATGGGCCAATTCTGGCACTGGATTCGAGATGGGCGCACCGCGATTCGGAAGCGGCCTGGCGGTCCATCGTAGTTGTTTCAAATGTCACACGGTGAGGCTCATTTGGCAAGTTTTTGCCACCCTACAGATGGAGATCTGGCTGGCTCTGCTGGGCTAGTGACTTGCTTGAAACAAGTCAATAGCAATAGAAGAAACGCTTGCCATAGAAGCAAGTTGTTTCTATTGCAAGATGCTGCCAACCATACGTTGTGGAAAGAAGTCATTCTAGTGCTGGCGAGCCACAATTACAACGACACTTTCTTCGTCTTGCACCTCTCTGTAATCGCTGATCGCCAGCAACGACAACAACGGTCAGAAGCAGGACGCTGCTTCACTAGCCAAAGTACCAGCCACATGGATTCCTTGTGATCACAAGGAATCCATGTGGTTACATGGTACAAGAAGGTCATGAAGGAACAAGATGGTCATGACCATCTTGTTCCTACTCAGGTTCGGCCAAACGGCAATTAACATCGATGCAGGTTGTCATGATTTCTACAAGTCCCTTGAGGTAGACCATGCGAACGACACGATCAATCGGTGAGAGGGACCATCGGCGAGGCACGAAATTCAGTGGTGGTGCTCCTTCAAGCCGGCAGCAGCTGTCTCCCTGCTTCAGCAGATGGGTTGGAAGGGGCAGTTGGGAAACCGTTACAACAGTCGTTTCCCGCGCACAAACAGCTCATGAGCGGGGTGCAACCAGATTGTACAACAGAGTGTCAGCTTGGATGCCAGTGGCGCGGATAGCAACGCACCGCGAACCTAGCATGACCTTTGAGCGGCTGTGAAACTTTCCTGGCCAATCTACACCGAGTCTTTCGAGGCAGTCGATGTCTGCACCTCCCAAACACCTGTATGTTGTTTCATGTGCATGGCACATTCTGCTTTGGAATGCAGTCAATGGGTTCATCCCCTGTTCCTTCTGGAACCCGTCTGCCTTGATTAGTCCAGTGAGGCGCTTTGCCGCGAAGGTTGCGACCGGAGAATCACGGCCCGTCGGACGAGCAGGGGCACGGCTTTTTCTGCCGCGGGCCCTCGTGTGCAGTATTGGCTTGACGCCTCTTCCCCGTCGTAATGCGGGCTCCGTCTCCCCCGGACGTCGCGCCCCCGTGTATGGCTTCCAGGTCAACGTTGGAAATGACGTAACCGAGGCGAATGGCGGTGACTTGCAGCTGCGCGACCACCTGGGAGAGCGTGCACGTGGCGGGGCCGTCGACACGCTGGCCGGGCTCCTGCCCCGATGCCCATGGAGTCCCCCGTGTTGAGACGATGCCGGCCACCCCCGATGCGGGCTCGTCGCGACTCCGCAGTTTCTGGCATGGGGAAGCCTGGCAGCCGCGGCATCCATGCTCCTCCATCCTGGTGCCTCTTCCACGGCCACCCGCCAAAGCACCCTCCATTTCGCCGCTCCCCGTCGCAGTGGCGGGAGTTGCGTCCGAAGCGGACTGCCCGGCGGGCGGAGCCACCAGCCGCAGACGCGCCGCGCCCCGCTCCTCCCGCGGGCCGCCTGAAGGGGCGCCGTCGAGGCCGACGGCCGGGTCTCCGTTCTCGGTTCGTGGGCTTGACCCATCCTTCCCGTCATCCATTTCTATCTTTTCGCAATAGGCGGGCGCGTCGTTGGCAGTTGCCGTCCTTGATGTGCCGCGCGACTGGGCGACGGACTTGGCTTTGGGTCCCTTGCTGTAACTGCGGATGAGGGACGCCGCTGGGTAGCCCGTCACCACCGCATCCCGTGTCGCCCTGCGTTCGGACTCGCCGAAGCCATTGCCCACCACCGTTGTGCATTTCTTGCAGGTCGTGTCCGCGCCCTCGGTTTGGGCGCTGTCGCTGGCAGTTTCGTCTAGCGCGCCGGCAGTCGGATAATTGCTTCTGTGTTTGTCGCTGGCGTCGCGGCGTTGTTCGTGCGGCGTGGCCAGATCCTTCAGGTTAGCCCATTTGGGAATAAACACATCTGTTGGTGCACAAGTCTGCGAATCAAAATCATGCGGCTCTCGAGGCGCGCTGCCGGCAATAGCCGCAGGTTGGCATTGGCAGACGTGCGTAACGTCAGTTGTGACACTGGGCGGGAGCTGGGGAACCAAGGCAGCGGAAGAAACTGTCGTGGCCTGGTGAGGTGTTTGAATTTCACCTGTGTCAGACTCTGGAGACCTGGCGTTTCGCGCTCCTTGACGGGTGCCCTTGGGGTGCTGTGTTGCTCTCCGGACCTGCAGCGAATTTTGTGAATCGGCCCTCTGAACGGTCAGCGACCAGAGGTTCGAACAGTCACGAACTCCGGAGTCACAACTAGGTGTCTGCTTTACGTCACAGGAACATTACCTTGTGGTTGCGTTTGGACAGCTGCTGGAGCAGTTTCTTTGTGGAGGTTGCAAGGTCAACGTCCTCCCCTGAGAGTATAAAGTGCTTCTGGGACTCAAGCCGCTCCGCAGTGTCTCTAATCGTCTGTTCATCATCGGCTCCAGGGAAGGCACCAGACTGGACACCGGCAATAATACGAACATTCAGCGATGTCAGCGTGCTGCAGCGTCATTTGTGAGGCTACACAGCATATCGAAGGAAGCAGGTATGAACTGCCCACCTTCACGTGTTTGATCAGCGTATCCAAACAGCGAACTTTCCTGTAGGGCCATCGATCAACCCCAAGCTTCCGGCATTGCCTTTTCATCACAGTCAGGCCCACGCCCAGTTTTTTGGCAGCAGCCTCCGATGTCATCCCAAAGTATGTGGACAACTCCTCTAGGGAGATGGAAGACACCAGGCGACCCTGTGCAGCACCACAGCTTGAGCCGGTGTGCAGATGGCATCCTGCCAGATTCCACTAAAATAGTGTGGTGGTTCTTTTGCCTCAAATGCCGTGGGTTTCATGGCTGGTTTCCCAGAGCTGTGTCAGTTGTCAACAAGAGATTGCAAGTGGTATTATGTACGAGCCTCTGCTGAGGGTTCTGATGAGCACCTAGGAAACAAATTTGACCAAAATTGTCCTTGGATGGTTGCGAACCCTTTTGCACAATTGGGAAGCGGGCTGTATAGCCCAAGGTAGGCACAGTGGGCTCCTCAAGAGACCCCCACAGCAGGGAAGAAAAGCGGCGAACTTTCTTGGATCTGGTTTGTCGGCAAAATTTCACACTGTTGCAGGCACCACGCCGTAGGAGTCCGTATCATATCGCTCTTGGCGCAGGGTACCACAGCGACAGTCCCTACCCCTTTTGTCATTTTCCTCGCCGTCCTCCTGTCAGCCCGTGCGTCTTCGTCTCCTGCGAGTACTTATGTGCCCTTAGTCGTCAAGGAGGCCAGCATGCCACACACGTGGCGCTTGGCGCCCTCTTCACGCCCAAAGAACTGACCATCGAGCAGGCTGCCGCGCTGTCCCACTGCGGTTGTTTCTTCGAAATAATATGTGAAGAGACCGCCTGAACCAAGCGCGAGAATCGACTTCCAGCCAAGTGACGCATGGGCAGCGTTTTGCGGCAAACGTCAACGACTGGCGGGCGCGCTGCCCAAGCGGGTGGCACTCCCCCGCTCCCAAAGGACAGCCGCCGGGATAGGCGCTGTTTCGACGGGCCCTTGCCTGCAGAGGTGCCCTTGGAGTCGGACGCCGTTTCGCATGGGGTGCCCTGCGTCCGGTGACGACCCGTGCCCAACGAGCCCCTGGACCGCAGGGTCCGCAGAACCACCGCCGCCTCGTTCTCTCGCCTCCGCCTGTCCTCCCCATCGGTTTCCATTGTGCGCACCGGAAGCTAGCAGCGGACCGAATCTGGCGACGGCGCGCGACCAGGAGCGCAAGGGCCGCGCTCAGAACCAGTGGCCGTTTGTTGCCAGGTCAGGTGGTGCCCAAATGGGGCGGCCGCGGGGCGGTGTGCAATGAAATGAGCGGGATTGAACCGGCGCGGCATTTCACGCTGTGGTGCCCGTGGTGTGTTTCATCGACCGTTTACACACCAAGCTCATGTTGTTTGAGACAATTAGTAGGCTCCAATGGGGCTCAAGTGGAAAGGCATTGGACTTGGCACGTCGATCGTCGTTGTCCCCAAACCCCAATTTACTTGCCCAACCAGAAGTGCATAAAGCAACAGCGGCGCAGGGACCCAACAATGAATTCTTGTGCCATCTTGGTGAGAAGAACAATTCTCTTTGTGCGCAGCAACGCAGGAAAGGCTCTGTCCCAGGTGCAATGCTGCTTGATGGTTCTGGAGAATACGAGGCGTTGAAAAACAAGAAGGGGTCCCCGCAGCCTTTGCCATGCACATGTCCGCGGCCTCTAAGAGGTATCCAGTGTAAAGGCACGGAAAAACTGGGCTGAGTTTCATTTCTCCAGCAGCCCAATGTCGGTATGAAAATTTGATCTCTGAGGCACAAACTCGTATTGTCCTATGCAACCGCGCTCCATCTATCAGTCCCGCCAGTTGTCGGAACACTGGCGGCTCTTCCAATGGCAAACGTTTGGCGCTGATGGAACTCCACGACGCCAGACGCAGCGAGTGACACACGACAAGGAAGACCAGGGCTTTTGTGAACGAGGACTACCCTCCACAACCCAAAGTTGGTGCGGAGTCATTCCATTGGTGCTTTTCGCCCAGGGCCAAGACCTGAGACCGCAGGTGCAGTGCACAAAGCGTGTGCAAGGGGCGCTTCAGTGCCCGCACGGAACCATCGTTTGAAGCATGGGCGAGTACCTTCGTTGGTTTGGATCCAAACCCCCAGCCTCCGGTTGCGCCCGAGCGGAATGACTTCCACACGCTTGCGGCATTTGGCGTGGGCCACGCGGTACTGGCTCGTCGACATTGGCCAAGACAGTCTGTCGCCGACAGCCCCAGCAGTCTGCAAGACCAGGGGGCGCAATTATCTGGAGCCAGTTTAAAACCTGATGGAGGCCTTGCATCACACTCCGCGCGTCTGCCAAGGGACACACGGGCATCCAATCTGAGACATCCTCGACGAGACTCAGCTGGCGGCGCCAAATCGACAGCTTGTCACGCCTCGCGGACATTCCAGGCTGCTGTGGCTCTATGGGCACAGCCGTGTGTGCCTCACTGTGGCCGTGCGATCGCTTTGGCGTGGCTTGGAGAAAGCGGTGGGGATGGGGAGGCAGCAAGGACGTGGAGGACCGTCTGCACACAGCACTGAGCGTGAGTCAGGCGGGTGCAGCGGAACATCAGCAGCCGGCCAAATTCGTTGGCCTGTCTCCTCTGCCTGCTCCCTTCTCGCCGACCTTCGCGGACACGCGGACAACACGCCACCAATGTACTGGTGAAGCACACTGACAAGATGTTCGCGCGTTGGACTATCCCCACCAGGCACATCCTAAACCCCTGAGCGGGGGGCGCCCGCAGCCCAGCTCCGGCGCGCGGCTCCTTCCGCCGCTCCACAGCCGGGCACGCCAAGCAGCCGTCCTGGCTTCCCGCACACCGTCCGAGCAGCCATCCTCGCCTCCCTGCGCTTTGACGTGTCTCGTGCCCCGTGCCCAGTGACAACTCACTGCAGGGGTCCGCTGCTGGGGGTGGCCTTGGGTGTGCACTGCAATCTCAGCAATACGCCCCCGGATTTCTCCCCCAGCGGGCCATTCGGGAGGCTGCATTTGATTCCTGCGCTCGCTCGGGGCCGGAGGGGGGCGGAGGCGCGCGCAGCCTCCAGCCCGCGGTGGCCGCATCCGCTGTCGGCAGCGCCGCGAGCCATCGCCCGGCCGGTGATGCGCGGAGGCGCCGCAGCCGGCGGGATCGACGGCAGCGAGAAGAGCGACCGGGTCGAACCAGGGGGCCCAACCCGGCGGCAATCTGCTGGACGGCTGTGGGGTCTGCTGTAGGAGATGTCGCTGACGATCGTGAGCACGCAGGTCCCCACGGGGGACGCGCCGATCTGCGACGTGATGCTGGAGCCGTACATCGTGATTAAGGAGGGCGATGGCCCGGGCACGAGGTGCCATGTGCCGGACGAGGGCTGCCTGGAGTCCACGTCGCGGTTCCGCCTGAGGTCGAGGTGGTTTAGGGCCATGATCCACCGCGGCAGCGCCGTGTGCAACGTGCACCCCGACCGCGAGGCGGCCATCCAGTGCCTGCTATGCCTGCGTGCGCACGCGCCAGTGCCGCTGAGCTTCCACTGCGGACCGGAGTGCCTCAAGGAGCACTGGCACCTCCACAGGGACAACTACCACCTCAGGCACTACCAGAATGGAGGTAAGACCCCCAAGGCGTCGGTGCACCTCCGCCGTCCTTATCTCTTCTCTTTCTGTCGTGCCGTTTCTACGATTTCCCATTCATGGCATTCTTCTTTTGATGTAATTCGGAAAAATGTGGAATCAACATGCCCATCCATAGGACCATCTGACCCGAATTTGGCACGGGCCATACTTGCGACAAGAGTTGAAATGAAAGTTGGAGTTGAAATCGGTTGTCAACAGTGCTGACTCTATCACAGAGTGGGGTGTCTGCCACTCTACGGTTGCAGAATCCGATGCTGTGGATATTCAGGAGTTGGTGATATCACTGACACTTGGTCTTCGCTCCAAGTATGCCATGCGCCCTTTCAGGGGGGCGAGACCTTGCTCTAAATGAATGTGTCAACATAGTCATGTTGTGATCCACTCAGAAGTTAGATCCTTGGAATGAGTTAGCCAACCGCCAGAGACTGCCATTGCTGCAAGCTGGGCTGTGTGGTGCCAGGGATTGAGAATGGGTACACGTCAAATGGCTCCAGCTACAGGAACAGCAGCAACCATGAAGAGTGGGTAGAGGTAAGATCAAGTCGGCAGAGAGTAAATCGGTGCACCAGCTACATCATTTTGGCGGATTGCTCATTCAGTGCATGTGCAATTCGTGGTGCGGTTCTTTGCCGTTCAGCCTGTGTGGTGCTGGGAGATGGGTTTTTGTATTGATGTTCACAATGCACTCCAACCTTGGACCAATTCTCGCATTTTGATGAATGCCACTCTTGTGTTGCAGGTTGGGCGCACACGATGTTATGTACCCACTGTTGACGATGTGGGATGTGTGCTGAAGTTTGAGTGCAGCATTGCTGACACACACAGGCCTTATTACCAGGATACAGGAGGCCTCTGTGCAGCCAGCATTACTGCACGAGTGCGGCCAGCTCCCCAGCCCCCTGTCAGAGCAATCATCCCTCTAAGGCACCTTGCGGTTCCCACTCCAGCCAAGTTGCTCCATGAAGGTCGCTTCACTGTGCTCACGTACAACATTTTGGCCGATCTGTATGCAACGGTAAGTCCAGGGCACAAGGGCCATGTTCGCTGTAACCTGTGCACCCACACTGTTGTGTAGTTGGGCTCATGTTGCATGCTTGCTGCTTCATTATGAAAGGGAAGTGTTGAAAGAACCCAGAAAACGGTGGAAAAGGTCAACACAAGGGCCGTTGGGCTGTGTGGCATAAATCATGTCCTGTGAAACCTGACAATGCCCACTGTTTCACCCTTCGGGTGATTGCAGCATTCTTGAGCCCAGAAATCCTGATTTATGGTGCCTGACTGCCTTTGTCCTCATCACTTTGTGTTGGCCAGGGTGATATGTATGGAACGTATTGCCCTGCTTGGGCGCTGTCATGGCACTACAGGAGGCAGAACATCATCAAGGAGCTGGCCTGCTATCAGGCAGATGTTGTCTGCCTGCAGGAGGTGCAGAGTGACCATTATGAGGACCATGTGAGAGAAGCAATGGAAGAGTTGGGATACATCGGCGTTTTCAAGAAGAAGACAACAGAGGTGTTCATTGGAAGGGCACTGGCCATTGACGGGTGTGCAACATTCTACAGGAAGGACAGATTTGCTCTCATCAAGAAATACGAGGTATGCCGATTTGCTCTATCTGGGACAATTGTGCATTGGCCTCCCTTCAATGAGCACCCCAGTTTCCCCTCTGTCGCGACACTATACTGGCTGTTGCTGTGCTGGGAACAGTGTTGTACAGCATCGGCCGTTGCAGCTCTTTTGAGCTTTGTATGTCATGAAATTTGCAGCATTTGACAAGTAATGTTGTGTTGCTGGAAGAGGGGAATCGACCCTGCTGTTTTCGTGTTTGTATGCTCACCTTGGAAAGCTGCTGGTGCAAAATATCTTGCTTACCATGCCTTTGCGCATGCTGGATGGTCCTGCTCTATTGCACAGTCTGGCCAGGCAGATAGGCGGTCTGTAAAGTAGGGCAGCATCTGTATTTCTGTATTTGCCAGCTCACTGCATGGACCACAGTCTGGTGTTTGTTGTTGTTTGCAGGTGGAATTCAACAAGGCAGCGATGTCTACAGCAAATCACTTTCCTGAGCCTCAAAGAAATGCAGCACTCAACAGGCTGTCTAAGGTAGGAATGTGAAACATTTTGTTGCTGTTGATGGTGGCAACATTTCCTTTCTGGCTGTCTGAAAGAACACAGGGTGATGAGAACAATTGATACACACATCGTGTGTTTATCATTCTCCTGGGCTCCAACATGATACCAGCACAAATAAAGCAGGTGATGGCATAGCCTTGTGTTAGATTGGGGTGGCCTGCTTGTGCAATGCTTGGATAGATTTGGCATTTTTTTTGCTGTGATTGGACGGCAAAGGGCATGCTTTCACACACCAGGACAAGCTGCACACCCACTTTTTATCTCTAGTTTCATCAAGTTGGTTCATTGTGAATGTAACTGACACTGGGTGTTATCGCCATGCAACACAAGACGGCTCAACTCACACACCCGCGTGCACTAATGATTGCGCAGTTATCATGAGATGGACAATACCTTTTCAATACGCCACTTTGTGGATGCCAAGCTCTCACAAGGTTGTGTTCAAAACATCGCTGTGCTGTTATTGTGGCACAGAAGTGAGCTGTGTGCCAGCAATGATGTCAAAGGCCAGGATGAGGTATAGTGTGTACTTTCTCCTTCCCACCCATAAAATATGAAATCTGGCACCAGCAGCGATGTGACACAGTCAGGCCATCAATGGTCGTCTTCTGCTGAGGGGCTCAGCTACAAACAAGGAGTCTGGCACTATTTCCTTGGTTTTTGCACAGCCCAAGACCAGATTTCTACATATGCCATTGGTTGATGGTTGCCCAGCTGTGAAGAGTGTGATGTTGATGTGACCCATTGATGCTGGGAGTTTCTTGATGGCTAAGAGGCCAGGCTCCCAGAATCGGTCAGATCGAAGACACGTGCTGGATTGTTGACCATACATTCAGGATTTGAGTGTTAGTTATCTTCCTTGGTTGGTGCCACAGCTGCTGTTGTTTGACTCTGTGTGTGCATGTGTGTGTTGTAAGGACAATGTGGCCTTGATTGTCGTTCTTGAGTCTGTCGCGCCCATGGCAGCACGCCAAAAGCAGCTCATCTGCGTTGCGAATACGCACATACATTCCAATCCTGAGCATTCTGATGTCAAGCTCTGGCAGGTCCATACTCTGCTGAAGGGGCTGGAAAAAATCGCAGCAAGGTTCGAAATGCATGTGATGTCACTGCACTTATTGGCCTGCCTGCACCGTGCGGATTCACGAGCTACAGTCTGTTTTCTTGCTACCCACAGGATTTCTTTGCCACTGTGGCAATTTATTGTTTGATGCCTTGTCAGTTCATTACAGCATCACCCTGTGCGTGTTTGTCTTTGCCATACAGTGCACAGTGGAGGTGTACCAGAGAGAATGTGCTTGGATAGCCATATGTCACTACATGCAAGAATGCAGCAAAAGAAGAGAACAGAGGGTGGCTATGCAACCTACAGATTTACAGCAGGACAGCAGGATTGTCTTGCATTGGGTTCCTGGTGCCACCCACGGCATAGTCTTGACCGCTTTTACGATTTTGTTTGTCATCAGCTCAGGCACAGTCTGCGGTCACAGAAGGCAACATGGTCAGCTGTGTTTTGTATCAATATACCCAGCAACTACCTTGAATCTTTGATGTTTGCCTGTGAACAGGTGCTGACTTTTCTCTGTGGCTTGCTTCAAAATTGCAGTGCTGAAATTCCAATAATCGTGGCCGGTGACTTCAACAGCGAACCAGGAAGTGCTGCGCACACCCTCATGGTCACAGGATCCATAGACAAGACACATCCAGTACGTGTGAGCTTGGCTTTTAGCCTTCATGATCTGCCAATTGCAGCACCTAACCACACGGCATACCTAATGATACTCTTGCCTGCAGGCGATGGTTGCTGAGTACATAAGTGTACACCTCTTCACAACACCAGCACTTCTGCCATGCTTTCTTTGTTGACGCATGTGTCTTCTCATGATGCAGCCCTGTATGGTCATTTTGAAGCAGCAACGTTGGCAACAGCCACGGATGAAATGGCCGCAGGACATCACAGAAGTTGCAAGCATGGGCAGTTTGTTCACCTTGCCAAGTTTCTGGAGCATTGTTGTGCAGATTTTTGTGCTTTGAATTATGACAGCTGCCATCCATCCATGCACATGTGTTTGTTGTGGCTGTTCCCAGTGAGGCTTAACATAAATGGTGTTATGTGTCCTCCCTGTGCTGGTACATCTGACAAATCCAATATCTGAGTTTCATCCATTGAATTGCACAGTGTTGTCGGTGGGCTGGGATGTGTTTTAGAACTGCGAAGCTTGTCATATGTTGGTGGATCTAGTTCTGACAAGAATGCCTGGGATCTCTTCTGCTTTCCACCATAGGACACACTGAGGGCAAGAACGGAAGTGACGCAAAAGGGCATTCACTAAAACAACAGATATTTGCTCTTCAGTTGTCAGCAAGACCAGAGAAATTTCGTCACTGTCCATAGCAATCTGCACCAGACCAGAATGGCATCGTGTCGTCCGTTGACAATTAAAAAAAAAAGAGCAAAGCAATGGTGCAGGAAGTAGTGTGGTTGTGCATTCAACTGCCACAGACCATGTACTTCTATACATTCAAGGCCCTTGGAGCAAGGCCTAGCAAAATGATGAGTGCATGTGTGTGGTTTGAATCCTAGGAGTACATTCATTGACTTAATGCCAGGGTGTTTGCGGCCATTGCTTTGAGTGCAATTAGAGAAAACGACAGAGAAGTGTGTGTGTCTGTGTGTCTTGAAGGAAACTGCTCATGATCCTGCACAGTTCCTTCAAACGCTTCTCCCTGTGCAGCACAAGGTACAGTTTGTGGCCACTATGGTTTGATGAGCACTGCCTAGTGTGTTTATGGTGGAGGAAAGTACCACAAACTAGGATAGTCGTCTCCTAAACATGTGTGGCAATGTTCGACTCAATTCTTCCATGATCAAAGCCAATTCCATCTCCCTCTCAAGATTGTTGAAGAGATCTTTCTTCCATGGCTCATTGGTAACAAGTAATAGCAGCAACAAGTGGGAACAGTGCCAGCAACTGCCCTTGAGTCGTGCGCAATGAATGCCTTTGATTGCATTGCCTTCACTGCACAATATAGAGCCTTTGCCCCTTTAGGGCAATGGCACCCACACACACGATCAGGGCACTTGCATGTTTCTCATTTATTTGTTTCTCTGCAACTTGTCCGTTTGCACTACACACTATAACAACATGAGAGTATGGACGTGAAATGAGAATGAATTGAACAAGCCTGTTCCATGCTAGGAAAATGGGAATGGATGCTTCTGAAGCCATCCAGATTGACACTTTTGCCTAAAACCATTGAAAGTCAGAAACAAAGCCGTCGTCCATACCATATTGTCCTCTCAATTCATCCTGGCTGCAAGGCGGTTCTTTTACTGAGTGTTTCAGCCAAACGAAAGGGTATCGGGTGTGCAAGCCCATGTGAAGTGCGCAAGCCCATGGACAATACTGGTCAAATTGAAATGGCATGGACAATGTCATGTTCAAGTCAATATTGAAACCATCTACAACAAGCATGGGTAGGAATTTGGGACTGTAGAACTCGCCATCTGCTCATCGTAGCCTGAGAACAAAAGGCAGACATTTCGCAAATTGTCACCTTGTTGCTCTAGGAAGTCGTGGCAGGTCTTCACCAGTGCGTCAGCGTATCAACACCATGGTGACTTCTCTCCTTTGTCGTGGTAGAACCCTGGCGACCAGTCTAAGCAATCCAGAATTCGGGTTGCTGGTTTTAGAGTGGAGTGTGAAATGTTCCATGTGCTTCCTTACTCAAATGTTGAATACGAGTGTTACACTTGCAGGACAAATTAGCAGCTACTGAAGTCCTCAATTAAGCCCTGGGTGAATCGGAGCATCCCTCCACATGCATTGCTGAGTGAAGCCCCGTCAATTTACCCACAGCCATGCTGGAATGTCTTCAGCCTTTTGCCCTTCTCTTGTCACGGTGTTAGCAGTGCTGTCTCACAACATGAAAAGCAAAGTACCTATGGTAGATGGTGCCATTTGTGTGCTTCTGAGAGGAGGTTTAATGCTGTTATTCAAAGGACAACGGTATGCCCCATCTGCTATTCGCTGGCTAGCATGAACACTTTTCCCCAGTGATGCGGTCTCTCTCATGGGCTGCAGTTTGCAGCACAACCATGCAACGATGATATGGTGCAAGCAAACACTCCCCTGGCGACTTTTGAGAAGCCCAATGGCTGCTGTGCAATATGGCTGGCTACACTACTTTGTGTACTATCCGATTTGAGACACCGTCAGTGACAGGGGCTCATTGGTGACAATCCAGAAGCAGAGCAAAACCTGCCACACAACCGCTGTACAAGACGCATTTGATGATGTGAAAAGATGCATGGGAAAGGGACCCAGAATCAGCTGCCAAAAGGTCATGTGCGTTTGTGTTGTCATTATTTGGCTTTGGCTGCTGAAAACATTGTCCTTGTGCCTTGCAGCTGTCACTGCGCAGCGCATACTCTGCAGTCTTCGCAGGCAGCGCGAAGGACCCTGCTGTTCAACAGCAAGCGATGCGTATGGATCCAAGAACACATGAGCCGCTTTTCACAAACTTCCGGCGTGACTACGGGGGGACACTGGACTACATATTTTTCACCCCCACACTTTTAACACCGACAGCGCTGCTTGAACTGCCATCTGAAGATGAAGTACTGCGGGGAACTTCTATGAATGGAGGCTTGCCAAATGCACGATATTCTTCCGATCATATATCATTAATGGCAGAGTTTCAGCTCATCATTCCGTTTCAGTCAGAATGAGGTGCGCAGATGCATAGCTACGAAGCAGGCTGCAACCATCGGACAGAGCATGAAGCAGAAATGCGGTCTTCAGACCATGGCGAATCTGTTGATCGGTCAGCAGGAGATGGTAGACGCCACAAGCCTTGAATGCGCTTCCTGCCCTTGGCTGCATGACCACATCACAGCGTTGGTGGGGAAACGACGTGTGAAGGTGATGTGACACCTTGCTTGAATGTCTGCCGACCAGGTCATAGATGTCGAACACGGGCGTCGCAAGACGAGGAGACGTGAGGCTGGCCAAACCTGGGATTGCACTGCAGCATCCAGTCTTTAATCTGGTTCCCCGATTGCACTTTGTGGGTAGGCAATTACAAAACGACAGAACTGCGATGCTCAGCCACTGCGGGGCAGAGAAGGGCTGGCTCGGGAGGTTGGAATGCGCAAATGGTAGGACCTTTCGAAGCAAGCGCAGCAGGATTGGACTGTAGCATTCTTTGGGACATGTGAAATCGAGTGCCCTGGTTGCGTAGATTAGCTCCGGCCCTTGGCTTTGCATGTTGAAGGGGGGATTTTGGTGTAGTCCTCTAATAATGGCATTCCCTCCATAAGATGTTGCCCGACCTGTCACTGCGGTAGCACTGTGGGGCGCTGTATGTGCGTGAATAACAGCTCACCCATCAGCACACATGACCTTGAGCTCCGGAGGGTGCTGTAAACACAGGTGTATCCACATGCGAGTCGAAGGCGAAGGGGACCATTCTCTGGAAATGCTGACGGGATGAAAGCACTAGTTTCGTATTTGAGGAGGGTGGTGATGAAGGAGTGAACGCTGCGCTGCCAGGTAGACGGTTGCTGGCTGCTGGTGTGTCGTCTCGTGGGAGAGCAAGTGGCAATGCTGGAATGGACCGTCAGCGCAAGGGGGCACGGACTCAACCCTGCAGACCACGGGCTTGTGGTCCTGAGGAGTGGCATGTTGCTGCCATGATTGGCTGCCTTTGTATATTATTCGCAAGAAGCACATGGGTCTCGACGCCTCTATTGAGCCCTCTTCCCCACTTTCCAACCTGCGCGCAGTGACTTTGATGATCCACGCAGTGTGGTTGTGCGCATGTGGCATGTTGTTGTGCTGTGTACCGCGCCGTGGGCACCTTGTCCACAGCATGCGCAGACGTCCGCGTGACCGGTGCGTGTTCGTCTCCAGCACCTTATAATTCGGGCGGCGAACACCTGCTGGTCGGAGCAGCGTGGTCCATGCAGGTGCCAGAGCCCTTCAGATCCCACCTTTCAGCCGGAGTGGCCGCCATGGATATGTGGTGTGCTCAGAAGAAAACAACGCCCCCTGTGGTTCATTGCGACTTGGCTTAAAAGCACGGGTGCAAGAGGCAAGCATACGCGAACTGCTAGACAGCAATCACGAAAAATGCGGAAGCCGCTGTTCAAGTGGGGATTGTCCGCGGAAAGTCGCCAGGCGATAGACTGCGAGTAAAAGAGCTGTAATTAGGTCCGGACTTTGATTTTTGCCGCTACCGGTCCCCCGTTTCGATGAGCACGGGGGCGTTCACACAACTGGCGACGTGTCTAATCGCCCATAGGGATGGCTTCACAAAATAGGAGCCTACCGACTGGCCCGGTTGGTTTGTGCATAGTTGCCATCTGCGTGGATTTCAGCATGAAGCATGTATAGCCCAGCTTCTACTCTCAATAGTTCTTGCCAAAACGGTAGTTACAGCTATATGTAAAAGAAGCCGGATGTCAGCTGGGTGAGATATGCAGTGGAGATGGCAGGAGGCCACGACGGCAGCAACACTGCATTCGGCGTTCAGCACAATTCCATCAGCTTATGCGCTGCACACCCGCCAACGGGGGCCATATCCAAGTAAGTCCGAGACCGGACAAGAACGTACGTGCAGTAAGGGCTGCTGGCACCTTCCCAAGAAAACGCTCACTGTCTGGCACTGGAACTTCCTCTGGGGCCTGGTTCCAATGTAGAATGAAGTCAGCTCAGATCCGTTTATTGCTTATCCGGGCCATCACGTACTGGGGCCGCGTCCACGCTTCAGATATCAGGCACCAGCCTCATCCGCTGTATCCATCTGCGTCCGAAATTGGGGCACCACTTATTGCAGGCAAAGACCACATAACAAGCGCTTCAGCGTCGTCGACGCAAAGACCAGAACATTAGCTAAGGACAGTTGTCGGCATTCGCCTCCCATCCACAGAGAAAGTTTCGCCAACTGATAAGTAGTTCGGCCATGCCCTGGTGCTTGACGCATAAAATAACTCAAGACTGATGCACAGTGTTTTCCAACGTCCTGAATATTGATTGTAATCCCAAGCCAGACACTATAGTTCTTTATAGCTACAAGCTCCCATGCTGCAGGTGCTCTGCTTCCCCCTTGGGCCGCCTGCTCTCCAGTCATGGTGCTCCGATGCGATGCAACTCAGCCGAAAAAGACGTCCAGCACATCGGTAACCCTGTTCGCCGTGCGCACCATCCAGAGCTACGGGACAGATGAGAGACACAAGTCAGCCAGCGGGTTTCGCAATGGATATCACGTCACAAGCGACCGGACTGGATGCAGCAAAAAGACTCGGCAGTCAATCATAGCAAAGTCGACGATTTGGCACCATGGACACAAAGCACGGCACTTCAGCAACAATCCAGTAGTACGGTGTGCGAAATTCTTCCTACCGCAAAGCGGGAGGGGGGAGGAGGTGGGGGAGTGAGCTCTGGCAGCGTCCTCGCAGTAATCGTGCTGTAGTGCGGCTGGGTAGCTGCATCCGCTTCCGCAGTGCTGCCTGTGGTTTGGAACGCTGACAGTGCCAGCGTTTCTGCATCCAAACAGCATGGCCTTCAGCATCCTAGAAACCGTCGCACCCCAGCCTCTCTAGTAATATCCAACCGTGCTATTATCTCAAATGTCCCCATCAAGTGGCGATCTCCAAGGCGAACGTGTGCCGGATTGATGAGATCGCCGCATTTCATTGTCGAGTGAGAGCCAAGCACGTTTTCCTCAACGTGTGTATCTCATCGTGCACTTCATAAAATTCATGTGCTTGTGCCTTTGCCTAAAGACACAAAATTTTTGGAGTCTGCATGAAGGCGAGTTAGTGGGAAGGACCTTGCAACGGGCGCATTGGTTGGGGTACCGCGTGGCAGCATACCTTCCCCTTGCCCATCTTTCACGTGGGCAAACAAAATGTGAAAATCCAGATATTCAGTACCCAATCGTACAGCTAAAAACGCGCGGCCTAGAAATTAGCTGACTGGCTTATCATGTGGGCAGTGCGCAGGCAAGAAAGGGGCTTATCGTCATTCTCCATGTGCAGAACGAAGTCGCCAATTTCCAGGCGCAGTCAACCCCAGCCTTATTCAGGGAAAAACGCACGGTGCCAGAGCGATACGCACGGCTGAGAGGGCCAATATGTTGCAATATGACGATGAGGACATCGCCATTCCTGACCGTGCGAACCGCTGTGCGGCGGCAACATGCAAGCACGCGCCCCGGCACAACGTGCCAATGCACCATTGGCAATGCTTCGCGCGGCGCCATGCACAGCACGTACACATTCACGCCAAAGCGCAGGAGGGCTTTTCGAATGCGGATGTTCTCGCCTGCGCTCCCGGCATGAAATCGCTACAGTCGCCTGAAGCGCGCGTGGGGCGAAAATCCAGGCATTGAAGGACGCCGCGCACGCGGCCGCAGCGACAGTCGGCACCAATCATGGCGACCCGCCCGCGCGTGGCGCCCATCCGCAGGGGGACTCACTTCGCACAGCAGGCTCGCCGTCGGCGATGTGCGCGCAGAGGAGGGCCAGAAGGGCGATGGCGACGGTCCACCTGCAGCTGAGCCCGGACCGGTGGGCCATGGTCACCGCCCAAGAGAGGCGCGCGCTGAACAGCCAGCGGCCGCAACCGCACTCTCAAATGAACTTGCAGGTGCTCCCGGCGGTTCCGCGGGTCCCGCAAATTCTCTGCGGCCGCAGGCATGAATGCGCATGGATTTGCGTACTGATGCCCTGCGTGATTCGAGGTTGGTGAGGTTGACTTGCGCAAAGTCAACCATCCAAACGGAAGCTAATTTGACCCATGGGCAGGTGCGAAGAAGTGGTCCTCCGATCTCAAACGCCTGAGGAACGTGTCTCCAGTGACGAAATGGACTGTTGGGGTGGGGCGCTTCAGAGTTGTCCCCGCTAACATTCACATGATAAAGATCGCCACTAGTAGCAGCGACGCCTGTTGAATTTGGATGGGTCATGAGACCGCGGTTTGTTTGCTTTCCATTTCCAGTGCTTCCACTTCACTCGCCTCCACCTAAGGGTTGACGTTAGCACGGTTTGTGATGCTTGGCATCAGATGGATGACAATGGTGGAGGGTTCCATACACATAACACCAAGTAATTGCATGACTTCACCCCAACCTCTGAGCCAAAAGGACCAGAGCAGCCTCTGGCGTGTCCTCAGGTGTCGCTCGGGCGTTCAACTTGCCCCTGGCACCCAGAGGTAAAAGTGATGGACTCGCGTTTTGCACCTCCACAGCCGGTATTGCTAGTGGCTGTAGCGCGCACTCGAGCCTTGTTGTCGACTTGTGTCGCGCATCGAAATGGTCACCACCTTGGTTAATAGTCTCCCAATGGGAGACCCGTGTGGTATGGGGTGCAAGGTCAAGGTTCCGACATTATCCCATCCAAGAAGCGACTACGTGGCATTGGCCAATGACTGACGACAAGAAGGGCGCGGAAAGAATGAGAGCCGGAGCGTCACTATAACATTGGCTGAAACAAGATCGCCCTCACAACCCTCCCCCTATATCCCCCCAAGAAAATAAGAGAAGGAAGGTAAAATGCAATTAGGAAGATACAAGCTTCCAATAGCTCAAGGACAGGAGAGCACTCGACAATGTTCCGATATGGATTAGGTGTCAGGTCTAAGAGCAGGCTATCAAGAGCCCTGATATGGTCACGCCTCCCCTCTCGGTTTTGGCGTGCCTAAGGTACTCCAGATTTCCGCATGTACTCCAGATTCCAGATCACCAATCTGGCCCAATTCACCCAAGGAGGCGCTTAAGCTAACACATCCACGCCAAAACGTCGGGAGAGCCCAATGGAGGCCAATGCTCTCTTCTGCACTTAATACACTACAAACATCACCGAAGGTGGAACCAGGTGCGGGCTACGGCTCAGGCACCAGGGCACAGTGGCACCTTCGAATCGCGGGCCAATCGCACCACACGCTGTGCAGGCCCGGCCAAATCCAACAGGTGGCAATGTATGCCGCTGCGCCTAATAAAAGTTCATCATCATGAGTCTCAACTGTGCCTGAACGGGCGATCCTGACTGTGGCCTCCCTTTCCACAACGAATCGGGATGCGTGGGCAGCGTCCGCAAAGTCATTGGAGGAAACACGTTAACGCACTAGGGGGCAATTGTCGCCATTCTCTCGTAGCCGCTGTTAACATTTCCCTCCTCATGCGCAATGACCCCAGAATTTATGCAGGCAACCGCTGCATTGGTGATTGGCGATTCACTGCTGGATGTTTGGATTGTTGGCATGCTGCGTGTACCTTTCGGTTCGTGCATCCTCAAGATGCAATCTCCGGACCGGAGCAAGTCGTTGCCCACCGTTGTCTGAAGTTATTGAGGACTCATCTGGTTCGTTCACCGGAGCGTCCTGTCACGGGCAACTGTGCCGCTCTTGTCTAAGTTTTCCTCTCGCATTACGGAGGCCGTATCCACTTTGCGTCTCGTCCATCTCGGCCTCACCGACTCGCGGTGGGGCCGCACCCCTGCCAGTCGCGCCAGAGCCTGTTGGCGTGGTTCTTCCACTTGCGATCAACCACAAAGACGATGTCATCCGCGCGAGATAGCCCTGCTTTCCCTGAACGTGGCTTCTCTGATGGCAGTATCACCCGTGTCATTGCTTCGACACACGCATGCAACCCTGGCCTTCTTTGGATCAAGGTACGCGCATTGCGGCCAACCCAGGCGAATGCGCGGCAGCTCACGAATGCTGCCGCCGTGCCCCACGGCAGGTCGCTGCCCACCGATGGACACACAGAATGTGCGGAGTAACGAAGCATAGGCGGCAAGCAATTCCCTTCACCAGGAGGCCGCCGTAATTGGCGAACGTCTGCGCCAGGAGCCCTGCATTCTGCGGGACTGATGGCGCACAGGGCTGCCGTTCTGCTCGCGGCTGCCGCGATGTGCGGGCTGGGACTCCTGGGGGTGCACGCTCAACTCCCCGACCCGGTCGGTGTGAACTCCGGGAGCGCTTCTCAGATCGCCACGCCTGCGCCCGAAGGCGGCCCCGAAAAGCTGAGCTTCGTTCCTGACTTCTGTCCAACGGGCCCAGCGAGCGACACAACGGTAGGACCGCCACGCGCGGGAGCACTCCGCAGGCATGCCCAGCGCGAGGGCCATCAGTCTCTGGCGTCGCGGTGGACGCTCCTGCACTATTCGCCGGCGTTCCGGGGGTGCCGGAATGCTTTCCGACCACGATCCACATGGATTGCGCCGGGGCTGGCACAGGAATGAGTTCTGGCGTGAATTGTTTGCGTGCGACAGGAAATTGATGAGGAGCAGAGGTGGGCAGTCTTCGACCAGCTTGCGACACACGAAATCTGGAACGTTCTCGAGTTTTCAGTGGGCGAGATGGGATGGTTCCATCTCTTGAACTCGAGCTACAATTCAACGGTGTGAAGCGTGCACGGTCGCCTCCATGTGTGCGGCGGCACATGTCCACATCTGGAATTTTCCAGGCATTGCGAGGCCTTTGTATGCCGCTGGGAACCATGGGTTGCCTGATGATCTGATTGCAGCAGAAGCGCATGGCATGACCATTGTGTCGTGCTGCCACATTGTTTCAAGGATACATTCGTATGTCCACTTCTACATTGACTCGCTATTTCTACGAGTGTCAGCAACCCGGATGGAGCGATCTGGGCAAATTGGCGAGGCGAACATGTTATTTGCACGCCGATCCAGTTCAACAGAAGAGCCGGGCCATCGAATTGTTGAATCAAAACGCAAGGCATGCTTGCTGAAGGAAATTTTTCTTTTTCTGAATCCAGTAATGTGTGGCCTCAGGATGAGCTTCCCGGTCCGTTTGACGACATCATTTTCCGTGTGGAGGTCCTTCCGCCGCCAAAGCAAGAAGCTTTGGCATATTTGGACGGCGCAGGTCCCCGACCTGACAGATTCGCAAGGGTCGCAGTCATCAGAGGTTCTGCGACACCGAGAGATGTCATGGAGTACAAGGTTGGTGCAGTTGAAATTGAGCGTTACCGCTCCTGAAGATACCATACCCCGCTGACGGGATCATTTTGCACTCACTTCACCTTAACTTTTGCCAACAGAAAAGCAGGAATCTAAAACACGTGATCCTTGGATGCAATAATGGGGGCTGAAGCATCAGCAAATACTCTCCCATGAAAATGTTGCCACACACTGCCTGGGTGCAAAATGTGCAAGCAGGGGCCAAGACCTTAAAAGAGTGACAGGAGACTTCGGGTCATCCATGAAGAGGAATAAGTGAAACCGGATCTCTGTCATCACAAGAACCTAAAAATTGCGTAGCTGTAAATTTATTCTCAAGAAAACCACATCCCCTGGACGCTGACCCTGGATCCTGTGTGGTGCTTCCAAGCCGAATGACTCACTTCCACTCAACAAGCATCGGAAACAAAGCGTGGCGCTCTAAGTCCGTGCCACCTGGCTCATGTTACAAATCGTTTGACAACGGTCCTTAAAGCCCATGGTGTGTTGTACCACCATTACCCTTTACTCAATGAATAAACAGCATAAACAGCGCCTTCCCCCACATAAATCTATTGAGTTGTCGATCATCGCAATGTGGAATCTATCTATCTATGCACGCTGTTTGCAGTGGCGACGAAAGTAAAACTATTTCAACTGCAGCCGATTGCGTGAGTCCTTCAGCAACACAATGAGCAAGGTCCAGCCACATTAGTCCGCCCGTTAACAGCAAGAGAAGTAGCGAAGAAGCAGGTGTTGACGTTGATGTTTCTGCGCTCACTTCAGGTGGGGCCTCTCCCAATTGCTGCAAATGGCGATTCTGGAGAAGGTAAATTCGAACGAGTCCAACAAAATTTAAGCCCCAGGCCTGATGTTTTGGTGGAGAAGCTACGGAAAGATGGGCAAATTCCCTACAGCAAGAGGCCAACGGAATTCGTCACGGAATTTCATCTCGATACTGTTGTTTCGAGAGAAGCCTTGTTCCTCAGAGATATATTCAAAGATACCACAGGTAGGAAACCAAAATGTGCCCTTCTGATACACTGCTGCGCACACGAGTGCGCAGAGTAGCTCCTCAGATTTGTTGTTACCCTGCAGATCTGGTACGCCCGGGTTGGACCCAACACCTAGTCGCGCTTTTACAAACACAGATTCTTGACGACCAGGGAAGCTATCAGTGCACATAATGCATGACACAATGTTGGAAACAGAAACAAGTCCACTGTGCAGTTAGGGCCAGTGCGGGGCATCCTTTCATCTTGTTAAATGCACGTGCATGCACTGAAAACACGGATCAGCTTTGGTGTTGCTTGCTTGCTTTGGTGTTGCCCTCCCTCTCGCTTGGTATGTGCCGTGCCTCGATGCAATCATTTAAGATGCTGTTATATCCGTGGAAAGCAATTAGACATCGCGTTGAAGCCTGCAATGTGGAAGCAATTTAAATGCTCGGGTGCTGCGAGCTCCTGAATTGCGACAATTGGAGCGCAACTGCCTGGGAATCAAAACCCTCCTCAATTTTGTGTTTCCTTTGATGATGGCTGTGTCTCCAAACACAACGCATCACAGGACGAATTCCAGCACTGTTGAGTGCATCAAAAGCAACAACGCGCACGGCTGCTGTGTGTGCAGGGAAGTGCTATGGGCGAGAGGCTGAACATTCCGAAGGTGTAGAATGTGGCAGGGAAGACATGAAATGGCTTGGGTACCCTGCCTTACACGCGAACGAGTCAAAAAGGTGAGATGTTTTGTGGGCCGCCATTTACACAGCGATTTGGCAGCTTAATTCGAAAGGGGCTGGCGACTGGCACTAGCAGTGGTTGAATACTTGGTACCATAGTGCCCGTGTTTTCATCGCGTTTTCCAGATGCTGATGAGGTATGCCTGTTCCATCCGTTACTGCCAGCAGTATTTTGCCCATATGCTGAGCCCACGGGAGCACAAACGCGTTTGGAATGTTGGCAATGAACGCGTTTGCGTCCTCTGTAAGCAGTTTCTTTGGTTATCCAGGCATAGGGTTCAGCAGCTACGTAATATTAATCCCCGGTTGTCATGAGTACCACTGCCTGGCTCCCAGTATTGTGGTGATTTGGTTCAACGCAACTCGCAACGAGTCGGGGACTATTTGAGGCTCGCTCATGGACATTGGCGATTCAGGGAAGCGCTGCAAAGTGTATCGTTGGCACTAACAACTCGGTACCCTGTTTCGCTGACGTCAGGCAACGCCAAGGTGATTGATCAAATGTTGTGCCACTGACAGAGTCACCCACATTCACTGGTTCTTTTCGCCGCATCGAACAAGAGGCGAAGAGTTTGAGCTACACGGTGTTCCCATTAGTTTCAAAGTCGACCAGTCCGCAGCAGATCCAGCAGATTGGTTCGCCTTCGATTTTGAGTACTGCCATCAGGTGTGTTCTGCTGTGAGCTGGCATTTGTCCTTTTGTGCTTTAAGTTGTTTTGGAGAGCTTGCATTAGATCAAGTCGCCCTTGTGTATGTCTTGTTCGTTTCTCTCATCGAAAACCTGATATGACACCTGCATCTACCCCTTTCCCAGGGTCCATTCAAGACATCTGCAAGCCTGCTGGAAGCCTACACATCTGGGGAGCTTGTTAAATGTTATTCAGATGAGTGGAAGGACCCAAAGTACGATGTTAGGTGGGCAACAACAAGCGACCGCCAGCGCTTCCGCCCTGGATCTGAGAAGTCGGGGCCAAGGACATTTCAGCCGGACGGGCGGCGGTTCAAAATGACAACCAGAAGGGGTGGCGGAGGAGCTCGATTTGAGTGGCTGGGGTGGCAAGGTCACGTTGGAATGAGGCTCGACAGCGGTGAGCCATCTGCTGCGTTCCACACATGTTCTTTTGCGTGCTGCACACAGCAATTCAATTCAGCTGTAACAGCTGATTAAATTGCCCAACTCTGGGTTGATGGGCACAAATATCACAGCCAAACTACACGATACAGTTGGAGTGAGCGCGGGACGCATAATTGTTGGAAGATATTCAGTAATCTAATGTGGCTGATACGTGGAGCGAAATTGTGTGCAAAGGGCGGTTCTTGCCAGAGCTGGTGCCTAGTAGGCTTCCACTTTCCAGCTTTCACGGAGGCACTGACGGCAGCCTAATCAATAAATACGCTTGAGAAGTGGGAAACTCCACATTGGTAGACAGTGATATGCAGAATTTCTGTCGTAGGTATTACCCTGCATGACATAAGATTCAGGGGCAACCGCATTTTGTATGAGCTCTCCTTGCAAGAGCAGTACGTGGCTTACAGCGGGTACCAAGGCGGAGGTCAGGTGGTATACTTCGACAGCTACTTTGGAATTGGTCTCAACAGCTTCCCACTGAAGAGGGGCCTTGACTGCCCGGAAGGCGCAGAGTACGTGTCTGTCACCAAGATGCACGGCGGCGGCGAGGTAGAGGAGGTGCCTGACGTCATATGCGTCTTTGAGGAGGATGCACAGGCTACCGAGTGGCGGCACACACACCTGGGAGGTCAGTCAGAAGCACTGCTCCCAGGGACGCTGTGACGGGCAAATGGATGCTCCGTCCGTTTGCATAGCTGCCGATACAGCGTTCGATGGTCACAGGACTGAATGCACTCAGTGCACGTTTGCAACATCTTGACGCTTGCTGTGCTGGGAGCACTGGAATAATGGCACACATGCCTGACAGCCTGTTCCTAGCCAGGGCAGAGAGAGCGTCCCTGAGAAGAGAGAGTGCTTAGAAGAGAGTGCTGCGGAAGTGGCAAAATGTTGTACTAGCATAGTAGATGTTTCCGAATCGTAAGCGGCAGAATGCAAGTGACCTGCCGGAGAACGCGTTGCAAGCATATTAACATGCATGTCCGTTGCAATAGGAGGCTGCGATGTGCATCATTCAAAGCATCTTCTTGGACTTGCGTTATGATGCACGGATATTGTAAGCAGAATACGTTCCTGCGGATGTACGATCATGCAATATGCACAGATTGATGTCTGTTATGTGCATGTCAGCCTCAACAGCATTCCGTGTGGCAAACTCTCTGCGAGCACTCAGTGATCGCAGATGCGTTTTCAGGATCAAGATCAAAAAACTGACAGTTGCCAAATGACCGTGCCAAGCTCGGTGGGGCGGAAGGCCTACACGCCATAATGCTTTGTTTGATACACTGCTAAGCCAATTGCGTGGCACGCTCCCTAACTTTATGTTGCTCTTCGCAGGATGTGGAAACTGCCCTTTCAGTTTAGTCGATGCATCTTATGGAACATGTGTGGCGCCCACAGATGTGATTGAGGAGTTTCCAAACAATTGTGTGACAAATCTCCCTGTCTGGCGCTTTTCTCATAGCAGAAAGTTTAGCCTTGCAGGGTCTGACCCTTGCCACGGCAACGAGCTATAGTGCAACATCTCAACTTTAGGGGACGGAGCATTTGAATTGCAACGATGCGGCGGCGGACAGCGGCAATTTCACATTCCAAACATCTTGGCGCTGTGCGGTCCGTGCGGTTGAGTTCCATCTGTTAACAGAACACACGAGATTCTGAGCTGAGTGATGTGACTCGCATGCATTCGCCCAGGACCGCGGGGTTTTCCCCGGCTGGATGCTGTTCGAAGATCCACGCTGGTGATCCGGACTGTCTCGACCATCGGTGAGCGCCGCCGTGCTCTGGATCCTATGTCTAACTCGTCAGCAGATTGGCTGCATATTTTGATGACTTGGGGCGGCAGGATGGAGATGTTGGCGCACTTGACGCTCGCATCACCTGCGTCGGTCAATTTTAGAGCGTGCCAACAAAGCACTCTGGAAAAGTCTCGCCGAAAATCGCGCCATGACGAGATGAAGTTTCGGCCCTTTGCTGCGCACGTTCCCCGTGTGGCCACCGCGTCCAGGAGCGCTCCCAATTGCTCAGCGATTTGTGCCAACGCAGGCAACTACGACTACATTTATGATGTGCGCGTGAGACAGGACGCCAGCGTGGAGGTGGATGTGAACATGGCTGGGTACATGGAGTCCACTTTCTTTGGGCCAAATGGAGAGACCCTCAAGGATGTGCCCTTCGGGACTCGCGTGCACCAGTACACATTCGCAAATCTGCACGATCATCTGTCGGGTTGGAAGGTGGATCTGGACATACTGGGCACGCAAAACAGCATCGTGAAGCATGTGAGCGCAGCCGTGTGTGAAACAACAAACTCATCACTCGGTCGGTGCCTGTCATAGCATGAACTGGAAGAAACAATTGTTGTGAACTCGATGGACGCTGAATTTGCAAGGGCAGAAAATAGAAGGGACGCCTCAGTTGCCCCTGCAAGACCCCATAACTGGGCGCATGCTTCACACTGTCTCTCGCCCATAGATATGTCTGGTCATAGGTGTAATGCTCATTGCGGGGCTTGTTCCCATCAACAGAACTGTGTGAGGTATCATAGTGCGTGATGAACTGTGCCACAATGTGCAAACCGATGGCGGAGGGCAAACGATCATGGTGATCCTGCGAAAGCCCCTGAGAGACCTCTTGAACACACCAGCGGAGGGACAAGCTAACCACGCCGCGGTCCGCAGGAAATCAAAGTGGGTACCTGGGAGGAAGCCCTAAAAACAGTGGACCCCGATGCCAAGGCCCCAGGCTGGCACACATCTCCGGTGGTGAAGTACGTCGACACCAGCACTGTGCCCGAAGAATTTGGATACAAGATTGAGAACTCGGGTACATGCGTCTGGACGGTCGTCAACGACGTCAACACCAACAGGTTAGGCTTGAGCACAGCTCTGTAAAACGCATTGCATGGGAAGGAGCGCAGACGTGGATTTTGCCATCTTGCAGGGAGCTGCGAGGCGTGTGCCGTGAATTGCGGACAATGCGCTATCGCAAATGCAGAGAACGAGCCTGTGCTGTTGCTTTTCCAATGTATTCAAAACATGGTGCCCATCCTGCCTACGATCTCTGGGAACTAGGATAGTCTACGCAACCTTGGGATTTACCTGTGGTTAGCGAAGTCAAGCGTACCTTGCACGTGACCGGCATCACCGACCACCACCTGGGGTGGCAGAAGCAGACTTGTGTGCTGCTTTGCAGAGAAGCAGACACCGTATCATAGTGTGACAATTACGTACAGTAGGAGTACCTGAAGTAATTATTGTTGCATTTCCCGACTCCTCGGTGTGGGTAACATGATGGCTTTGCGTTCGTACTTGCGACGCGCTGGGCGTCGTTTTGGTTTGGTGATGTGAAAACGCGCACAAGCATTCTTGCAATGCTCTAAAGACGAGCGGGGCAACGCTGGGAAGCATTGCGAAAGTACAATTGGCCATACATGGACGGAAGTAGTGGACGAGGAAATGGCACCCTGCTCAGAATGGAAGACAACCGCTTGAAGGCCGTCGCCTAATGGTGGGTGTCAAAGGAGGGGAAGGGCGGAAGTATTTCGCGTTGGTGTCAACGCTTACACTTGGGCTATGGTGGGCATTCCAGAACTCAACGCAAGTTGGCGACACGGTGAAGACATTATGGCGTACTGCAGACCCTTGCGTGCACGTTCTGGACACCCCATATACCGACACAAGTTCTCGCTGCGTTTCGAAATGCCAAATGCCTGCCATATGTTTGTCGTTGGGCAGTCCAAACGCATAATACACGCAAACGCATAAGCGTTTGCGTCTGCGGTTGAGTGGCCGACGTAATTTGGCGGTGCAGATGGGGACAACCTCGCGGTTACGCCATCGTGCATGGGGTGACAACCTCCCAACTTCTGCCCGATAGCCATCCCTTCACCAAGGCTGGCGCATGGACGAAATACCATCTGGCCGTAACAAAACGAAGGGACGAAGAATACCAGGAGAGCCTGGGAATCTATGACATGAACATTCCCGGCCAACCAGTCGTTTCATTGGACGACTGGATCAACGGTAAGCGCTCGCGAATGACGGTAGGAAATTGTTTGCTATAGCGATGTCCTCCAAGTTTTTGGACTGGTGTTCTGCTTTTTGGTTGACGTTTCGGTATAGTATGCCTGTAATTTGTGCGCTGATTCTATTCCTGGACAACGAGACTAGAGTGCGTAAGAACCAGGCTTGTTGATTGCCTATTGCTAACAGCAGCACTGGCTGCCCCGTTATGGCACCAAGAATGAGTAAGCAGCAATTGACATCGACTCGTCCACGACTGGATGCCATGCAGGAGAAAGCATTGTGGAAGAAGATTTGGTTGCCTGGGTGATGGTTGGTCTTCTCCACGTTCCTCGGTCTGAAGATGTTCCATTAATATCAAACTTTGGAACAAGTTTCTTCATCAAGTAAGTCGTAACACGAAGACGACAATCGCTGTTGGAGTGGGCGAAAGCACTGCCGGCCTAAAGCTGCAGTGTCCGAAACCAGTGTTCACTTCGTGCGAGGTCGTTCTGAGACCTGTCTGGGGCCGTCATGTCAATTGCCAAACGCCGAATAGGGAAGTTCAGCCGCATGCTTGGGCGCTCCGGATGTTAACGACAGCGCGCGACAGCTTTGCACGCATTCTACCTCGCAGAGACATTCTTACACCCGTGGGGCTACCTACCTGGAGCAAGCAACACATAGAACATGGGGGTAAGGGTGCATTTTGGGATCCAAGAAGTGCTCTCAACACCCATTCTGGCCTCCACAGACGTGCGTGCAAAAAGATGTGGCTGACGAGTCCACTGCAGAAGGAGTTCGCGTCCCCAGCCCGGACTATGCACTACAGAACATGGCACGTACTGATGGGCAGCCTATGCACTCGTTCTCCCTCCTAACTGTGGTTTCCTCTTGCTCCGGTTCTGGCGCACTGCCTTCCGGAATCTATTGAAATCTCGAGACTCTGTTTTGCAACACCGCTCTGTTTCCCACTTCAGGCCGTGGAATTACTTCGAGGAGCTTCAATCCATGGATGTGGCCAACAATTTCGCGTTCGAGGCTTGCGTGCCACACGGCGGGCGGCATTTTGACTACCATTGGGCGTGGGATCCTCAGCCCTGACGGTTGTCGAGAGCCATGGGTGACAGCGGCGCGAATGGGGCGTTAAAGTGAATAGACGGACAGGTGCCAATATTGGGTTTCAATGCACCTAGCTCCGCAAAATCTATGGCGTTGTGGCTAGTGCTGCAAATTTTGTTTTATAGCTGCACGCGCAGCCGCCGAGTGGTGCAGACGACGGCACATTGGGTGGGTTGTGCACTTGAAAACCGGAAGGCGGTTGGCCGTTCCTGGCTCATAATGCGCTGGCCCTCACACAAGATAGGGCTGTGCGGATGGCTTTGCAGAGCATGCACACGCCACGTACGACGATGCCGTGGCTGTGGCCAAGCCATGCAGCGTGCTGCAGGGTTGATCGTCAGGAACGCCCAAATCGTCGGAGATGACGGTAGTCGTGTGGACGCACCGCAACACTGACGAGCGAGCTGGGTCTCACATGGGTCATCACACATGTCGGATCTCGAAATTGGAACATGGATTTTCTAACTGGGGCATGGGGTCATCTGTTGCTTGACATACAGGGAGCGGTTGCGCGATTGGAGTGATTGGAGAAGTTGGACGGGACTGAGATTTTTATTTGTTGTTGCAATAAGCGGGTGTGATCGGGTGTGCAGGGGAGCGCAGAGCTGCCCGAGCAGTGTGTACAGGATGACGATTACACAGCACCGATCTTAAAGCGCTGGTCAGCCGCGAAGATGGGATGAGAAGCATTGAAAGCATCGATGCCAACGGTGATCCGATTTCAACGCCACCACTGGCGCAGGCGGCAGTGGAACAGACCCATTGCTCTTTAAGAAAAATACCCATTGACCGTTGGCCCCAAATGGGAACGACAGCGCAATGGGGCAAGGTGTGCACGGATAAGAAACCCATGACACAAAAACAGCAGTTTGATGTTAGTTCCGCGCAGAATATGTCCATTCGCGACACGCATACCAAATTGGCAGCATCCAAGTAGTGGAGAAACTTCTGCTTTCCAGCTGCAGCGGGGCAAAGCATCAACTGTTGGCCGGAATACAAATCCTGCGCGTGTAACAGTATGTTACACGAGGTGCAACAGTATGTTACACGAGTATGTCGCGTACGGTAGAGGAAGCACCGCGGGCCCAGATCATCTTGTCTATCTTCCTCCTGCGTTGCAGACATTACGCATGCGTTCCCCAAAGAACATTACTAATTGTCAGCACCAGCGTGCATTGTGCCTTGGCTTGATCTTGGAAGCTGACATGTATGCCAGGCAATCCTTGAGTACGAGTATGGCGCGAGACTAGCCTGGTCGGAGCAACATTGAACTCGCACGGGCTGCATCCCAATCGGACACAATCCAGAAGTGTTATATTCCGTCACCGAGAACCTATTGGCCGATTTCGCCAATGAGACCAACGTGGACAAGTGCGCCTTGGAAGCCAAGCCATAAGGACCAACACACCGTTGCTGGCGCCCACACAGCTCACGCGTTGTGATGTAGCTCATGCTCCCATCTTGTGCCCACAAACTGGGTCTGCCGTCGTCACGGACGCAGCGCCAGCTTGATGAGGTGCGCGAGATGTTTTCAACAGGGCGGTACAATTACAATGGGAACCCGGCCAGCGCAGCTGCGCAAACAAAAGGCAAGCTATAATTCTTCTGGAGCGAATTCATGGCGAGCACGTTTCTGATAATCGGTCATCCCTTTGCCACTCCCCACAACACCGACCTGTGGGCAAACACACCGCGTTAGACAGAGACTGAGACAAACATACAACCGCTGGGGCTCGTTGCAAAGATACACAAGAAAGCGACAACTCTATCATGTTGCAAGGCATTACCATGCTTATCCAAAACATGCTTATAGCACCCCGTACTCGCATTTCAACAACACGATTGACCAATGCGCTCAATGCAATAGCTGTATGGAAACATGGCAACGACAGCACCCAAACTTGCACAGGAGACAATGACTAGAACTACATCTTGTTGATCAACTCGCCCAAGCCGGGTGCCGGCTTGCTAGACCCCAATGGCTCATCACTGTAGGCCCATTGAAATCGTAGCAGAGGTGTGCACACTGGGAAACGCATAAATGGCATCTTGAATGACCATTTAGTGTTCGATGATGTTTGCGGAGGTTCCAACCACGTTTCAGGGGAGTGCTTGACACTGACTGATGCAGTCAAGACATGAAACATACGCACCACAAAACGCCAACCACATTAACGACAATAATAACTTGAAAACGATTTCTTCACAGGGGCAGTGATTCCAGGAAAACGCAGAAAATGTAACTTTTGACACCAGCTTGTCCCCACCTTGCCCCCAACTTCCTCCGGTACACTAAATATGCTGGTCTTTTTCCGTCCAGTGAAGACACCTGCCTGAATTCACAAATGCAAAGACGATAAGAGCCAGACCCAGCTCCCCTTCCGCTCGGCAAATTGTCTCACAAAGACGGCACACAGTTCAAAACAACAACCAACCACGGTTTTCACTTTCAAAGGGCAACATATCGGGCTTGAAGAACCAAGCCTAAAACAATTGCCCCATGCCCACCTTCTTTTTTGACCCTTTCCCCTGCACAAAAGAATGCCAATCTTGTTGCTTTTTCTTCTGATCCAAATCCATTTGTTGAAACCGAATTTTGGATTTGTAACTTTTTAGCAGCTTCTTTTTTCTTGACTTCGTCTTGTCATCGTCGGTGTCCTTCATTTCACACCACTGGGGCAAGAACACGCAGATTAGTACCCAAGTCAGCATGCTGTTCAGTTCTCTCTTTATGACACAAAACGGCCGATGAATGAAAGCATCAAACTTCTTGCAAGGCCACAGGGCCACCAGGCAGTACACAAGGAGCCTACGTCTATCAGTTTACACAAATTTTCAGGCAGGCTCTCATGCAGGAACTGTGATTCTAAGGCATCTTGGGCAGTGAGACGTCTTGTCAGCTCGGAGCTGCCAAAATCGCATGATGCTGTGAGGGCCAGCGAGCACGACATGCACTGAACCAAGGTAGTCAAAGAAACAAAGCAATGGGCACATATAAAGGTATACAGGCGCACAAGAAAGTCAAGATCTCATACGCTTTTGGCCGTAAAGACGTGTGACAACAAAGCAACCCAACAATGCAGCCTAAACCATCCACATGTATTACTTGTCATGCATGGAGAAATGCTATCACAAGCAGCCCATGCCAAAGAGGCACACACCTGCATTATCAGGCGTATAAACTGTCAAGCCGTTCTATTCTCCATTTGAAGGGCAAACACAACATGATTATCCGGCATGGACCACAATACGGTTTATAGAATTTCCACAACAACGTTTGTGCTCAAAAGTAAACAATAAGGGAGATTTAATAATCCGCAAACAAAATGGGTAGGGTCTGCCTCATTGCCTTCAGCAACATGATGTCAGCATTCAGCATTCCTCCAAGTCTGGCTTGGATGCAGAAGATCTATGCCCCGGGTCATGCTGCAATACACAGATCCAATGCAGCTGAACAAGCCCACAAAAACTGCCCTGTCCCTGTGTTTGCCATAAAAACTCCACGCTGAATCCATGCAATGGCCCAGTGCAACAAGAATGGCACTGATAACACAGCCTGTATCCTAACCAGATCCTGCATCCTGGTGCTTCAGAACCATCCACAGGGCTGTTACTCTGCAATGCAATCAAGGACTGCTGTGGGTCTACCAGTTGACGTCACTGTTAAGGTGTCATCTTGGCGTGTACTGGAATTCATCAATAACGCTCTCACTTTTGGAATCTCACTGATGACCGGCTCATCTTCTACCCTCTTTCGCTTGGGTGCAGCCACCCCTTTATAGACCTCCTGGATATCAGGTCGTGGGCGGACTTGCTTCGGATCTACCTGCATTTGTAGCCACGAACACTCAAGCTTTTCTGTTCTTTCACTGGACCTGGTGGACAACACCTGCCACAAGCAAAGGGCACAGTTCCATACTGCAAATATGCTGAGCAACTAGCATTAACTTGGTGAAACAACATTTCCTGGAGCTCCAAATCGACGAAATCTGATGAAACAACAAACAAATGCAAACCTTGAGCCTGTAATACCAAACCCACAGTATGGGCTGTAGCACATGGCAAAGCTCTTCATTGTATGCACATGTAGCAAAATATCCATTATCAGGCAGCAGAGCTTACTCCAAAAGAGTATCTTGCACTGTATTCAAGGGCAAATTCGCAGACCTATTCACAGTGTGTACCCTACCTCCTCTGAATTCCCGTAACCCTCAAAGACGACCACAAATTCCCCGCCCGCTGTTACTGACTGAATGGCAGCATCATACCACTGACCATCCCCACTGTACACAGCCTGACACTCAGCACCCACAGCCCAAGCTGGGGGAGCTTGACCCAGCAGTGCTGCTTTCACTTGGGCTCTTCGAATCTGTTCAGCGACAGATGCTGGAAGAGTTGATGGCAGCTTGACAGAAGGTGCCTGCTGTTGGCCAGCATCGAAGTGACCACTGGTGGAGGGCACTGCTGTTCACGCAGAAAACAGCTTCAGTGTTGAGTTGAGTCGAGATCGGAAATGGTCGAGGGCTTGATGTCCGGCCACGACACTATTGACCAGCCACAGCACATCTCAGCTGCAAACACAGGGAAGCAGATTGCTGCCGTCCACAGCAAGCTGAGCTTGTGTACTGATGACTACCTTCTGATACTCCAGCTGCAGCAGAAGGATCACCGAAGCTGCCACCATCTATCAGCAAGCCCTCAACCAGTTGGATAGCCTACAACAAGACACAAAAGAGTGTTACAGGCACCCCTTGATCTCTATCCACATGGTTCATTCAAGATAGGATTCTCAATTGTTGCAATTCACAGCTGCTGCATATTTGCAAGAACTGAATAGTAAAGCGGGAATCAGCATCAATCCAATGCACCAGCGCGCTGTATTGCCTCAAAAGCATGCTTTACGATCTGGTGTGCACTTAGGGAAACAGGAGGCGATCAAATTGCCACTATAAGGCCACCAATCCTTCAGGGCTTCGCTTTTGCCCCAAATGTCAGAGCCATACACTCATACATGCCTCACATACAATTTTCACAGCCTGATACAAACAATGGCAGACATGGGCGTGGTCACTAGTGTATCATACAATTTGCACAACTAATTCTGTGACCCGTTTAGAGTTCGTGCAATGCCAGCACCTTCAAACACAAACAAGAAGGCCATCCATTTCCTCCATCCCAATAATATTGTCTTCACGCCTTGCCTGTCTCCTGAGCTGGTTCAGCTTTTCGTGAAATCCTGTGCCCAGCGGTGCTTGCGGGTGGAGAGGACAAACATTGGGCCTACAATCTAAGTACCAGACAGTTGGGCAATGATGCTTTGAAGAGAACAAGCAAAGTTCATGGCTATCCCAAATTCGCCGCTTGGCAGCTGCGTAAGGGGGCTAGGGGTGGCATTATCTTCTGTTTTCTGTCTGGGAGCTTAGGGGGCTCCGTACTGGTCTTTTCGAAAGTGATGACCGTTTGAACATACAACTTCAAATTTGCAACAATACACATACTCTCAAAGTGCAGCAATTACTTCTGGACAGAGGAAGAATTAGTTCACGCATACATGCAATGAGTTGATGCAGACCATCACACTAGTGGCCAAATCATGGGCTGCTCAAACTACCCCAAGGGCTGTCGAATTGCCTGCCCACCTCTGTGAGTGTGGTCTTGGCTTCCTGATAGTCCTCATTGTCGGGAAATTCCCCAAGAAGAAGATCCACCTTGCAAAAGCAAGCAGCTAGTTCTGACTCGCGCCGAAACTCAGCAGACGCAAGTGCAAACAGGGCGCGCTCAAATTGGAAACGAAGGTTCCAACAGGACAAACACGGCAGCACTCGACTGATCTTCCCATGCCTGGCACGCCCGGGAATAGTCTGCGAGATTCTATCAGCAGCCCACTGAACGCTGCAGCCGCGGTCGCCAAGCCCATCGCAGTGCAAGGCAGAGAGCAAGGAGCGGTGCCCTGTGCTTCCCATCGTCTATTCGAGGGCTGGCAGGGTGGTGAACGGCAGGGAGCTTGGAAAGGCAGCCTACCTGCTGCAGTTGCTCCTTGTATTCGTCGAGGCTTGCGCGCATCTCCTCGACGGAGCTGAACTCCGCCATGTTTGACTTTCGAGGAGCCTTGCGAGCTCGCCTTCTCGCCAACAGGGCGTGGCGGGGACAGCTTGCGGTGCTTGCGCCCTGCCGGCGATGCAGGAGACTGCACGCGAAGTGATGGCTGTGATGCCCTCATGCTGTTCATCTTTTTTTTTTGTTTGAATTCCAATGTATTACACGAGAATGTAAACTAAGGATCTCCCCCACAAAATGTAATGTCAAAGGACCCTTTTCCAGCAACAACCGATGTAGGGTCCAAAACAAGGCCCTCATGCTGTTCAAGGGTTGGAGTGCGTCACAGGACGGAATGCCCGACGCACAGGCAGACTGAGTGCAAAAATCACCCAGCCTCAAAAAACAGTTCATGAACACCCCGTCACACCGTCAGAGAGCAACCGCCTCAAAATGAGACATTCTTCCCGTGCTTTTTTATTGGTGCCCGGAGTTTTCGGCTGTGGATGTTCGAATTCAAGCCAGTGTCACTCCTGTGTTGCATGCAAATAGATTGCAGCCTTCGTACAACCAGCCGAGATTGCTCAGAGCCGCCCGGGAACATGCATCGAATACTGGGATGGCTCCGTGCTGACGCGTCCAAGCACTTGAAGTTTGATGAGTAATCCAAAATCGGATTCAAGCTGTAACGAAGGCATCAGAGCGTTTCTATCAGCGAAGGTGCCAAAAATGGGTAACGGCAGTCTATACCGCATAACAGTACAATTGTTGTACCGACTTTGCACCTAAAACCACTCGGTACTGCACCGAGGAGGCATTGCTGCAAATGTTCAACTCTTCCGCATCAGAAAATTTCACCGTTACGCTTTTGCTCCGCAATCTGTTTTTCGAAGCGTTACTTTGTTGTTTTTCACGTTGCTCCGCACGGAAATGCCAGAATTTGCGTTGCCATTTGTATTATTTTCTCCGCAAAAAAGGCCAGGCGTTACGTTACTATGCGGAAGGGTTTAATATTTTACAGTACGCAAAATGCGGTCATCCAGGTGTTGCTGTTTGGCACGGGGCGGTCGCCTGCAGCCCCTCCTGTCCATTGGGATGGTGCAATGGAGTCTGGCTCTGAACGTCGCACCACGGCACAAAGACATGTCGAGTCGAGGGCCCGTGCCACTGTGACCCATTCATGTTGCCCTGCCGATTGGCGCCTTGGCTCAGGGCAGCGCCCCACAAGACGACGCCGTCGGCCAGGGGTCGAGCGCAGTGGCTGTTGGTCAGCGGGCCGGCGGATTTGTTGGGGCATGAGCCCCATCCTCTTGGCGCCTTCGCGCCTTCGGGACTCCGGCTGTCCGTGCTGAACATGGACCTCCTGTGGCAGGCCGGAGGGCAACACGGCCGGCATCTTTCTCCAGAACTGTGCGGATGGGCTCTGGCGCGCCGCCGCTGTGGCACCAATAGAAAGATTTGTTGGAGCGTGGAGCGAACTGTGCCGAGTGCCTCCTGCGGACTGCTGTGCGGTGAGGTGTGGGGCGCGGACAGGGCGCGCAGGTTGTGTGCCGGGAGGGACGCTGTTGAAGAAGGGTTGAGATCGAAGAAGCACTGGCAAGATCTGCGGGCGGCAATGAAGGAAATTGGGCCGGACTTGACAAATAACCATTTGGAAGTGATCTTCACAACGGCCAGGAGATTGGAGAACGCTCCGTCAACGAGTTTTCTGAAGGAGGTGTCAGGCGTGGCATTGCAAAACCTGAATGCCATGGAGCCCAAGCATTTGACAACCTTTCTTCATTCCTGTGCGATCTTGAAGTATGTCAACATTGAGCTCATAGAGGGCGTGGTGTGTGAGGCCAGTCGACGTGGTTTGGAGCAAAAGGCCACACCAAAGCAAGTGGGAATCATTGTATACTCGCTGGGAGCTCTTAACAAATCGCATAGTTATGATGTCAAAGTCCGATTTGACGAAGCTGTCACAGCCCAGCACAGAAGCTGTCTGGGATCCTCCGATGTGGAGGAATTCATGCAAGGCCTATCTGATAGGATTGTGACTTTCCTGGACAATGACGAATTGAATGACATTCAGGTGTCGAATGTTATTTATGGACTTGGCTGCCTCAAGTTCAGCACAGATGCCATACATCGATCTCTAGCGGCACTTGTGTCGAATCCAGACAGACTCCAGGACTACACTGCAAGGAGCCTTTCAACCATGTTGTATGGACTGAGCCAGGTTGGCTTTTCGGATCGGCTCTCCCTGGCGTTGTTTGTTAAGTACGTGACTGTTGATGCCCGACTGTGGAGGTATTCTGAAGAGGGACTGTCTGCAATGTTGTATGCTCTTGGAGAGTTTGGATTCAATGATTGTGGCATGCTGCATTGTTTAATGGAGGAGGTGACAAAGCCGCGGCGTTTGAAAAGGTTTGAGCGGAGTTCGCTGTCCAGCCTGTGCTACAGTTTCAGGAAGCTGGGATTCAATGATTCCAAGCAAGTGCAACCTGTGCTTGAAGAAATTTTGAAGCCACAACGTTTGGAGAGCCTGGGACCGCAAGTGCTCTGCAACATTGCCTTTGGGCTTTGTCATTTTGGAATGAAGGGCAATGAAATATTTTGGCATGGGCTAGCTACAGAGATCACAAAGGAGGAGAACCTGGCAGGCTTCAGTGAACAAGCGCTGGCAAATGTGGCTTTGAGTTATGCAAACCTGGGCTACCCCTCAGGTGGTCAGCTGTGGAGACCACTGCTGCTGGAAGCGACAAAATCCCATCGCCTTGCGAGGTTCACTGGGCAAGGTCTGTCAAACATGCTCTGGTCACTGCGGATCGTTGGGTTTGTGGATGCCAAGGAGATAAGGGCTCTTGTAGGAGAGGTTGTGAAGCCCACAAGACTCGCAACGGCTTCGGACGACAGCCTAGGAAACTTGTTGTACACATTTGCACGTTTGAAAATTGTGGACAGGAAGTGTGTTGGAGCTGTCATAGATGCCCTCATCGGAGGCCAGAAATTGCAGCGTGCAGATAGCAGTTTGCTTTCTTTGGTTGTCCTCAGCTTGGGTTTAATGCAATACCGGAATGTTGATCAGACACAAATCCTCATGACTGAGGTGACCCAACAGCATAGGCTGCCTATGTACCCCTTTACTGCCATTTCCAACATGATCTATGCCCTTGGGCAGATGAGGCTAAAGGACTGGACTGTGGTACAAAGGCTACTGGATGAAGGCCTCAGACATCCAAAGGAGAACCACACTGCACATGGGCTTGCGAACATGATCCATGGTCTGGCATTGCTGGATTTTAAGCATGCTCGCACCATTTCTCATTTGGTAGGATTGGCCTTGATGGAAGAACATTTAAAGAAGATGACAGCACACAACTTGACAACACTCCTGCTGGGGCTGTCTCGTTTGAGGGTTTCAGACGATGCTGTGTATGAGCGAATTCTAGAAAGAGTTGTGGGGCTTGGTACACAGGCAAGATGCACACCAGAGGAGCTGTCTCGTGTGCTGCACTCTTTGAGTTCTGTTGGGTATTGGAATGACAAGTATGTTGTTCCAATTATGGACATTTTGGTGAGGGCGGCAAAGGTCCAAGAACTGGATGAGCGATCGTTGTCAACACTTTTTCACAGCCTGTGCAGCATGCGTTTGCCTAAGGATGCAGTAATCCGGAACACATTGAGGGATTTGCTGCTTGGATACAACATGAGCAGATTCTCACCTGAGGGGCTGTCAAATGTCCTGTTCAGTTTGGGCGCTTTGGATGTACGGGATGTTGGGATAATTAAGTCGATCGTTGCCACGTTGACCAAGCCGGCTTGCCTACAGAATCTGAACGAGCTCGGTTTGGTCAAATGCTTGCATGGCCTTGCCAGTATACCTTTCAGGAATCGACCCACAGTGACTGCAGTTGTCAATGAAATCAAGAAGCCAAGCCGCGCACTTAGGTACAGCAGATATGACAGATCAAGGATACTGGACGCTTTGGATCGATTGGACTTTATTGATGAAGACTTGCTGCTTGGGGCTTTGGTCGACCAGAGAGTCATATGCCGTCTCTCTGAGGGCTCATTGCTCAGGTTGATATCATTTGCACTGGGTTGCAAGGGTGTGGACAAGGCAAGCGTGCGGTACTTGGACAAAGAGCTGAGAAAGCCCAGGCGCAAGTATCGGATGACGAAGGATGAATTTCAGAGTAGTGTGCAGCGTTTGGAAAGGCTGGCAAGGCAGCAACATGGACCAGCGCTGGACATGATGTCTTCTTCAGCCAGCGTCCCCTGACTGTAGGCAACCTCAACCTACCAAGGGTCCCAAGGGTGTGCATGGGAGCGTGCTTGCATGCCTGATGCTGAAGGACCAACACACAGAGGCCTCCTTGCCAATGTTGCATGGTGAGGCAGTGTGAGCAAGGTGAGGCACACAGCAGGCTCTGCTGGTTGTTTGAAGTTCATGAGAAGTGGTAGCAAGAATGATCACTGCTCAACTCCAATTTCTTGTCACATCCACCTCTGTAGTTGAGTCTGGGAAGCCTTCATGATAGTACACTGGGCATCAACAATTATTCATGCTCAAGCGAGCACATGACCAGGACATAACCAACACCAAAAAAGCGTATCAGATGTGCCTTTCAGAGATTTTGTATTGGTGATTCTTTGATGCATCCTGCCATTTTCCAGCAATGAGGGTTGTGCTGTCCTGAGGCTTGTGTTGCTCATGCTGAGCTGTTGTTGCACACTGAATGCACGACAATGTCCAGCAGCAGCACTGCCCTACGAGTTTGTTTCAACTCAGAGCATTGAAGTTTGCGTTCATCAGGTGCTTTTGCACCAAAAGGGACTGAGTCCAGTAAAGATGGAGCTGTTTAGCCACCTGATTTTGATGTGATCGTCGTGCAGGGACTGTCGCAGTAGAATCGGCATGTCTGCTGCTTGAACGAGGATGCCATGGACATGAGCAGCTGGAGAACCACCAAGGTAGTGGATTTTGTCTTGTGGGCCACATGGGGCTGCGATATCTTGCCATGTGCTGAACTTTGTTTTTTTTTAAAAGTTTTTTGTTCAAATTTGTTATTGTCAAACCCCATCAACCGGTACGGAGACTGGTGGCCCAGGTTTGTTGGATGAGCCCTCATGGATGCGAAACTCAATTTTGAAGCTGTGCTGGCTGCCTTGCAGCTGCAGTTTGTGTAGCCAAGGCCTTGGTGACAGATCCTATGGGAAAAGATAGGCTCTGTGCCATTACATGGACTGGTTGAAGCCTTTTGCATCAATAAGACAGAATAGTGGTGATTAGCTCAGCTGGAGGTAGAGCAATTGCACTCAAATAGATGAAGGAAGTATCTGTGGATTGATTTGATATTTGTGCTCCAAGGATTTCGGTATGGATGCATCTATGATGGCTTGTTGCAGAAATCAGTTCTCCTCGAACTATAGATTTGTGTCGACCACGATTCATCTACACTTGGTTGGAGCATGCATCACAGTGTAAGCTTTCTGTTGTCACAGAGTTGATTTTTAAGAATCAAATTCGACAGTCTCAGCCCTGTTCCCAGTGCCCAACGTTGTGCTGTGCACACAGTTTTTGCAAAATTGTATTCAGTCACAAGATGGAGCATATACATTGTAATGGAAGTACATTGTAATGGAAGGCTGGTCACCTGCGGGAGTGTCTGGATTAGAGCAGTTAAGGATACATTGGAGCTGCCCAGCCAGAGTATCAGAAGTGGGGTATAGAATTGGTCTCTGGAGAATTAGAAACATGGCATGTTTGTGTTCAGCGTTGTAGTCACTTTGAATAAAATGCATGGACTCAAGTATTGTTTGCAGCATCATTAAGCGTCAGGTCAATTGAAACTTGGCTGAATGGGCATTGTGTGCCAGGGCACTTTTGGAAGTGAGGTCGATGCTTCCTGTGAGGGGTGCTTACATCCATTCGAATGAAGCCGGCTGCGAGAGATTGGGATCTCATGCCCTGATGGTGCCAGAAAAAAAGGTGGACTGCCTATGCTACGTGCCGGACATTCATGGAGTAAAGGCACCGACTTTCTCAGGTAGTTACCAGGCATACGACCAGCAATCTGCTCTCCCCCGATGCACTTCAAGCACAGACCCTGGACAGCCAATGCCCGATGGCTCGATGCTGATTGTGGGCCCAGTGCTGAAGGCGCTACTGAGTGTCACGCATTGTGGGAATGGGAACAAGGTGGGCATGGATTTTCATGCGTGAGGCTCAGTTGGGTTGGTGAATCTCTGGGGCAACAATGCTCATTCATTGCCAGTGTTTATGGCGTCGTTTTGGGACTTCACTGAGATGAACTGCCCCTCTTGGGTCCTTGGTGTCAATTTTTGGTTCTGCCGGCGATGGTGATGGGTTTCTGCACTGAATGAGAATGGTGCCGATAAGTTGCCCCAAAGCTGCTGATCTGCCCCTCCTTGATCAAAATGAAACGATCGCTGGGACAGCATTGTGTTGATCCTTAGTCAGTTTTTCGTCCAGCCCGTACCCACACTCTAGTGGGCCAATCTTAGTTTCAATCTTTAGAGTAATTTCGCACAAACGCAGAGTGCTACTCCGCCACACAATGGTCAGCCTTACCATAACATCTTTGAACGTCCACTAAAAGTTTGGGTGTCTTGGCAGTCCCACTTTGGCAGCTCGTCGAATGGGCATGCGTATACCTTCCTCAGTTGTGGCACTCAGTGCTTTGGCATACATCAGGGGAAAGGCAGCAGAGCACTCGTGAATCCAACGCTAGGTTGGCCAGCCCATGGGGTGCAAGCCAGATTGACAATCATGGAGAAAGTTCACCAGCCCTTCAGGTGTCCACATTCGAGGTGCTGCGATTGAGGGGGCAAATGTTACAATTGGGCGAAAATTGCCCCTTGTTTGTTCGAAAACCCGATGGAATGTTGAACCAAGGACGCTTTAGAATGTCTCAATTGGCATTGTCAAGGGCTGTGCCCATGGCCCGCCATCGCTAATGCATTAAAGCATTGGCCATGTCCTTCTGAAATCAGGAATGGCAACTGATGTGGCTACCACTAATCAGTCTTGTCAAAAAGCCAAAATTATTTCTGCACAGGCTTATCGCACACTGTATGGAGAAGTTGGCAATGATTGGCTGTGTTGGAATGCAGCTTTCGCCTGTCAGTGATGCACAGTAGCGCGCAGCGAAAAGAAACAATCCTAACGCTTGTGGTGTGAGCCAAAAAACAGCTCAAAACCACCAAAAGCACCAAAAGGTGACAGAAACTTACCCCTGGATCAACCATACAGGATGAGTGTGATGATTCTACCTACCAAACAATGGTGTGAGAATCGCTGGGTGGTGCTGGTTGCTGCGGTGGAGCAACATCGGTGGGAATGACCATTTTCTTAGGTGCTCTGAGAGGTGGTGTGGGATCCGTTGTGGCATGGAAGGCCTTGAAGTGTTGTGGCTGTCTGCCGCATTTTTTAACAGAAATCCGTTTAAAGCGCTGGTGATTGGTGACAGTGCTACTGTCAGTACAAACTCTGGGCATCATTGACAATTTGTGCGTTGCTGCCCGAACAGACTGTGGAGAAACACGGCCATAGTTTTGTGCCAGAAATCGCCAATGAAGGACCGTCAAAATTTCGATATTTGTGAATACGTTGCATCCAAATGTGTACTGTAAGGAATTCCAGACAGGTGAGGAGCGTTCTCCTGATTGCTGTTTGCATGAATTCAACGTGTCCATTCTGATGTTCACAACAGGCATCAATCGCTCGTGCATCATTCTAAAACCAGTATGTAGAAGTCAGGCGTTTCCCCTGACCCTGTGAACTGGTGATCTTGAACCGAGTACCAGTTGCTTTTGTGCAGCCATGTCCAATGGCCTGGTGGTCCAGACCAGGCGTCACGAAGTTGACGCAAAATTTACAGAATGCAATGCAGTGAATAGGTTTAAATCGGGATCAGGGCCGTTGGGTGGGAACCTTTGGACGGCCGGCAAAGGTTTTAGTACTTGGCGCACTTGGAATTCGAATGGATGGCGCTGCCGTTTCTCAAGCTTGGAAAAGCATAGGCTCAGTGAGAAAGGATTTGGCGCAACTCTTAAAGTTGTGGTCAAGTTATGGGCAGCGACTAGGCTGACCGGTCGCGGTTGGTTATAAAGCCCAGGAACCGAACTGAGCGGCTGTTTGCACCAGTGGAAAAACTGGTTCACAGTGATCTGGGCAAACAGGGAACTTGGGACTTAAGGTTGGCGAAACGAGTTTGTGGCTATCTCGTTTTTCGCTCCCGCCCACCTCTTCCCAAGATATTTGGCTTGATTTTGTAATGTAAGGAGAGACATTTGGCAAACCGGTGTGAGGGCTTTCAAGAGTGCCCGAAGAGAGAGTGTGTACGATTGAGACTTGGTCCAGCGCCCTGAGCGCGCCAACCCGTCCCGATTGATAAACCGGAAAGAGAAAGCACCTTTAAAAACGGGTGGGCAAGGCCCCCCGAGATTTAAATGATTTACAAGGGCATCCCTTGTAACGGTTACAAGGGATGCCCTTGTAAATTGTGCATGCCCTACCTGTCTATGTAGGATGCGCCGATGGTTGTACCACAGACTGGCTGCAAGCGGCCACGTGTCCCAAGTTGTGGATGCTGTGGTACGATGTTTCCTCGACCCAACCACCACAGCCTTGCAGCCCTGTGGCCCTCATGACCCGGCAACTCGTCGCTACCATTGATGTGAGCAAAATTGGCCTGGGGCCCGGCCGCTGGCACTCTCAGTTTGAGGAGGGCCGTGGACGGGCAGGGCGGCACCTTGAGTGGCCTTGGAGACGCTGTAGCGATGAGCGTCCGCGGTTTCTTCGCCTGCCCGGACTCCGTGCAGTCCATCCTTGAGGTGAAACCCAACGCCCCGCCGTCGGGGCTGTCTGCCTCTTCCCTTTCCAGCCGACGACCGAATCGCGACACTGTTCGCAAAGACGCTCGGCAGGATCTATGCCTCGACCAACTTGTTCGCGTTGCAAATGCTTCTGATGGGGGCGCGCCGGAGCTGTGTTGTCGCATCGCGTCTGATGGCTGACGGCTTGCGGAGGTGTCGACGACTGCCGGCAAGATCCTGCACAAGATCTTGCCTCCAGCTTCGAGCCGCCCGTTGCGGAACTCCGTTTCTTTCTGACCTCAGTAGGATTGGGGGTAGAATGGTGTTCAGGACTGTGCATCGTGACACTGTTGTGACGTGGGGAATATTCGTCGTTCGTGGCAGCCTCCTGGGAGGCGAGGCCAGGGAGCATCTAATCAGTGACACAGGTGCAGATGCCACCGGAGCGTTATCGTTACTTGCCGTGGCATCAGTGTTGATGTACTTGTCGCAACTTGGCTTTGCAGGTGGACAAGGACAACAATTACCCTGCCAAAACCAAGGTCGCTTGCACCTTGGGTCCGAACAGCAGAGATGTGCCCGTTCTGGTGCAGCTGCTCGATGAGGGCATGTCGGTGAGGAAGAGAGGTCTGACATTTGGCGTCTTTGTATGCTTGATCCTGGATATACGTGTTGTGCACCATGGCTAGCTGTCCAGAAACTGTGACTGAGTTCGTCCTGTGTGCATCGCTAGGTCGCAAGGATTGACTTCAGCTGGGGAAGTCAGGTGTGATGGTCTGCGTCCTGAAACGTTTTTCCTACGTATACAGTGGACAATTGTGCCTTCGTGTCACGATCGCCGTCATTGCTTTTTCTTGAAGTTTTCTGCAATTTTCTTGTAGGAATACCACCAAGAAACGCTTGAAAACCTCCGGCAGGCTGTACGGCAGACAAAGAAGCGGTGTGGTGTCATAATGGACACCTTGGGACCAGAGATAAGAGTCACAAACAGGTAGCCATTCAAGTTCTTTGAGTGCGTAAAATGAGCCCCTTGTTGAGAAATAATGTTCTTGTACTAAACAGTAGTACGTGCTTCACCGGAAACTTGTTGAAGTTTGCAAAAAATAGCACCTGCTATAATGAAACTTCATCTGTTTAAGGAAATGAAGAGCGGCTGCCACCAGTGTCGTCTGGTGCTGGCGATGGTGAGTGCGGTTCCACAGCAGGTTCCACTTATGAACTGTACTTTGTATTCAGCCAGAAGACTATAACTACTTCATGACGTATTTCATCAGTTTGAGGCAAAGGCAGATGGCCTATCAGTCAGTTTTGCACAAACCTACCCAAAGTACTGAGTGTGTGCCAAAGGGTAATGTTTGTGCTGAAGGACCATCAAATGTGATACTGTGCAGAGACAACAGCACATGGATTTATCTGGTTTCTGCTTCTCTTCCCTATGGCCCGATTGACCTGTGTGCTTTGCTGCAGAGGGACCGATCCTATCCAGCTTGAGGAGGGCGCAACGGTTTCACTAACCTGCAGCCAGTCAGCACAGGCGTCATCCAAGGTCCTGCCAATCTCTTGCCCTACATTTGATTGGTTTGATGTGAGGCCTGGTTCTCCAGTGTTCATTGGGCAGTACCTGTTCACAGGCAAGTGTTCTGCGGTGTGGAAAGCAATGCCCGTGGGACTGTGCGCAGTGTGTCATGTGCTCTGTGGCTGAGAAGAGCTTCCGTTCTGATATATTTCCACTGTTTGCAGGCAGCGAAACAACATCTGCATACCTGACAGTGCAAAAGGTGTGTTGGAAGTGGAAAGCATGAGGCAGAATGTGCGAGTTGTGCACTAAGCTGCCTCTGAACTGCTGGAACCTGCTGCGGTTTGTATGCCAGGCAGGTGTTGCAGCCGGCAAGGCTTGAACCTTTTATGGGATAATGCAGCGGAGACATTCCCTCGCTGTGGCAGGTGTTCAGTTCATGGTGCAGTCATGGATGTGATGTTGTCATGTGCAATGCATGCTGTGGTCAAATCATCTGTCCAGATATGCATGTTGCTCAAGCATCAGGACAGCCTATTGTGGTACTGCAACAGGAACCACAGGTTGTGGTCTTTTGTGTGTGCAGGTGACAAAAGACACTCTTGAATGCACTTGCAACAATGCTGCTGTCTTGGAGGGTCTGCGGCTCATCGTTCACTTTGCAGGAGCACCTTCAAAAGGCCCCATCCTGTCAGACAGCGATGTTGAAGTCATAAAAAGCTGGGGACTGCACAGCAAAGTGGATTTTCTGTCTCTGTCTTTCTGCCGAGGATCAGATGATGTGAAGACGTGCAGGGAGCTTTTGGACAGGTGCTGTTGTCATTGTGTCAGGCAGATGAGAGGATTGACAAGATTTGCGGACTGCTGGATGTGTCTTGTTGTTGATCGTGCTGGTTTGTGTGCTGTGCAGCTGTGGACTGGCTGGCACAAAGATCCTTGCAAAAGTTGAGACAAGAATGGGCCTTGCGAATCTCACAGATATTCTGTCAGAAGCGGATGGCATCATGTTGTCAAGGGGGCATTTGGGAGTTGAGATCGACGCTGAAAAGATGTGCCGGATTCAGAAAGTCGTGATTCAGGTGAATTCCTACATGCTGTCAAAGTTGGTGTGTCAAGTGAGCAGTCGTCCCAGTTTTTGAAGTTGTGGATATTGATGGTTGTAGAAAGGTGAAGGGCAGTCTGGGCAAGCATGTGAGCAAGTGCATCTCCCTCACTTTCGATTTAAAACTTGCCGATTCTGGTCCCAAGCTGGGCAGAGGCTTGCATCCAGTTAACAATGTGCTTCAGGCTGCTGCAATCGGTACACCATATTGGTAATGTGTACAGACCACTGTTCTTGCGCTTGCCTGGAAAAGCAGTACGCGAGAATTCATTTTCAATCCCTTTTGTTTCTGATCTCGCATCACGCTGGAATCCCGAGTCCTTGTACTGAAGCCGAGCCTTGTGTCCGGATGGCAGGAGTGCAATCAGAAAGGCAAACCTGTGATAGTGACCCGTGTGCTTGACACCATGACGGGTGCCCCTCGACCAACACGAGCTGAGGCAACAGATGTTGCAAATTTGGTACTGGATGGTGCGGATTGCATCTTGCTGGGGGCAGAGACTTTCCGAGGGGGTTACCCGGTGGAAACGGTGAAGACCTTGGTGGCCATCTGCAGACAGGCAGAAAAGGCTTTTGACAGTGAGGCCTTTTATCAGTCACTGGTGGAAGATACAACGGGGCAGGAAGGAGAATGGCACGGCAGCACGGTGCGCATGCATCTTTTGTGTGTTTCTTGTATGCGCCAAGCCACAAATGCATTCCATCATTTTTCCCCAGCGATGCTGTGCGGTGCAGTGTACAACTGGGTGTACCCGTGGATTGCAATTGGCAGGCTAATGCGATCTTCGATATAGATCTGAAAGGAGCTGAGTTGTTTTTCTGCCCCCTTTGAAGGCCATATGCTGCTACCCAGAATCTGTAGGCATCAGGCTTGTTGTGAGCATCTACTTGGGCAGCACGACAGTAATGGCAGGAAGGCCAGGTTTATGCTTGCCTGTGTCAGCAGTGTCCTTCTGCCAGCGTGCAACTGCAAATGTGGTTGCTGTGCAGATGTCTAGGTTTCTCATCATGAACGAAATTCCTGTTTTGCTTTTTGCAGCTTGAGAGTCTTGCGTCGTCAGCTGTTCGCGGCGCAGTCAAGCTGAATGCTGCGCTTATCATCGCCTTCACCATTACCGGTCGAACAGCCAAGACTCTGGCCAAGTACAGGCCACCCATGCCGATCCTCTCTGTGGTTTTCCCACGGCTTCACACAAATGCATTGAAATGGACCTTTACTGGGGAAGCCGAGGCCCACCAGATCATGATAAGCCGTGGCGTTTTTCCCATGCTGGCTGATCCCAGTCTGGGAGGAATAGAAGGGGACGCCATGGAAGGGTCCATGTTGAGCAGGGCCATTGCACATGTAAGGAATGGGTGTGGTATGTGAAGAATGCGTGAGAAGAATTCCCCTGTTATCGGAGTGCTTGCAATTTGCAGTTTGCTGGCAGCGTGGTGTGTGGCTGAGGCCCTGTTGCTGTGTTAGGAGACGGTCACAGGTGGTGTGTTTGCTGGTCACTGCTGGTTGTTTACCAAGAACACCATTTGTGGTGGCATGCTATTTGCCGCACGCTGGCCCACTTTTTTCACCCATGGCATGCGGGCTGTGGTGTTTAGGCATCGAGCATGGATTGGATAAAACGCGGTGATCGGATCGTGGTGATCCAGTGTCCAAGGAAGAACGAAGATTACAACTTCAGGGAATCAGGGGTGGTCAAGTTCTTGACAGCGACTGATGAGGTGGGTGGCGCAGCTGACCAAGTGGCAGCTTGTGAGGCCATCATGTCTGTGCTCAACCCTGGAGAGTTGTTATCCAACTCAATGTCTCGGTTTGTATTGCTGGTACTATCTGGCCTATTCTTGCATGAGAACTGCACCATTTTTATGTGTTCTGTGGGCACTTTAGGGCTAAATGGTGTAAGCACTGTGCGATTTATGGCAGAGGATCCTGTGCAACAGTTACTGCTTTGCTGCCCTGTGTGCAACGTTGAGGGTGGAAAGGGGCCACTAGGCAAGAAGTACCCTGCCGGAAGGTCAAACATGCATCGTCGCTGGTTGCTGACACACTGCCTCTGTACCCAGGTGTTGGAGGCAGCTGTGAGCACATACGATGCACACAACGCCTCGATTGAAGCGGTTCGGCAGCGCCTCTTTCGGTTGCAGAGCAAAAAGGGTCCAGCTGAAATTGAAGCCGTGCCCAGGAGCCTTGCAGTTGAGGAGCATACAGTAACCAGCTTTCCCATTGGGGGCATGGGTGGCGAAGGATCCATCAGGGCTTCGAGCGCGGACGAGGAGAGCATATTGAGCACAGATATTGAGTCTGATGACGAGGCTGTTGCAGTGGTGGGTATGCAGTACTAGCACAGTAATGTGGTGGCTTTGGGTCTTGGTTCATGGTGGGGACAGCTGTATGTCGCATCAGGACACTCCTTTGGATGAAATGAATTGCAGACAGCCCTCCTTAGGTGCTGATTTTCAGTGTGAAGAGGCATGGCACAGGGACCCGTGCATTGTGACAGATGTGGGATCAAGTATGCTGTAGTATGACGTGACTGCACAAGCCTTTGTGAACTGCACAGCTGGTATATAGCCAGCAGCGTGTTGTGTGTTGGGATGCAGGATGAGAATTGTTGCATGGCCATGCCCTTTGCTACTGCCCCTTCTGTTCCTCATGCTCCAACGGTCAGCAAGCTGTGTCTGTTGACATATGTGCTGCCTTTGTGTGTTTGCGCAGCGCAGACTGTGAGGTCCCTTGCTCCTCAATGTTTTGCTGATGCAGATGCCAATGTACACGCTGCAGATTTGCCTGCACTGGACTCGATGCTAGTAAATAAAGGCAGGAAGCAGTCCCTGGGCGGGGGTGTGGAGGGTGTCAGCTGGCAGAAGTTGCAGGATCGTTTTGTTGAACCAAACCCTGAAAGAGAACAATGCATTGTAAACAGTGAGCCTGAGAAATGCCAGCCACCTGCTGCCGTTGGGGATGCGAATGCTGCCATGACGAGGCAAGAGAGTGCGTTTTCGGAGTTCAGTGCCATTTCTTTTGAACCAGTTGCCAATCCAGAATCTGCCTTTGAATTTCGAGTCATTTCTCCCTCATCAGGAGGTGAAGAGGTGTTGTGTGTCCCTGAAAACGACCCTCCAGCCAGCCCCTGTTTGGAGGGCCAGTCTCTTCCCGAAGTGGCAGATGGTGTGACACATGTGCAAGAAATTGAGGGGACAAGTTCTTTTGCTGGTGGGCCCGTTTTTGAGAAGGAGACCCCAAGCGAACAGAGTCTTGGGGAGCAGCGTAGCAGCCCATGCCTGGGCCTGTTGGGTCCCAGGAGGACCGCATCTGCTTCGAGCTCCTTCTCCGCAGAGCCACTGCGACTTGTCAGAAAGTCTGGAAGCCATGGTCGCAGATCTAGCCAGCTGAGTTTGTCGTTGTCGCTCAAAGACACGCCAAGGAGCATGGCCTCACTAGGTGCGGAGAGTCCCCAGGATTCACAGCATGTGGGAATGCCGCCCAGGTCACCCGTGCAGGCCATGAAATGAGGGGCAGATGAGTCTACCAGAACCTTTTTGATGCCCTCACCCACAACACCCAGTGCTGATGCTTGGGCTGGACCAGTGTTTTGAGAAGCTGAATCACCCCCCCTGTGAACTTGACGTGGCCTCCTTGGCATTTCATTCCATGAAGGTGGTTAGGAATGATTTGGGGCATGTTTTGGTTGGCATAGCGCCTGTGTTGTTTTGGTCCAGCTACAGCCTTGACAGTGAGGGATGCAGTGCGTCGTGTGCGTTGATGAACTGAGCAGGTGGCAGTTCTGCGAGAGATTGAAGGCATGGATTGTTGCGTTTGGGTGAACTTTGTGGGGTTCCCGCAAGAGCGGACATCGTGCTGTACATGCTGCTGTCCTGTGGCAGAGAAGCGGCCGCAAATGGCTGCACATTGCTACAACAATAAATGGAATATAGGGGAGAGTGAAGGGAGCCGCCAGTCTGCCAGCTGCAGGTGCTGCCAGAGCATGGCGCAAAGTATACTTGCAGTACATGCGAGCCTTGGCAGACTGAAGCATTGTTTGTGGGTCTTGGCTTCTAGCTACTTATTCCATAGGTAATCACATGGCTGCCATGTTCATGCTCGCGCAACATGTGCTCTTTAAGAGCACAATATGCTGATGCATGACGAATTTCACATCCATCGAACCGGATGGTACTGGTCACGGTGTTGTCGCTGAAAAGACCACTTGTATCAGTTGGAAGATTCACAATATGTTAGTGTTGGATACGTGGCCCCCGCTTCCAGAGCACACACCTGCCGCATGCCCTGGCGCATTCCCAGCTGGGACCGTCTGTTGCAACCTTGTGTGTAACGCCAGCGCCGTTGTTCAGGCGTCGGCCACACAGCGCTCACGACAAAATGGCTTGGGCATCTTGTTGCGTAACGGTTATTGGCGACAGTGCATCAAGAGCCACACCTTGAGTTGCGGAACTGAGGTATATGTTTGTTGGCTGTCTCCAGTTGGCGACACACTCAAATTGAAGACATATATATATATATTTTGATTCTCATAGACTATCTCATCCGGAGCTATAGCTCAGTGGTAGAGCAATCGACTGCAGATCGATAGGCCGCCGGTTCGACTCCGGCTGGCTCCTCTTTTTTGACAATCCCTGTGTTTGCCGCACGATGAACACAGGCGACATGGGCGAAACCCGAGTTTCATATTGATTCAGACGGACGCCTGATGGTAAACAACATGATCACCAACCATACGCCCTCGCCGTGGCAATTCACAGCAAATCAAGGAAGTGCAAACCGGCCCCTCGATACCGCGGGCCTGGGGTACAGGTTCCCCCCCTTGATACATCTCGCCCATCTGCTCAACGTGCGCAACGGTGCGCGCAACAACAGCTGAGCGTGGACAGTGGCCGAGGAATGTGTCCTCAGAGGCAGGCTCTGCCGACCCATGAACGAACGCAGCCATCTACTCTGCATTCTCACTTGGTGCTGCAACTGAGGACGTCTTCAGTTTTGGAAAAATGTGGCCTGTCCCCCAACTTCGCGCCCATGTACCCTTGTGCAGAGTCGCCACCTGCAGCGGCCCTGTGGCGCTGAGTCATCGTCGCCTATCGTGCGGAGTACACATCCATCACATGGCTCCATCCGCATTTTGTTCGAATACATTCGTATGGTTTGATCCGCACTTCGGATGGGCTGTGTCGTGCGCGACAGTAACCACAAACAACGTACCTGCGCTGTATTGTGCGCATGGTCATGGTCAATAGCACCATCTGCAACATTATGAGCCTTCGTGGACGGCTTCACCGCAGGGCACCCGACTGGCAGACCCTCAAGGGTGAGAATTGCAATTCAAAACAGCAAGTGGTGAACCAAGTCCAATTCACCACCACACACACATGCCCCACTGAACGACAATAGCCACGTTCTCATTTCAATGTGCAGACACACGAGCACGCCGCAGGCTGGCCCCGTGCTTACACCACGGAACACACCACCTCCCACAATCAAGCTGCTCCAAACCAAATCTTGGGACCGTGGGCTCCCATGCTGATGATACTCCGGCCCAGTACCTGATATGCTTGAAACAAATTTTCGTCGCAGGCTGAAGGCGAACTCTGTCTGCCATTCCGTGCTGCCCATGGCAACCAAGGTCAGCAACAGAATGAAGACCGTCCTGCCTCATTGTTTCATCCTCACACCCCAGCCTATCTGACCAGCCAACCTGCACCTCTCCCCATGCGTCTTGTGTTCATTTCTACAAAACATTTGACGACAATCTGGGCACCCCAAGGCATCCAGCTGCCAAATCCACCGCAGCCAACCCAGCATGGCTGCTGAATATCGTGGCTATACCTGCGAGCGCCACGAAGCCCCTCTTGCAGCACAACCAAATGATTCCAAGGCCTTCAAAACTGAACAAGTCATGGGCACTCTGGCCCCCAAAATAGCTGCCTGACACTCATGAAGCAGTACGGACGTGATCCACAACACATTTAATGCCATACACAGCGGCATACAAGAGTCGAGCATCTGAGCAGTAGTGGTAGCATCAGCTGCAGTGCTGCTGCACTCATTGTGCATGATCTCAGAGGAGCAGCAAGAGGAGCGACAGCACCCCTATTGACAAGCCACCCCAGTGTCTGTCCCTAGACATTTCCATGTCTTCTTCGATTTTCGTCAAAGAGCGAGTTTTCTTGTCTGAACCCAAGCTGACACCATCACTTTGCTGTGACGACGATTGCGAACTCACGGTAAGTGCTTCATCGCTCCACCATGTCTCCGATCTCCAATACCCATCCCAGGGTGGGGGCCCCATACAGTAGCGAGGGAGCACACCATCACTTCGTCCTTGAAAAGACTGCAGACTCTCGGACAGGCTTCTCCCCTTTCGCACAAGGAGATGAGGCTTCACGTCTCGGCATGCACGGTCCACCACAGCATTCAAACCCTGCGGACCTGCCCAGGTTGGGCTCCCGTCGCTGCTGTCTTTTCGTCTGGCTGCCTTCCGGCTACGAGACTTGAGGAAAGCTCTGCGCCGGGCAGCCAGTGCAGTCGGACTTCGCACATCCTGGCTGCAAAAAAGAAAGCGCTTGCCACTGTGACAGTGTGGTGGCACAGCATCTGGCTGAACATCTGGCTTCATAGGTGGCTCACATGCCCATTCGGTCCTGTCTTCCCACCTGCTGTCTTCCCTGAAATGGCCTATCCCACTGTCCGCCCAGGAAGGCACCTGCAACTCACCAGACAAGCCCTTTTTCCTGCCCGCCACATCCGCTGCGCACTCCATAGGTGGCATCCCTGACGTGACAGATATGCGCTTCACAGGAGCACCAGATTTCAAGGCCTCAATGCTCTCCTCGATGGTGATGCTGTGTGCCCTCCACTCCTCGCTACTGCTGCTGCCAACGCCCACCAGTCCAAGGGCAACACCAGACTCTTCCTCAGAATCGGCTCCCATCCCTTGCTGATGCTCCATGCCCACGGTGGGCAACTTCTCCTGGTGCCATCTGCGGCCATTCGATGGGAATACTTGCTTGCCCATTTTCTCCTCAACCTTCCTCAGTTCTTCCTTCGACCCAGACATTGTAGACCCCGGTTCCATCACCATGCCCATCGCCCTGTCCTTACCCAGAGGAAATGCCTCAACATTCTCTTGTGCATCTACTGCTGCATTCAGGTCGCCGCTCTCCGCAGTGTCACAAAATGCCATGGGGTTCACGAACAGTGTCAGCCCGTCCTCCTCCTGGCTCCCCTCCCTTGTCAGGTAGAGGTCACTCGGCACCGGCGACAGCGTCTCGCAGGTGTCCATCAAGGCATGGTAAGCCTCTCCAGACAGCGCCAGCGGCTGCTGCACCTTCCATTGCTCGCCATCCACGCCAGTCCTCACAGTCAGGTGCGACATGGCCCCGGCGCCCATCTGCGCCCCCTCGAGCATGAAGCTGTCAGGTCTCCCTGACGAGCCGTCTCTCCCAGAGGCACCCCCTACGCCGCCTGGCGCCCGAATTTTCTTCAGCCTGACCTCCATGGACTTCACGGGGGTGGCCCCCCTGCTCCCCATCCTCCGGTGGTCCCGATCCGCAGCGGGCGCGCAGCCCTCCGTCTGCAAATCGGGGTCGCTGCCGGCCACGGTGCTGTCGGCGTCGCTCAGGCTCGAGGGGCTCCAGTGACCATCCAGGAAGGTCATCGCCGGGCCCAGCGCCGCGGCGGGGCTGTCGGTGGGTCTGGAGGACGGCCCGCGGCAGTGGGGCGCGCTGCTGGGCTCCGAGTCGTGCCTGTGGCAGTTGGCGAACTCCGGGGGGGGCGACTGGAGCGTGTGCAACTTCCTGGGCCAGGGTGTGTCCTTCGACAAGCGCCGCTGTTTAGCTATCACAATGCTTGGCTTCATGAGACGGCGGTCCTCACCATGGGATGCTGCGCCTATCCGACGGCCGCTGCTCGAACGTCAGCCAGGCTTCGTCTGCAAACAGCCCCTCTTCCTTCACTCCGGACTCGATCGGCACGGCGGGAAAGTTCTCGCCGGTCCAATTTACGGACGCCTCCCCCTGCTGGCGCGCCCCTCCGTAGTTATAGCAATCGCCCCTTTGGCCGCACGCACAATTGTCGTCAGTGTCACGCGCAATGCCGCGCACCTACGATGCAAACTCGAGGGCCAAATTCGGCCCGCAGCAAGGGTCCGAGGGCGTCAGCGCCGCACGGGCATCTGTCCAGAAGGGCGCGCTGGCTGCGTTGTTCGTCGGTCTGTGCTGTGCTCACAAAGCCAAGCGTCCCACGCACCCTTTCCATTCGGCGCAGGTGCGCACGCTGCCCGTTCCACCCAGGTGGCGGTGGCCCGCAGAAACTTCCAGAGCCCGGCTATTCCATACTCGGTCTTGAAGCCGCGGGGAGAGGGTGAGCAAGCGGGCCCGTGGCACAACTCGCTAGATGCATGCCCCGCGTCAGTGCCCAAGCAATACAGGAATTTCCGCCGCATCTCCAAGCCGGGGAAGCACAAGGACAATAAGCGGAACTGCAGGGTGTAGTCGGAAAGGGCGCCACAGATTGGCAACAACCGGGTTGCTGTTGGCAAGTGCGCCACAAATTGGCGAGGAATTGGAGAGGATGGCAACGAATCTTGAGCCGGGACAGAGAACACGGGCGCAGTGGCCGCCAACTGTCGCGCAGCCGCTCCCACCGCGACCACCCACCGTTTATTGCCTTCCCCTGCCTCCTCCAGGCGCTCTCCGCGCCTCGCTCCTAGCTACAGAACTCCGAGGAGTCCTCCGGGGGGAAAGCACCGCCACCAGGACCGACCAACCTCGCCAACCCCATGCACACCCCCACAAGGTACACCTCATGGCGATCCAGGTGAGGTGCACTTCAGGCTGGATCCGAACCGTCACTCCAGCGCCAGCGGTGAACGTACCATCCAGTGTGTACATCCGGGCGGGCAGAGAGTGTCTTGCCACACGCCCCGAGCCTCCGCATCTTGATCTTGCGGCTCCCTGCCGCGTGGCAGCGGGAGCTCCTGATTACGAAGGCCCACCCCCCGTGCAGAAATTGGCAGTTCCTTCTGACATTGCATTCGAACAAAAGCGCGCCATTTGCTGTTTGCCAAGGCGCCTGTTGGACCAGCGCATTGCAACAAAGGGGCAAGCTCCAGTCTACGCAGCAGCACACCGTGGCATCCCGCACAGCATCTTCCTTATCCATGGCCTGGAGGCTATCACACCCTAACCACCGCTCCACATGCGTAACAGCCATTGCATTATCACTTACAGGACTGCTCATTCTGCACCACACGAATCACATTGCACACATGACATTGTCACATTACCAACAACATGCCAAGTCCGCTTGTGCGGCAGCATTTCCTTCAGAAAAAGTCATGGTGAACATCTAGGCGTTGGGCCTGTCGATGCACACTGCTTGTCACCAGCGATAGATACTGCATTGCAGCTGGCAACAACCGCCCAGAACTCTTCAATGGTTGCTTGGCTGGGCGCCACAGCAACTGAACGGTGTATTTCCCAGCCCCAGCATGTGTCTTTTGGCGCTGCGTTTGCGTGGTCCGCAAGCATGCATGATGCTGGTTAATTCCCCGTCGTTTGAGTCGCCACATGGCACAGCTGTCAGCGATTGCCTGCTTCAGGGCTCCTGGTTAGGCAGAGACACAGCATGTTTTGTGTGTCATACTCAAACACGTCCATGGTGCATGCAATGGCACCACTGAGCTGCATCTGTCACTGGCACACAGCAAACATTGCACAGAGACACTTGCTCCCACAACAGCGCATGTTGAATCCGCATTTGTGCTCTCCTCCAAATCTGCGAGTGGACACTGCTCAGCAACTGATGCCTTTGTGTGGAATGGAGGACCGATATTGCACTTGGACAACGCCTTGCGAGGTTCACAACAAAACGGCGCGGTGCAACCTGCACATTCCACATTCGTGGTTGCAAGGTTTTCCCTTTGCTAGTCTATCAGGACCCCTCTGAGATGTATATTGTGGAACCTCCATTGCCCAATCACAGGTTTGCAGCTCGAACAAATAACAGCAATCTCCAGTTCGACTTACCATGCAGCATTGTACAACGTCTGGAATGCTGAGAAAATGTTGCCCCAGTGTTGTTGGGCCCTCCATGCTCCAGAACTTTATGGTGCCAACTCCTGTGGCACCAAGAGACACGCCTTGATGGGCCACATTCCACTGGACCTAGGACACCTGTGCTGGTATTGAAGATCATCAACCGTCAAGCAGTACGCCCCAACCAGTACACATGCATTTCACCACGATTGGGGGATCTTGTTTCTTCCACAGTGAACTCATTCAGGAATGGATTTCCAGGCTGCTGACCTGCAGGGAAATCTACCAGCATCAGATGGTGAAACTACACTTTCGAGTTGGACACTCCCTGCATTCTGATCCACGACAGATAACAACAAAAAGCAAACACGGACGCACACGAAGTGGTGTTGAGGATTCCAGAAGAGATGGCCAGTTAAGAAGAACAGTGCTGGGGGATGGCACAAGAAGTGCACATCCATGTGCTGCCCATCCACCACTGGCCACAGCACAGTGATTGCAGCAGCCCTGGGAAATGAATATCAAGACAAAATTGCCAACATGGCTCGCTGCCCACTGTCGCTACCATTGCAAAGAGCTGAAGGTACAAGTGGCGCGGAGTTTTGGCCAGGGCTTGCTTGAGCTCCTGGATATATCCAGCTTCCGACATTTCACACCGGCGGTGGCAAGCAGTAGCGACGCCATGTCAGAGAACAATCGATCTGAAAAATCTGATTGCTGCAGTTGACAATGCAAGCAGGACACTGAAAAGTACCAGATCTTACATTGCTAGCCACTAAGTTCCGACGAACCTCAAGTCCTGCGCCGATGCGACTGCCAACTTGTTTAGCAGCAAAACGGGCTGAACTTCGCAGAAAACCGCTCGCTTCCAGTTTGTCCAGCGTGCTTCCTGTTCGGCCCTCGGCGTCAAAACGAACGCAATGCCCCAACACGGAATCGAATCTGCGCAAAATCTTCCCCGTTCTCGTTCTTTCCCGTTCCCACGCCGTGCTCCACCCCACTTCTCATGGCGACCTGCCCGCTGGGAGCGCGAAACATCGAAGTGGTTGATGGAAAAACGAAACTCAAAACTCAAACTGAAAACCGCGTGGTCATGAGGCCTGACCAGGCCAAACACGCCCAACCACGGCGCCCCTGGGTACAACCTGGCAACCCCTGCCGTGTCAGCAGTCTGTCACCGCCTCACCCGGAGCCACGCCCTCGTCTGACGCGACTCCACGTCGCCGTTCCAGCAACTGCGGGCCCCCCAAGTCGTCGACCAGCGGCCACCGAACAAACGCTGCGAGTCGGTTCCCGCGCGCACGGGCGCCGTGCTTCGCCTCTAGAACCTCGTCCCAGCCGGGCCTTCGGCGCGAAGGCCGGCTGCAGCTCCTCTGGGGCGGTTGCGCTCATCGGGGCTCGAATGCAACAAGTGCAACAAGTGAAGGAGCAGGGCCAGGTCGCACGATGTATGCCGCAGGGAGACGCTTCGTGATGTTGCCTCTGAAGGGCGACTGCACGAGTGCAGCGCGGCGCATTCTGGGCCCCTGCATCGGCAGTGCCCCTTTCCTCGAATCCGGCGGTGATTGGGTGTCCCCATGTTGGGGAGAGCGCTTTGCTCCAGGATGCAAGTCAGCCTGGGCAGCCCTCCGTGGCTTGTCGGGAAATTCGACGAATGAGGCAGAACAAGGACATGGCGACCAAGAATCAGTATTTCCAGGTCATGCGACCCACCGTGTGGGCGGTGCTGTGTGGGAGGGAACAAAACAAACAGCAACAGCAGTTTTTGGTATTTCTCAAGCAGCATCGACCTTGTTCAACGGAATTGAAGGCATTGTCCAATAGAACATTGAGTATTAGAGCGTGAATCCTGTCAAGTACGTTGCACGTGCGTCGATTGGAGACAGGCATTGGCATGTTTTGCGCTCCTACTGCAGCAAATGGTCAACCAGGGAACGTACAAGCGTCAAGATGTTACAACCATGCACTAAGTACATTCAGGCCCGGGAGCGGCGCGGCGATATCGGGAACGTACAAGTCTGGCAGCTTTGGTCGTTCTGAAGAATATCCATTGATTGCTGTGAGCTGTTTCTGCAGGTGCGAAAATCCCATACACCAGCAGCCTGGTATTCACAGGGGGCCCGTTGTCACCGCCCCTGCCTATTCCTTGCTATCGAACACTGGATGCTGGAGGAACACCAATTGATGGCGCACATTGCAGTGATCATTTTGATGAAGAATTGGCAGTACGGATATACCAAACGATGGTCAAGCTACATACTGTGGACGTACTATTTTATGAAGCCCAGCGACAGGTGAGCAAATTTAATTGTGATGTAGGGGTGTCTGGAATTTGCTGAGCAAGCTCATGATATTGACGCTGTCCCACATTGGTGGATGATTGATGTATCAATGCAGGCTCCTGCTTTGAGCGCTCCCACTGCCTGCATTGTTCACACTTTGCGTTTAGGTGCTTCCGATCATTTCTTGATGAAGATTTCAGATTTTAATTGTTTTGTGACAGACTTCACCCTTGTAATACTCTGCCTATCTTGAGCGAAAACATTTGTGCTCTCCTGACATGTACCATTATGCTATATCAGCATTTGACTGTACAACTTCGTGTCTTCCACCAGGGTCGCCTCTCCTTCTACCTGACAAGCTTTGGCGAAGAAGCCACAACAGTGGCAACGGCTGCTGCACTTGATGCCAAAGACGTTGTGAGCAAACTCAGCATCAGTACCTGTACACCCTTTCCTATTACATTTGGATTTGGGCACAGCCCCAGTTACATGCGGTTCTTATCATCTTGAATGGCTCTGAGCTATCAGCAGAATCACAGCAACCTCCTTTGCTCAAATGGTGCAACTGAATTGCACCCTTAGCAGCGATATGAGCTATGCCCCAGACAGTGCTACTTTCCTCCTACCTCCATGTCGACAGCAACAGCATGTCCACTGACAAAGACCTGTGATTGCAGGTGATGTTGCTGTGTGGCACAAAATGTGGGTGAACATATTCAGTACAATAGTGTAATAACAATATAGTAATGTAATATAATAATAACCAATGGGGAAACATGCGTACCACGAGTTTGCAGTTATTGGGATTATCTGTCAGCAATTGCCTGCCTGTGGCTGTCAACCTGGAATGTTGGTTTGTGGTAACTACAGCTTGGCAGCAGACATGGGAAAGCAGAAGAGTGTATGTGGGGCGACATATTGAGCTATTGCAACTTGTGCGTGCACAGGCCTTCTTGCAGTACCGTGAACATGGAGTACTCCTTTGGCGTGGATTTACAATTCGTCAGATGGCTGATCAGGTGCGCTGGTCCCAAACTGTCTGCAACTGCCACATTTCTGCATCATTTGTATTCTGCAGGCGGGACAACAAGGAATGGAAATCATGGCGCAGCACAGGGAGAACAGCACCATTACAATTGGGGCTATCTCTGACAAGCTGCCAAACTAAAAGATGTGGTCAGTCTGGAATCGTATGCTTTGTGGATTTCTACTGCACTGCGACTCAGAGTTTCGATGGTGCTGCAGTGCTATGGAAACAAATTGGAGCCTGCCAAGGGACGTCAGATGCCCATACATTATGGGGCCTCAGACTTGAATGTCCACACCATCTCCTCCACTCTTGCTACACAGCTTCCACACGCTGTGGGGGCAGGATTTGCACTGAAGGTAAGAGATATTCCTCACGATTGCTGCTGCAACAAGTTCATGGCCAAAATCTGCGCTTTCTAGCAATGTGAATGTTAACATGAAGTTTATGGACAATTTGGAGTCTCTGTCATGGAGTTTTCTTCCGTGTTATGGATACAGACAGTTTCCACTGAATATTGAGAATGCTGCTTTTCAGGCACGCCAACAGCCAAATGTTGCAGCTGCATACTTTGGGGACGGTGCCTCCAGCGAAGGAGATTTCCATGCAGCAATGAATTTTGCTGCAGCCTTGTCCATTCCAATGGTTTTCATTTGTCGGAACAATGGATATGCAATCAGCACCCCAGTCAAAGAGCAGTACAAAGGTAATGGGTTCCAAGCATCCTAGTCCAGATGCCAGCCTTCCTCTCTGGCATTTGCCCTCCCAAAGCTTGCATGCATATTTACGCTCCTGTGATTTCCTCTTGCTTCATTCTTAAGGAGCAAGAGTCAATGGATGACATTGTCAATGTGTCAAACAGACTGCCAGTGTGCTTTTTATGTAGCAGTAGCCATTCATGAGAGCACCACTGCTACTGAACAGTGAACCATTCAATGGGGCAACATTACGCGTAGATATGTCATAGATCTATTTGCGTTTTTGCAGAGAACCTTGCAGAGGAAACCTGTAGATTTCATGGGCACAATTTGCATCTGGTGGGATTGTGTTGTTCCACTTACTTGGACCATCCATATTTGCTTGCACAACTCGCAATCGTGATGAAGGGCCACCTTGCCGTTTTGTTAGAGCCATTGTGGTCACCACACAAATCGTGCTGTGTGTTCAGCCTGCTGTACACCCAACGTTATGCTGCTTCTGGTATGGGCTTCCATGGATGCAGTGGGCTACATTTTGGTCCAGGTGATCATCTCTAGACTTGCAGACTTTGGTGTGACTCTGGTTGTATCCTTCTTGCGCACGTCTAGGCGATGGTGTGGCTGGCCGAGGGCCTTGTTACGGAATGGCAACTATCCGGGTCGATGGTGGAGACCCACGTGCTGTCTATTCGGCAACTGCACTTGCAAGGAAGCTTGCCTTGGAGAACAGCTGTCCGGTTCTGATCGAGGTGAGAACTGCTGCAAGTCATTTCAGTGATGTTTTTCTGTGTTGTACCGCTTTCGCTTCCAATGGCGTTCGCAACCACAACAGCACCTCACCTACGTGGAGATGGTGCCCTTTTCGACAGGAATCTTAGTAATACTGGATGCATCGAAATTTCCAGGATGCAAGAATAACAGCATTTGTTGCTTCACTGCTTGTGATTGTGACACTCGCACCATGAAATTGTGCTTGTTTCCAGTCGATGGCCTACAGGAGCGGCCACCATTCTACGTCTGACGACTCGTCCAGGCAAGTTTGTAGCCGCCTTGTGAGCTGCTCATCATTGGGATGACAGCAGCTATTGCTCTTCCCATCTGACCTCAGCAGCAATTGTAACAGGAGGCGAACTACCAGAGGAGCACGATAAGCAGCTTTGCAATGGCAACAGCAGGGTTGTTGTGATGTGCAACAAGTTTATTCTTGCCATTTCTGAGTTTTGATACAATGAACATGTTCTGTGACATGGGATAGAGGCCTCGCTAGACGACCAGCACTCTCCTGTCAGTCCCCAGTCCAATGGCACCGTCTTGTCAAAATGTGTGATACATCTTGTGAGCGCTTTCTACCCACTGTACCACAGTCTCTGTGCGCATGCACTGGTGAAACATGCAGTGCGATGTTGGTTACAGCTGGAGAGCCGAGATTCTGATGGAGAACTGAGGCGTGGCATAGCAACTTTATTGCAGTAGATAGATTTGGGTGGATAATGAGTGCTTTTGTACAGCGATGGGGGGAACAGCAATTCGATGCTTTTATGTGTCGCTATGTCGATGCAGTCCTGGATTCGACACTGTTAATACCTCTCAAAACTGGTAAGGCTGAATATTCTAAATCCAAGTTCTTCTTCTTCTTACTGGAAGTATTATCTTTTAAGTAGTATGATGCTTACCTTTGAGAAGAGGGCTAACTCTCCAAAAACAGTGGTAACCAGAGGCATTTTGTGGATGGTACTTGGATGTATTGTGCTGGAGTGTTGAAACCATACTTGATAACATGCGACCAAAATACCTGCAGATACCAACGTTATCTGCCTGCAATACATCAGAACAAATGTCTACAGTGCAACAGGTTTCTGCACTCCTGTGGCATTCTATTGTTTGCACCCAACAACCAAAGTTTGTACTGATCTCATATTCTTTCAGCACCTTTCCTTCATTGAGTCCGGTTGGGGATGCCAAATAGCATTTTGTAGCAGACCAGATGTGCGCAATGTGGATGTTCATGTGAAGCTGACATTGAACAAGAGATTTCTTGGATGTTAGATACCGAGATGACGCCGAAATGCAGTTCTGGCTGTCCCGAGATCCACTTTCCCGATTTAGACACTTCTTATTGTCACAAGGCTGGTGGGATCAAGAGAAGGATAAATCACTCAGAAAGAACCTCAGAGACGAGGTGAGCGCAAGCGCACGGCGAGCTGTGCTTGTTTTTTTTGTTTGTTTCTCTTGCCTCCAGGATCTGTTGGCAGCACCATGCGCTTCAGGAAATTTTGAACGGTGGCGATGTAGTTTCCAACAAATCATCTCTTGGTTTCCTGACAGCGAATAGAATGGGGGGCGCTTTGATGCTTATATGCGTGTTTGCTCTGTTCAAGGTGGTCGCAACATTGGACGAGGCGCAGAAGGTGCCGAAGGCTCCACTTTCGGATCTCTTCTCTGATGGTAATGGGATTTCACGAGATTCGCCAACTTGAAATTGCGCTGTTTCTTGACAATTACAGGCATTTGCACGAAGGACAAGAGGATGGTTCCTGTTGATCCATTGAATGTTCGCCCTCATGCAGGCATGAAACTGCGACGCAAGTGGCAAAATTTTCCCCAATAGAAACCTTGGAAGCCCTGTCCACTCTGGCAGCTACAAGCGCCTCTGCCTTCATGTATGGCGCAAGCAGTGTGAGCAGTCCCTGGTGGTGTGCTCCAATTGTGCACTTATTATGCTGTCTGTGAGGAGGCATCAGACACACAGTACCTGCAGCCTATGGTGTGAATTAAGAGATCACAAGACCAAACGACACGGCTGTGTCTTGTCATTGAAGGCGTACATCAGTGTACTTCGTTTTGCCCTAAAATCACTGGACCGTAATTCCTCAATAACACAACACTCGTCTCGATTATGTGATTTTTTTGTCACATGCAGCCTTGTCATTGGCAAGTTGTCAGTGCAGGGACTCACTGTGTTAGTAAATGCACTGTTCAGGCTGTACCTTTTTGACACAGCTGTTGCGATGATCTGCTCGTGCAGTGTATGAAGAAATGCCTTGGCATCTAAAGGAGCAGCGCGACGAGGTATTAGAGCTTGTCAGAAAACACCCAGAAGCATGCCCATCTGATATTCCACCATTGTAAGATAGTCATGTTGGGCATTGCTTTGAGTATTGGGACAGAAATAATCCCAAAGCTGGAGGTGGGAATGCAGCACCAGATTGCCCAGCAAGCGAGTGGATTGCGACCCTTGGCGCATATCCCATGGATTTTAGTCTATGGTCTGTGTTTAATGGAAACTTCTGGGCTTCTGGTGTGGCTCAGAGGCCAGGACACGAGCAGACGCAAGATGTAATTGGCACTGTTCCCTCCATGGAATCTTTGCAATAGGTTCCACAAAGCACCCCCTGGCCACCCCTTTTGTGATGCCTGGTTGCGTGGCTCGCCCAATAGGTCTGACACGACCGCCTTCCTTAGACATTGTTGGGGGGACAATTGGTACTCTGCACGCTCTTTGAGCGCCATTTTGGATCTTGATGCTCATGGCTACTATTTTTAAGGTCAGCAGCAACGCAAGCGTGGGTAGTAAGGATGTGTGCGGTGAGCCCGAGACTGCGCTCTGTGTTGTAATTCTTGCTGGGTATCATAACCAGTTCATGACCTTGTTCAGGATGCGCACAAACCATCAATGCTCTTGAGGTTTCCTAAACTTAACCTCTCCACCTGACGGCCAGGGCAGCTGCAGTTCGCGGGCGAAGGGACTGTCCGGGAATAAACAGACAGAGGCGGCGCCGTCGGTGCCCACAACTTGGCTAATTCGTAAACGGACGGGCAGTCCATCCACAAAACAAGGTCGGAGGTTTTCTCATCCATCCGTGTCTGCGAATCAGCAAACGTCCGTCGGCTAATTCATGGACGGACTGTCCGTCTGCACTGTTGCGGGCGGACGTGGAGATTGCGTCAGGCTGACAGGTCACAGACCGAGCACTGCAAGAGGGCTCCAGCCTGGGTAGAGCCTGCCGGGAATGAGAACAACTTCGAACCCATTTTCTCCACCAAGCGTCAAAATACCTGGCCAAGTAATTTCTTTTCCATATGGTGTGTAGCTTCACACATTCTTGGTACCATTTTGTGTTCACAGCCTGGCAACTGGCAGGCGCGGAGCTGCTCCCTGCCAAAAGTAAGGTGCACTATCGTTTGGGGATGCTGAATTATTAGGCTCCTGATAGACGTGCCTTGTAAGCAGCAACATTGTTGGCAGTCGGTCCTTTGTGCAATCATTTGAAGTTTGAAAACCAGCCAGATACTTCTGAGAGGTATCATAATGCAATCAACGCCATCCTGTTCTGGTTTAGAATTTGGGCTATCTGTTTTGCAGAAGACTTCGTGGTTGTGCGAATTTCCTCTCGGTGGATGTGTTTCGCCCTGACGGTGGTGAACCTCTTGCGGATTTCAGCAAATGGGCCCTCCGTTTGCCGGGTCGCGGATGCAATGCGATATGATGCTGGCAAACGGCGGGCCTGTAGGAAATCGAGCACGGCTGCTTTGGTTCAGCTTGCCCCAATCTTGTGCACTGCCAGCCTGGGGGCCTTCGATTTCGTTTCGCGGCATTTGGGGGAAGTCTTTGTGTCTGAGGAAAGATCATTCGCTCAAAATGGTGCTGGCGACATGATGGGCATGTGCAATCACAAAAAGGATAGTGCCTTCTTCCACCCCGCTCGGTCCATTCGTGTTTGCAACTCTGCTGCTGGGCGCACAAAGGCATATCCGGGACTGTCCAACCTGCATGCACGTCCCTCACACCACGCACTTTTGTGGTGAAAGCGTACGGTGCCCACAAATGTCCGATGCCCGTCATTTCTACATATAGAGTCATGAAGTTACGAAGTCATGAAGGTCGTGAAGGTCATTGTCAGGTTAGTGTGCTTTAGAGTTTTAGGTCCCCAATGCCCTTCATGGCCTTCACAACCGGTAATGATAGGTATCGGACAATTCTCACGGTGTTAACCATGTGAATGTCACCTTATCCTGGGGCATGGGCAGTTGTCGCGGCTGCAGTGCATAAGTGGCAAACTCGAGTGACTATTTGCTTGCAAGTTGCATTCGCACTTCTCTCCAGGTCGCTGCTGGATATTGTTCCACCCACAGCCGTCATCTGGTCCTTGCTGCCGTCCTCTGCCCCGTGAGATTGCACTATTATCAGCACTGCATCTATGCACAATATGCGGCTTATGCTGAAATCGCCTGTGTGGTCTCACCAGTATGTTTACCAACTACCCTACCTCCATTCTGGATTACTTTAGTGCATGGCACTGCACAAGACGCAATTGAATTGAAAGTGCACGGGGCCATGTCTTCCACGAAGCCTCTTCTTTCCTGCGATGAACATATTCAGCGATTCGTCGCAAACGATTGGATTAACCGCTCCGAACTGTTCTTTTTGAACCTTTTCTGTGTTGAAATCTTCGAAGCTGGAGTATCTTTCTATCCAGGTCCATTAGCGAGGCAACGAGCTCGATCTCTTCTATTTGGCCTGGATCTGCAGCACACATCGATTGTCAGGCTTCAGCGGGCGCGAAACTTGGCCACTGTCTGATTTCGCTTGTTGGGGGCAGAATCGGGACACGGACGCCATACCTATCGAAGGGCATTGCCGAGGTGCTGCTGGAGCAATCCTCGGCTAATCACAAAAAATTCATGACAGCCACTGACGGGCACAACGGTCAAAATGAATCCGCAAGTGCTATGCGAATCGAGTGCGTGAAGACGCGGTTTGAGCAGCGCAGCCGAGATGAAGAGCGGGGGCATCGATGGACCTGTAATCATTTCTATGAGAGCTTTGATTCGGGCTGTGTGCACGGACTTGTAGCTTTCATCCCAAGCGCCACCACGCACGCCGCAAAAGGCCTAGTCATCCGTTCTGCGCGCATGCACTATCCACATATTCGTTTTCTCAATTCAGTGCTGACCTGATTCTGAACAACGGGTGCGTCTTTTGTTCCGTATTGCGTCGTCGCATTCACAAGTCAATTATTTACTAAGCCGCTCTTTCTGGGGCAGACCACACCACTGGTATCATCATGTTGATACA